TATAATGATTGACATCGATAGAAGAATAACTGGTAATAATACTTAGTGATTAATATTTTGATTAATTATGTTTCGACCAATTAAAGAACACAAACGGAATTGAAATATTCTTATCAAGAAGTGAATTCCACATTAGTCGTCTCTTAGTGGTATCATTATGTCATTTCTCGACCTACATGTGCCAGATGTTTTAGGAAATATAAAGATAAATATGTTATAGATTGCACCATAGACACACAATTGAATAGTACCTTTGAATACAAATTTAGAATTAATATCGAACTTCGTTAACTCAAAGTCGGACGACCGTGAAAAAAATCAAGCAAGTGACTTTGAATGTTTGATGTGGATTCTGGACGAGACCGACAATCTTTTTTCGAGTTAAATCGGGTTTTCGAGTTATTTGAACTCCAAATAAAGAGGTTCGAATGACGATACTGTAGAACAAATAATTATAATCAATTAAACTACATGCAGCTGTACCTCCTTCTTGGTCTCGTCGTCTGGGATACCATAGGCCTAAATGATCGTAAGAAAAATCAAGATCTAAATTTAAAGATAATGGGATTACTTTATGTGTGGAGAACGCGGCAAACAGATATTTGGAGTTTGGAAAAGATGGTTTATGAATTAAGAAAGTTATTTGTGAGTCTCATGGACATCGGATGATACTGAGCATGAAGTGAACGTGAAAAATGGTACTGTGTAGAATAATTTCCCCATATTTCCCCATATTCAAATAGAGAAGTCCCCCATACGGACATAAACAAGCGGCAATCTTTTTCCTTAACTAGAATCGCCATTGATGAATGATGTATCACGACGAGAGCTGCAAAAAGATGAGTTCGCGAACATCCATCAACGTTGACGTGTTCATACATATACAATATGCTCGTCACTTCCACCACATCCGCGTAAAAAGGACAACTTTATCAATCCCGATACCAGAATGATGAAGAGACATACGATGTTAACTGGACACTGAATCTGCTTTTTGTTTAATGTTGCGACTCTGCAATCCAGAAGAAAAGTGCCACAAAAGAGTTACCAAACACGATCGATCATGGACTTGTAAAGCAGAAAGATAATCGGCTCCCTGACAAAACTGTTGGAAATAACAATACATCTTCGTTAGGAGTAAGTTGGGAGGGCTGTTTGTCGCTCTTTCTTTGGAATTTGTTATCAAAACAATATCGTATTGCCTTTTCTATTTTGGCCATTATTCACTGAGGGAGGAGACTTCCTAATGGCTCACTGGAGTCTTCGTTATTATAATGACAAAACACACTGCTGGCGTTTTTTCATGTCTAGAAAAAATGTCATATGAATGCTTCTGGTTTACGACAACTTGTATAATATAATTATTTCTTCTTTTCTTAGACATATATATACAAAAAATTTGTAAAACATCTGAAGAAGAAATGAAAACGCTTATGTTTTACATCATGTGTTTTCGAGTGTTTTAACTTTTTTCTATTTATGCTTTAACACACACACACACACACACACATATATATATAGGTTAAAGCGCTAGTTCAACAGAGTGGTTGATTTTTATTTTTTAAATTTCTATATTTTGCTACTTCATTTGGCTTTCTGACACATTTATATATGGTCAAATCAGGAGTTACAATATGAGCTGTCAAGAGACATTACTGAAAGTAACAACGTAGCATTGCTTGTACACAGAGATGCGAGATCATTTGATTGCGTAGTCAACTGAAAGAACACGTAGGCCAACTGGTGATTTGCATTTAGTGGGCGTCCCACGTACACCTAATATATAGGACCCTGTGAATGGGAAATAGACAAGTCTTGCTCAATTTTAGTCACATCGAAAGGCGTTCAATATATCTAATTGTATAAAAGAATGGCGCTAAAAGCTTGGCTATTTTCATCCCCATTCTATAAAAGTCGACCAGTCCGGTTTTCACTTGGTATACGACGCACGAGAGATTGGTTGAGTTCAAATTATACATATAGGAGTACATACAGTAGAAGCAATGCTGTATCAATCAAGAGTAACTTGGTTACAGGGCGGCAAGCTTCCGGAAATGTAGACCGACTCGGATGATTGGCGGGTTTCTCGGCCGCCGATGGGAAATGCACGTACACTCTATACGTATTTCATTGATGTTTCCTTTATTCCTTTCTTTCGTGCCAATTTCCATTTTTATTTGTGTTCCTGTTTTGTTGTTGTTTCATTTGAAGGCTTTTAAAGTAGTTGTCTTTGAAAAACAAATGTATTTGTGTTGCAATGATTACTTTAGAACTATGCATCAGGGATTGGGGAATTTAAATGTAGAAAAACAGAAACACTGTAAAAAAAAACATTCATCACAATACTGAGCCAATGATTCAATAAACATATTTTAACACACTTTTCCTTTTTTTCTTTTTTGTGATCAATGGCATAAACTTTTACTATCAATGCTTATGAAAATAGTGCACCTGATTAAGAAACAACTTCCGCTTTCTTTGTGATGCATGTCAAAAATAGTTTGGTAATGATCCTTGAAGTGAGTTTAATGTCAAAAGTTTGGCCGTGTTCTCTGACACGCAGAAGTAGGTTCTGTATTGAATAAAACTCGGTAATAATAATACACTTGTACAAAAATACGGAAGAAACGGGCGAGATAAGGAGTAGACACTATAGTCTGGAAAGATAGACGGAAAGTTGTTTCCGGAATTTGTTTACGGTTGTTGAATATTGTCAAAGATAACAGCAGCCCTCCCTCGCTAATTACAGGGCCGGCTGAAGTGATTACAGACACTAAGAATAGCAGTTGTTTTACCATGCATCACATGTGTCTGTTGGCTTTTCTACTTGGTAAAGGTCGTTATTGTTAAACGGTTTTTTACACTTAAACAATGATTAAATATTTAACTAGGACATCTTACCTGATTTATCGCCAACTTTTACGTATTGTAATCGCCTGCTCCAATTCTGTTGAAGCTGTTACATGAACGGATTTCATCAGTCGAGTGGCTTGTCATTATAAGGAAACAGATTGATTTCGTGTTTAACTCTGTTACATTTCAGTGGTGTATAAATAAATGTTGAAATTCAGAAAATTCATTTTCTCAACAAATGCAAGAAAAATAATAGCAAAGTAACGAAAAATGATAATTTTCATCGACATGCAGCAATATCACGCTATAAACTAACCAGACATATGTGTTATATAGGGTATGGTAAATGATACCCGGCACCTGATTATTACAAGGTCATTTTTGCGAGCACGGAACCGGTCAAAATGGCTGTTCCACTTGACGTATCACTCTCCTGATAATGAATGTTTATTTTAGTTTTAAGTCAATTATCGTCACAAGACAGAAACTCGGTTGGTATTCCGTTAAGCATCGAACTGTTGTTATATGGCATTTATTGTCGTCTTAAATAACGGAGATTTACAGACAAACACTATATCGCACAAGCAAGCCAAATGCAATATGGACACATTTAATAAAACTCTGTCATTCATAACGACCATAAATGCCATAGCATGACAAATAAAGGTCAAGGGAAGACCAACTGCAAGAGCTGTATTATTTTATACGACTGACCAGGTCAAAAGGTCAACATAGATATTTAAAAGCAATGTAAAGGACTAAAATTATGATTATTACAAATACATGACCTTGATGTTATTTCAGGGTCACACGAGTCCAATATATCGAAAACTTTGATCAACTTAACACTGACGTTCTGAAGGCGGAAGTTTTCGTATGTAATGAAGACCATTCTATCTCCTTGTGTAATATCAAGTGAGTTGTGTTAGATACTAGCGTATGTTTGACAGTTTCCGGTGTTGTAGATGGAGCAGAAGACTATTCATCCTTCTATCTATCATTCTATTCTCCATACATATTTTCAAGGGTCTTCGTGTAATTGTTTTCTCTTTCTTTTGTTTCCTCTTGCTCCGCTGATTCAACATTTAAATCCAGATTTTTGTAAGCCACCAGAGTTTATTATTATTATATTTATCGAGTATCAAGTTGATCTAGTACAATTTTCCTCAAGTAAAACCTTCACTTCATGGTCATGGGGATCATATTCATTAAACTTTGAAAACAATTTTTAAGAAGATCTTTGATTGATTCATGATGCTAATTAGTCAACCGAACCTGTACCCAGGTTTCTTACTAATTGTGTAATCCTGGTAAAATACTAGCTGCAATATACTACTTTGCTATAGAGAACTTCTCTTTAGCTCAGTCGGTTGAGCGTCAGACTTATAAGCCAGGGGTCCTGGGTTCGAGAGGCATTGTGATAAAAATGAACTCCTGTTACAATAGTTTGAACGCACCCCTGTAGAGGAATAATGAAATGTAGATGATCAAAGATCTTAAAAGAGTTTTTCAACATGCACCCGTGATAAATATCTGTAAAAATTACCTCGATTACCTTGATTAGCGTGACGATTTGACTTCCCTGTGGTGAATTTTCCTTTTCGAGATAGTAACGATCTCTTCTCAAATCTGTGAATCACATGTCCCAATTCCTTTTGATAAACTATTGACAGGATTTTGTTTCATTTTGCAAACATTATAAAACTTGTGATATTTGTGCTTTATAATAAGTTCAGTTGAATTCAGGTATTACACGAAACAAGTTGACAAACAAATGGAGAGTAGTATGGCAGATATCTTCCGGCCATCTCCATTGAAACACAAACATTCTCAAGGAACAAACTTGGGTATGCCAGTTGAGTTCATATATGACTTGTGTGTTTCTTTCTCCTCTTTCTTGCTGACTTTTTCATGTCATCTAATTTGACATCTGCATCTGGTGACCATGACAATTATCACATGACCTGTATCATATGACCATGACATTTGTATCACATGACCTGTATCATATGACCATGACATTTGTATCACATGACCTGTATCATATGACCATGACATTTGTATCACATGACTATCACAATTTTAATCAAAGAATGATGACAATACACAAAAAACAGATAAAAAAAGTCAAGCCTTAAAACACGACAAAGAAAATCCGTAGGAATATTTATTTATCATACCGTGCGTATATTCCATGAATAATTAAAGTGTTCTATCAACAACTATCAGAAGTTACCTGTGTACTTTACAGAACACCTGGTTAAATGTGATTCTGTAGTTCATGCTGATTATGATTCCTGCCCTCCATAAAACCAGACCCCTGCCATACAATTCCAAATTCAGTTGTTCTACAAGCTTTCTGATCAAAGGTTTCTTCTAAAACTTTGGAATCACCATTATATAAAAACATGGCATCAAATGGAATCTTAATACTTATTTCAACAAGTACAGTGTTAATTTCATAATCTATTGTAATTAGTTATATGTATGTCTATCTTGCAATAAGCCCAAGGGGTCAACACATTACCCTCGTTTTGGAGTAAGGAGGAGAGGGGGCGAGTGGGGGGGGGTGTTATTACCGAAAATTGAAAAAGTAGTATTAAAGTATTTGTAATGCTACTGAGAGGCAATAGATATGGGCCCACTTATTACCAGACATGGCGGGATTGCCATGGAATAACAACATTTTATCAGTTTTTATTTTAAAACTAACAATGCTTTGAACTTCTGGGACTTGTTTTCCCAGTAGGTTACACCACTACAACACCAGGTATACTGACAACACCAATCATCATACACATGTTGTCAGTGTGTATAAAAACAGGTCACCAGCACTAACACAGAAACAGATCTACACAGATCAGGCACTTTTACTGAAGGTCAGTGGTAATGATCACAATTAAAACCACCAATGTTTTTTACACTGTCAGAAATATTTCCAGAGGTATGATGGACGCTGTCACAGATTCTACATGGCCCAGATACACAATTTGGCATCCTTGCCAATTTTCCTCTCCAAGAGTGGGTATGGACCAATTTTGTTTTTTGTGTACCACTGTCATAGTTGAGTAATTATGGTCGTCAACCATTTAATTAGTGTTGTCTATAGTCAGTAAACTGATTCCTGTCATACTAGCTCCCCACAATTTGTAATTGAAATTTTGTCTGTTGGTTTCCCTGATTTGGTTCCACATGCCTGAAAGTAGATGGGAAAGTAGTTTCAATGTAATAACATACATAACCACTATCTTTAATGATTTACAAACAACTCTCCAAAGTGTTTATTTTTCTAAAACTTTATGTATAGATTAATTAATCAATGGATTTATTATGGTATGAAAACTTAAATAAAAATTATACAAAAAAATAGGATTATTTGCTATGGTATTTATGACTAATCTCTATAAAAAACTGATTTTCATCAGTTATCAAAACACCACATCTAGTTCAGCCATGGGTAGTTACATTATCATGGAGATGCTAATACAATAGGTACAGAAAACCTGAATATTCTGACATAATCTATAACCCTTATAAAATAAACTGTGTAATCTGACATCTATCTCTTGTATTTCTACAGTGTTAGATTAGACAAATATCAAAATCGGAAAATCATACAGAAATTCATGTGAAGCAACTAATCAATAATTCATTTAACTTTTTCTCCAAATAATTCATTTTTTTTTTATATCAACAACAATAGAATGTATCATTTACCTCCATTTTCCTGACAATGTCATAACCTTCGATCACTTTGCCGAACACCACATGTTTACCGTCAAGCCTGTAAATTTGATACGTAAATCATCAGTTCTTTCAAAACAGCTTTTATAATTTTCTCCTTTTCTACGGGAATTTTACAGATCTATTGGAATGTACATGTACACTTTTTCAGCAAACCTATTCCGAAATTTGAAACAACTGCAATTTACTTTCTAATACAGAGTCACTGATGCCTGATCTGTAGTGAAAAAACTCCCCCTTCTTTTAAAAAATACAGCCTGCAAAATTGTGAAGGTGTGAGAAGGGAGATAACTTGAATACCAGTAAATACTTCTTAATTTTAAGGAAATTTGCAAGTAACATTACAAGAAATCCACCAAAATAAGGGGGAAAAGTGACAAACTTCAGTTGTGGTAATGTACATTACACCAAAAACTTAATGCACACATCATGCATACACACATGTTATGCAATATCTAATGCAAAATTGTGCGATAGGATTGCACATTTTGTGTGTTTGGTAAAGATGGTTTGCTAATATAAATATAGTTAAATGGAAAACTTATGTAGTTATAACTAAACAGCAATCACAGGCATATTAAAATTGATCTGTGAATAGCAAAGTCATTTTTAATTGGGCAGTTTTTGAAATAACAATGGACCCTGCATTAATTAAGTCTTTCCTTGGTATAGTTTCACGCCTCTGAGAATAAAGAGTGGTTTGTCTCAGGCAACAAAAATTACCTGTATACACGTGACAGGTCCAGATATGCACTGGCAAGGTCTACCGTGTAACAAACACAACACATAAGATTTACCCGAGTATGCATTTTTTGTTAACAAAATGAGAGTAATACAGAAGTAATGAAAATAAAATTTCCTTTCTGAAAATATGAAATTTGAGATGATTTATTGCAGCGACAAAATGAGATTTCCATTTTATTGCTAAAAATGTTGACCTCTTAGGAACAAGTTGTTTTTTTTTTCACTATGGAAAGATGTACCTTCATGTGAGGATTCTTGAGAAATTTTGTCAAACCCTACATGCCAGCATTTAGAAGACACATTGAGGCAATATAACCAGGTTTTCTGCCAAAATTTACCAAAATTTCTAAACAAGTTACCTCAATTCTGTCAAATCAGTCTTATCAGAGCAACAGCATTCAATTCAATGTTTTCAGAAATGACTATCAGAAGTTGATGCATACTGACTATAACGACATATACGGTAGGTTTACTTACTTGGCCTCGAAGTGACATAAAACAAATGAAAATGCTAGACATTTGGACAAGATACAATTAAAATAACTGTTGATATGACAGTATTTAGGCTTCATTCCATGCAGGCTCACAACTGTGTTCATCCACCTCATATTTAAACTATTATTCAGCCAACACACAAAAAGCTACTCACCAATCTGTCTTATCAGTACAAATGAAGAACTGTGATCCATTGCTGTTGGGTCCGGAGTTAGCCATTGACATGATACCTTTTATAAAACAATGGAAAAAGTTACACATCAGCATTTTGTACCATACAATACCTCAAAGTGCTTGCAGTTATAGAAATGACATGCATTTTTTTATCTGGAATACATTTCTTACCTGGTCCTGTATGCTTCAAGATGAAATTTTCATCTTCAAATTTACGTCCATATATGGACTTGCCACCTGTACCATTGTGATTGGTGAAATCACCTCCCTGACACATCTACACCTGGTTAAGGAATACACGTATCATACAAACATGCTCATGCTATCATGGTAAATTTTCTTCATGTTTTGCATTGTTTCCTTAATAGCAGAAAAAATATTATTTGATATAAACTCAAGAAGAGCATATTTTCTCACATGATGAATCAAAGTGAACCATGAAATTAATTAAGCTATATGTACATATTTTTGATTGATATGTGAAGGTTTTATTATCAGCTCAGAGACAAGAAGCAAAAACCCTGCAGAAACCAAAACTAGTATTTTCCTCACTTTCCTCCACTTTCTTTATTCTTTTTAGGTTCTAGTGGGCTTACTCTGTTGTTACTTTGATCATAATGCGATATAGTGTACGCAAAGATTCTTTAAAATTGTCACTGAAACTTGTCAAAAGGGATATCTTTGTAGATTTGACTCAGAAAAGTCCCATACCATATTTATCAAGAAACCAGTCCAGAAGGTTTGACACATATACTGTGATTCAAAGTCAGGGGTTGGCCTTATTTCAGAAATTGAAAGAGTAAAAGTAGAAAATATAACCGATCAGAAATACATATAGGTGGATATACCAGGCCAGGGCTTTTTGTTGGATATGTATGGTAATCATTTATCAGAAGCAAACCTATATCTGTCATATCAACATTTGTCTATCATAGTAACAATGAAGGATACAAATTGTGGAATAACCCTGTGGAAACTGCTGCCTTTGAAACCAAATCCTTTCTCATGCGAGCAGAGACACCTAAAGTTCTCTGAAATATACAAACAATATTTTACTTATTAAATTGTTGTTATATCATCATTAAGATTATATCATTCCATTCTTATATTGATGAAAGGTTTCTGTTGCTATCAACATCAGGAGATTTAATGTCTAGTGCACCAGTACAACCATATGTTATCAGTTACACTTCAAAATATAAGAAAATTTAAAATTAAGTTAAAACTAATTTCAGGGCATAACAGTTATAATATCTTCAAAAATTTTACCTGCAGTTTTTGGAACAACATCTGCTCGCAGTTCTATAACAACTCGTCCAGATGTCCTGTTACCAACCTTGATGTCTAGATAAACCTGTGGGTTACCTTTGCTTTTCTTCGGAGGTGGTGCTGTTGTCTAATTCAGAACACAAAGACAGAGAATGACACATAACCATACATGTACAGTGTACATTAGATAAGAACTTTCCTGGTATGGTATATGTTAGATTATATTTTCATGAAATCAACATAAGTATTAAACAGTGTTGCAGATTTATAAATGTAACACTGAGGTATCTAGAAAAGATGTAAAATGTATAAATAATAATATAAAATATATAATAAAAATATTGCAAAGTTTCCAAAATATGCATAACTAGAAGTTAACTAGCAAATATGTTACACTTGGCATTACTTTTTATAAATGTCTTTTGGGTTTTTAATAATTTGTCAATTATCTTTCAGTGCCACCTAAATTTTATCAATACCTTATATTTTATGTATTAAGTAGTACCTATTTTTGCAATATGATTTCAGTTTCTTTACAGATTTGTGTTGCTTAAACTTCTGTCCATCCGTTGTTTTAATACCACCTGCTAATTTTAATTTAAGTAAAAAGGATAACAGTATAATTTTACTATGTTTGTTAAATAATAAAGACCAGCATTTTGCCTCCTGCTGCGAAGCCATTTTTTTTACAAAATGGAAAAAAGGCAACTGAAATCTGTTTGTGTAGTATATAAATTGATTCAAGGAATGTCGACAATACTATAGTTAATGACATTAAAAATGACACCCACACCAGTCAATCTAAACTCCAACTTACTGTTTCTGAGTCCTCAGCAGCCCTCTTTACTCCAGTGTCACCACTTTCCTTCTCCTCCTTTGTGCTGTCTTGCAGTGTTTCACCAGCATGCTTTTGTAGCCAGGAGTCCTCTGACCAAACTGTAAATGGTACAACATTTTGGCATTCTATCATCTTACTTGGAATACTAATTAAACCTGTCTAAACTAGATGTTATCTGGACAAATTATTTAGTCTGTTTAGACAGGTATCTCATTTTCAAATGTTTTCAATATACACAAATACGAGTTCATGAGAAATGTCTGCCATCTTAAAGTCTGAAACTTTTATTGATAAAAGAAATAAATTAAGTTTCTTTTAAAAAACGTTTGTCATTTGCTATGTATAACATGCCAAGTTTTCAAGTACAAAGATGCTTTCTGTCATGGTTTCGAAGTAAGACAATGTTTTCAAAGCAAAAAAAAATAAGAACACAAAAATTAATCATTTAAGAACAACATTTGTGGAAAAAAAAAAAAAAAAACAACTTCACACTACACTACAGGCATAATATATGCATTGAAGTGATCATCTTAAAAATGGGTGCTTTAATGTGTAATTTTTAATGTTCTGACAGGTAGAAATTTGTCATTGCTTCCTCAGATCATTCAATGCTTCAGTATGTATTGGTATCAAATGGGTCTAACTATCAGTGATCTTACTTTATGATCATGTGTGATAGTTATAAATCAGACACCTAATGCAATGAAAGATCAAACATTTTCCTACTAACCTACATGTGTATCAAAGACATCTACTTTTATTGGTTATTTTATCACAAATTTTTCAAAAACTTTAATGTTTTTTTGTCAGGAATCCCTGAAATAATCTACAGTCGCAATAACAGCACCTGCTCTAGAAGCTCCTTCCTTGATTTTCATTGGTTTTGCTATGTTTACTCGTATTGTTCGCCCAAACAGCTCAGATTCATTCTGTAAATATAATAATATAATACAAATATTTGTGAAATCCACATCATTAGTTCATAAAATTAAAAAATATATGGATACCATGTTTTTCGTTAAAAATCGTAAATAGGAGTATTTCAGTAACAACAGTAAATTAAATATCCTCATAATCATGTCTCTTTGTTATAAAATATTAAAGAAATAAACTCACCATATTGTCTACAGCAGCTGCAGAATCCTGAAACATTAAGGTATAGAAAGACCTAATTTAAGAAATACAACTATTTGTCTTTAATCTTGTATCATCTAATCATATTATATCATTCTAAACATTTTAGTACCTGAAACTCTATCTTCTAACTCTCCTTTCACACATTTTCAAACATCATTAGAGAATCTAACTCCTCTGATATTATGTTTTGTAAGTTAAACAAGCTACTGTATTACAATTTCATGTTTTATGAAAAATATGTTGTTGTAAAAATCTTGTTTTGATCATTCTAACCTTTTAATATCCTCTATATATTTCTTGTTCCAACTCACCTCTAGAAGTTCAAACTCAATGAAGGCAAATCCTCGGTGTTTCTCTAAAACGTAAAAAGTAATCCCACCAACATTATTTCATCATGAACATGTTCAAATAAACTTTAATTATCAAAAATCTGCTTCCTACCAACTCAACAACAACAAAACATCATAAATCTAGGAAGATGAAGATCTCAGACTGGACGCTCGTGGTTTATGATTTATCAGAATTAACAACCCATACATTAATTAATAATTCCTTCATTATATGTTCCTACATATATTCACCTGTTTCATAATCCAGTGGAATCTGGATGTCTGTGATGTCTCCGAATGGTATGAAAGCTGCATGTAGTATCTTTTCATCCACTTCTTCTGCTAAACCGCCTAAAAATATTGAAAATAAATATATTAATATTAGCCACTCTTCATTTATTCTCATTTATACCTTCATTTATAACGTGAATATCTAGTGTCTTCGAAGATTTGTTCAACAGACACATACGTGAATAGCATATTTACTACAAATTTGCAGTTAGACAGGTAATCGCTTCACATCTAGAGACATTCTCTTGTTATTCCCAATCTACCGGCGAACCACATGTCGACAGAATTGCTTAAACATTGAATAGGATTAAGTACTTATACTTTAAGACATATTCGGTACATCCGTTTTTTATTCGTTTGACTAGATAAAAGTGGATGTCATAACTGATACTGTCGATATATATAAACAAAGCAAAACTTACCAACATATACTATACGCTTCGAGTTCGTGGTCGCCATGTTTTTATATATGTACAACTAAATACCACCCAGTTGCTTTCCGGACCAACACTTAATAACAACCGTCATTTCCAGCTGAATTCTGATGTCGGACAGCGTGAACAATACTAAAATTTATGTTGACAAAATCATTCATTTAAAAAGATTGAAGGGTATTCCGCTGATACATTTTGATCAATTCTTCATTTCACACACATTCACCGAAATATCTTTTCGACGAAAAATCTGCGAGATCTGTGCGTATTTAGGATCGCCTTCGAATGTAAAACGTTTGTCATGCACGGCGTTTCTTTGTTGAATGCTAGACGATTCGCCCCAAAACCACAACGTCCGCATTTCTTTGCCCCAAATCCACGGTGCTGCATCAAGCTATTAATAGCCGTTTTACTACTTATTCACTCTTTCATAACATGAAAAATGAATTGTTAACAAACATTCATTTACCGATATGAGAAAAGAAGTCAACACTCACCACGTTTTTATTACATACATTTATTCACAGTAGGTTATATTTCTTTTTATCAAAATTGCTTCTTGATACCAAAATTTATTTTCTGACAACAAAAAGAAATCGACTTTACTTATTAATTTCAGAAAGTATTTAGATCATCGATTTTTTTTTTTTATTATTTCAAAACATTCGTTTTTATATATGTTAGAAAATAAATCATACTTTAGTGAACACTATAAATGGCCTATCAGTCAGATTAAAAGCTAATTCTGTGTTTGCTCTTCCTAGGAGAAGTTTCCTGTTCATGTACACAAAAACATCCGTTCCTTTATATAACTTGTGACATCTTGTGCGCTCGCAACTGGGCGTACGCCAGTCTATGTATCAATGCACCTCAACAAAAGCATGCAGTCAAATTAGAGGGAGTGCAGATCGAGACGAGAGCCACCAAATGTCTTCCAGAATGAAAGTGTTCAAAACTGTATGATAAAAAGTGCTTTGACGAAGTTGTACATTCTACTGAACATCATAGCGCGAAATAAAAATATATGATGAAATAGAAAATAAGTCATTGTAAGGAAAAGCATTTTTTTAACAAAACTGTAAATATTTGGAATTACACGCCTGTAATTCTTGTTATGTGTGCAAAACAAACGCAATAATCATTGGAGGAATCATGTTCCATAACTTAAGAAAAACTGACACAACCTTAGATGCCTAGAGTCACAATATATAGCCGATAACAAACTGAACTTATTGAGTCTGATGTAGAGTACTATATCATAGTGTTTCTTTTCTCTCTAGTCCATAGTTACGTTTTTTTAATTACCCCACCATCATATTCATGTGTATGTAGGTTCCCCTTGGGTCCTAGTTGTGTCATTAACCTTTTGGGATTGATCAGATAAACAAAATGGCTGACTGGCGGTCATCTTGGATTTTGAAAGAAAAATATTACCGCTATGTCATGAGAAGTAAGCTATGGGTCTTACCCAAATTTCATTTCATATGTAGGTTCCATCTGGTCTCTAGTTGTGCCCAGAACAAGATGGCCGACAGGCGGTCATAAAATGTTAACCATGGAAGTTTGTTGTTGCTGTTTCGCCAGAAATACTGAATGAATCTTTCTCAAATTTTAGATATATGCATAGTAGGCTCTGTAGTTGTGTCTTGTTGATTTTGACACTGGTCAGAAAAGAAATAAAGATCAAACAATGGTGGGCACCAGGATCTCTCTGGGATATTATGTTTCATCTAAGATGAAACCTGCAAAGGTCCTCTGTGAATCTTGCGTATTTGAACTGGAGAGGACGTGAATCCATTCATAGCTACTGGACTTTTCTATGTCAAAGTACCCTTTCAAAAGTTCTTTTTACTTGAGATAGGTTCTTGGTTGCACTCATATTAACTTTAAAATTCACCCATACATCACCACTTTTCCCTAATAGTGTGTTAAAACAGCGTCTGTAATTAAACTTACATCATTTCTATTAAAGATGAGATTTGAATTGACAGCTTATCATTTTCGCGTAGGCCGGTGTAGGTAACCTAATGTGTTGATAGTGATAATTGTTTTTGACTAATACATGAAAAAATGTTTGATTTATGAAAGTGATGAATGTTTGTTGATTAAGAACCCCAGTCAATTTCCCTGAAGTTGATAATCCCCGATCACAGCTTTCGTCCTGTTGGTATGATAACGGTGAACATGATTTATTTTTAATTTCTGATAGTACTCATATCCACAGTTTTAGCACGCGCAGAAATATATGCTGATCAGAGTGTGTAATTTTCATCGCTATGGAAAAGTTTTCGATGATGCGTCATGTGTATTTTCTACTCACATAGTCTCTCCTTCTCCAGTTCTACTATTTGTACATATGTAAGTTTTTGTAAGAGAAATTTTAACTTCAATAATAATCGACGAAACAAAATACGAAATGTACGAACAAAAGAAAGATTACTACAAAGGCCAATGAAAAACTACGAGGATGAAAAGACCAGGTTTTCTAGAAGAGTAAGCGTCTTCTGCTTCATCGACGACGTCATGTGTGTTTTGTTCTCATTTTATTGAGTGCTGTTGAGGTCTGTCAAAAACTTATTCGAGTTGTCTCCCTTATAACGTAAGTAAAACTTCCGAGTCGATCGTTATGATCGTATTATTTTCTTTTACATCCAAGTTGAGTTTGATACATGTTGTGAAAATGTGTTTCCAATTTTCTGACTTTTCACCGAAGACTCATCAAGCGGGCGAAAATATATTCATATTATTTAAGTTTTGCAAAATCATGGGTTGTTTGTTTAAGTTAATGGTTTGATGAACACGCAACAAGAAATTACACTTCAAATATCTTAAAAGGTGGTAAGTCATAGCCAGCGTGACAGATACTTGTTACATTTCATCAGTTCTGTGGTATTTGTTCGAGATATGGTGCTTGTTGTGAATGTTCTGTTTTTATAAATCTTGTATAATTCCAAAATCACTCCACATCAATTCCATAGAAAACTATCTCAATATGTTGCACCTGCTACTGATTTTGAAAGTCTAAGAGTGCTTCATCATCCCTGATCAGATGGTCTAATCAGCCACAAAACCAGTCGCATAAAATCCAACAATGAAACTCAATTACCTCTATTTTCAGCTATATTTCCTTCTCAAAATCTGAAATTTATCAAAACTGTTTCCCCTATTGAAAACACAACAACAGGTACGAGTATAACAAACGTGTTTATCTGTCAAATTACATGTAGGTATCAAACACTTACATTGGTGTAATGGTACGACAGTAATGGGGTACTTTAACAGTAGGGTTCGTGTGTCTAAATATATGTAAGATATTTTGATTGTTGTTTAATCTTTAACAGAAGGGTTTTTCACTACATTGACAATTCAACTTTAAACCAACACAATTAAAAGATGAAAAAATGATAAATACAAATGTTTATCACAACTTTTCATTCACAGCATCTTTCATACCAAGTTATTCAAAATGTGTATTTTCTTGATATATTGAATGGAGAGATACTTATCGCAAGTTAAAATACACTGTTTTTCTTTAAAGAAGGGAAAATAGATGATATCATTCATTGCGATAAGGAAAAATGAATATCAAAAAGCCAAGAACGACAGAGGAAATGTACGAGAGATAAGGGTAGAAGGGAAAGGAAACTTGTTCCATGTTAGGCTAGCAATTATTGGATGCAATTAATGAATACCAATTAAATGTAAGTTTAACACTGAATCTTTATGATTCTGTCAACATCCTTACGATAATGCCTGGGATATAATATGTTTCTTCTCCCTATCTCTAAAAAGGATATTCCGGAGTCTGATGATTTTTTCTAGGTATCGTCAACATCAAAATTACTGAGCGGACAAACAAAATTGACTTAAATATCATTTTCCAATTCAACGTTAGACCGACTGAAGATCTAACATTTATCACGTGAAGATTTTGATATCGAAACTCGAACTCAAAGTCATCAGCGACACTGTGAGTGCGTTGCGCATATGCACAGGTGTTGTTCTATATAATATTTCTACAAATTAAATATTGTAGCTTGTTTTTGTGTCGGACTTAGGCGTACTTAGGTAGATACTTATGCGTGCTTATCCTCCTTCTTTTCCCCTCGGAATATCCCTTTAATATCATATGAAAGGAATGATGTGGCACTTCTCATATATCTACACACATACAAACACAATATACCTTTTTTTTCTAATGTCAACCTTAACGTGGTGAAGAAATGAACATGTCAAAAATCTCAATGGCAATGATAATGGAAAAAAAAATCAAGACAACTACAAGGCAACTCTAAATCAGACATCTTTGTACGAGTTACTTCCCTTTGCTCATCTCGTTTCTTTGGTCTGTCATGGAGACAAAATGGTGTAAACTGTTGACTTCTATCCTAACTCACCAACATGTTGTTCATGGAATATGAAGTATTTAACTGATTCACTTTAAACTTTAGAAGAGATCTAATGTTACAAATTTTCTCTGATAAAGTATTTAGATTGTCAATACCATGATATCAAAAAATATATGTTTGGTATTACAACTTAACTTGAACAAAGTTCACAAAATCTGTCATATGCAATGGGTTTCTATTTCAAAATCACTAAATTCACGACCGCGTAACAGGGTTTAAAATTCACCAATCGGTACATCAACCTGTTGGCATTAGTAACATTTTATCACGTGTCTTATGATATGGCTATACATTATCAAAACTCCAAATATCGTTACCGAGAATATGTTTATAGATGTATTTGTAGAACATTATATCATTAGACATGTGATATATTTTCCAGGTCATGGGTTGCTACTTAAATTGGAGTGTAATTTTTAACCCAACAGTGTCGTGGTTTCACTTATACAGATAGACCTAAGTTATATACACTTTGTGAGATAGTGACACTTGACATAATCCCAGTTACCTGTCAGTTGTGTTGATTTATAAACATTTTATAAAATGCTGTGTAATAATCCAATATATTTAACATCTATTCTATCGTATCAAGTCAGTACTACTTAGCGTTAACAAGTCCTCTACTTGAAAACTTAAATTCTGGTTACTGTCACGTGACATATATTGCCTTTGAAATGTATGTTTTTATCGCTTGATAATCTAGTGACTACAGAGCGTGGTGACGACCTCATCTCATTCCCGGCCCCAATCGGATGTCAAGCTTATCACTATACCATCTGACACTTTGAAACGATGGACAGTAATTCTGGGAGATCAGTATGACCTTATCTGTGTCAGGGCGAACCGTATTACTCCAGTTCACTCATATGATAAATTTATGCTAGTTCCGCAAGCACTACACTGACGAATGGTGTTTACACATACAGAATTATACTGTTTGATGAGTAGAACCAACACCTCAAAAAATAGATGTCTCGGTTTTGGACAGGAACTGGAAGTGTAATGCTATTGATATGCATATAAAAGTTTGCAAGGCCACCGTTTTTTTTCTTGTGTGGATTACCAATTTAATTTTTCTTTTGTCCCTTATTTAGAAAACAACATGTTTGCACTAATCAGAAAAACGGGAAATTTTCTCTGACAAACAAACTACCCGTTGTCCTTGCTACTGTACTCGCTACTTTATAGTTGACAAGATCACGATACTCTAGGTGTAAACTTCTCACGATACTCTAGGTGTAAACTCACGATACTCTAGGTGTAAACTTCTCACGATACTCTAGGTGTAAACTTCTCACGATACTCTAGGTGTAAACTTCTCACGATAATCTAGGTGTAAACTTCTCACGATACTCTAGGTGTAAACTTCTCACGATACTCTAGGTGTAAACTTCTCACGATAATCTAGGTGTAAACTTCTCACGATAATCTAGGTGTAAACTTCTCACGATACTCTAGGTGTAAACTTCTCACGATACTCTAGGTGTAAACTTCTCACGATAATCTAGGTGTAAACTTCTCACGATACTCTAGGTGTAAACTTCTCACGATAATCTAGGTGTAAACTTCTTTTTCTCCTATATTGGGTTGTCTGTAGTTATTTCCTTCCGTCAGAGGCATGAATTGGAGACCGTTATCCACAATTTCATCCTCTGGTTTCCGTTTGACCTCTTTTGTGGAAGACCCGAAGCATCGTATGGCAAACATAAATTCCTCTGCCATTTCAGAACAAAGTGATTGCTGAAAAATAAAAAAAAAAATCAACAATGGATATCGAAGACATGAACCATGACTGATATCATATATTTTAGCATAGAAATGGTATATAACAAGTTAGAATAGTAAAAGGTTGGACAATGGAGAGATCGAATATATATATCTATCACATAATCGACTTGTTATCCATGCAGTTAGTGCGCCCATGCAATATTTGCGAGTGTCTATCACCAGCGTGATATACTCTGGAGCTTTTCATTGGTTGAGCCAGTCCAAAATCGTTTGTGATGATTGTCATGAATTGGAAACGGATTTTTGAAAAAAATGGCTGCGTCCGCATTTTTACTTAAGAATCTATCAAAATGTATCGTTTTTTTTAGTTATGTGATAAAAAAATATCTTAAATGTTTTCATTCTATATGAGAAAATGAAATTGCCAAGGCTTGCAAAGATACTTTTAAAAAAATCGAAGACCTGTTTCATAACATCTTAAATAAAAACTCGTTGGAGATGTTATCCATATCATCAGTCACAAGTAGACAATAGATACAGGAAATGACACTTCTTTTGCATTTTACTATTTATTTATTAACAGAAACAGGAATTCTGACCGACAGTTTGTCTAAATTTAGCATCTATTTACTCACATTGCTATTTATGACAACATAAACATATCAATTGCAACAAACATACGTGTAAAATAATTGACACGTGACCACACACACGTTTTGAAATAGCAATCAGGTGACCTATCATTATTAGTGTGAGTTTCAATCTTTAGCACTCCCCATTTGAACTAAAGCTTCAAAAAGCTTTTCTGCGCATCGACAAAACTGCACTACAGCAAGTGTTGCTTGCCCGGAAAGCCAAGAACTCAATTTTGATGTAAAAGTGTGCAAAACTCCATGTCAGAAGCGAATAGTAACTTATTAACTCTTTGTACAAACAGTTTTCGCTCTACCTGATCCAGTCTCTATTACACAGACTATCGACAGATACGTTATGCCGCCATAAGACTGAAAAATATCTGTGTTTCCGGTTTCTACCCGAAAGAATCAATGTCGGCAGGTAAAGATTTCCTTTCTATGTTTGCTTGCTATGACAATGACGCTCAAGTACTACATATATTGTATTGATTTGGGAATGGTCAATACAATTATAGCAATTCAATGTTGTAAAGTAATTATTTACATTCATTTAAACCAACAACTAAACGTTCCAGTATATTTACTGTGGTCACTACTAAAAGATTTCCGCCAATCTCGCGGGAGTTTATTTTTTTGGTAGTGGCGGCCATTGTAAACTTCCAAGAAAGGTGTCGATAAAATGTTTGACATCGGTATGTTTAAATATATGTCAAGCGTCTAAGCGAATTTGTCCCTGGTTACTTGTATTTCTGTGGATCGCTGAACAAGCAATAGTAACATTAATTCGGAGATTTAAGAGTTTTACAAAATGATGAAAAAATTATGGTCGATAGCAAGCCAAATTGGGAAGGTCGAGAAACCAAAAACACAGATAACTTTTTTTTCCTACGACAGAAATAAGGGATGGCCCGCATATTCAGTATCGTGAAAACGACGTGAAAGAAAATAGTCTGACTGTCTAAGAATGAAGATAATCATCTTAATTGGATGGTGCCTGTAAGACACTTGATCTACAGAACAAAACAAAAATAGAAAATTATAGTTTCCTTTCGTTCCCTAATATAATACAGATAATAGTGTTCAGTATCTGATATATAAATCGGGACGCAATCAGTTACTGTATAGTCCGGACACATACAACCTTGTAGTTATAAAAATGTTTACCCACTTTCAAAGCCAGGGATAATGTTTTTATTTAATAATTGAACAAAAGCAACATTTTTATGTCAAAATGTGTAAAATAAGAGGCAGAGTGATTTAGTGTCTATAAATATAGCCAAATAAAACTACCAATAATTCTAAGGAACGAACTGGAAAAGTGGCATGTATACATGTATATCTAATTCCTCTTTCACTCTATTTGTTGATACTGTGAATATTACCTCTGTGAAAAAATGCCTAGTTTATATGGCTTACTTAAGACATATTTTTTGTAGGAAACTACTAAGGGAAAATTGTAAAATCTGTAAATTTAAACAAACAAGCTTAATTGGAAGGTTGAGACACGATGGTCATAAAAGCCATAATGATGGTCAAACACCCCGAGACCCTTCCATCCACGAAGAACATTTGATTCTACCATATCTGGGTGTTGGAAAGAGAACTTATGGAATTTCAGTTCATGTGCCCTTTTGGGCCTCGCCCATCTGCCCCTAGGTGCAATCAGGATCGTATTTATTATTCTAACCAAGTTTAGAATTATTACTTTGGAAATGAAATAAATTCGACTAAAAAGTGTCCCCCTTCCCTGCGGATAATAGGAAACATTGTAGTCACGAAGTTCTTGGTTTTAGAAAATATGATTTTCGAAACTTCCATCGATAAAAAGTATATCTAGATGTTGTGAAGATTGTTTTACAATTTGAGGCCCATAGGAGGTAAGGACAATACTTTTTACAATTTTGGTTCACCTTTAACCATGGAAGTTTTGGCATTGTGTCGCTTCAAATATTTTTCCCAAAAGTCGAAAATGTTAAAAGTTAACAACGCACAACGCATGACGCCGGACAAAAGGCGACCGCAGTAGGTCATCATGGGGCATTGTCTTAGGTGACCTAAAAGTCTGCTAAAGCACTTAAAGGTACCTGTCATACATTTTCAATTTCCAACATTTTTATGACCGTTTGGTGATTGTCGTAATACGTTTTCAATTTCCAACATTTTTATGACCGTTTGGTGATTGTCGTGATACTAATGTCTCTCAGCATACCAATACAGTGCTTTTGCATGTCTCGTGTTAAAGTGCGAACAGTGTCATTGGCATTGTAATGTAAAGCATGAGATGCTGTGTTTTGCTAATATTATCTAGATCCAACACCGGGCTACTTACTGCTAGTCTGTTGTTTCGCTGGAAAAACATGCACAATGACGCGTTATTGAAATATACGTCAAAGTGTGTTAAATAACAGTACAATTAATGAAACGTAGTAAAACTGAAAAAAACACGACGAGTATGGAAAAAAGGATGTTCTACAATATCTCCGAACATTCTACAAGATCGTGAAAAACAAAAATGAAACAACGATTAACTATGAGGCTATATGGAAACAGATATGATACCTGAAGGATTTACAGAAATTTGTTTCTAATGTGCGTGTCTTTTGTACAATACTTGAATAACTAGCTTTAATTTGATCAGAGAATATTTTAGATCAATTGGGCGATGAGTTTCGACAGTTCAATTACCTTGTCTTCTCGAGCATTTTTCTTGGCAGTGTATATGAATTCACATATGGCTACCACAACAGCTGCAAACATTCCTCCAATAACAACGACAAACACACCACCCACGTTCTTCACACCAAGGGCGGCGCTTACTTCCTTTGCCTTGGTTACACACCTCCCTCCACCGTACTTCTCCTTCCACCAAGTGTTATACACTTTATGTATTTCCTGTTCTTCTTGTAGTTTCAGAATCGCATTAGAAATAGGATCTCTGTAAGGCGAATCTACGAGGGAAATTAATTAAGGTTATTTATCCTAAAACGTAGTTCACAATGTCCTGAAAAAAATGATACCATACTGAACAGAGACACATAGCGCCTTATACATCAATTTATTTCATTGGTGCATGTTGCCTACCAATCAGAATTCACATACGGTTTACTCACATGGACATACATGTCGATATCTGTACGGTTTCAGACCATTTAACCTTTAAATTTGCTACATAAATATACAAACTACAGTGATCGATCCCAGCATCACAGAAAGGTATCATTTATCAAATCACAAAATTAAACGAAACGACACGGAAACAAGCATAGATCAAATTCCAAGCAAAATACAGGCGTTGTATTAGTCTGTGTAGACTATTAATGATTGGACGTGATGTACAACAATTTTCATTTCTTTCTGAGTACCAAATATGATAATTTAAACATTGAATTTCCTCTGTTACACGATATTCAATTTTGAGCTTATTCTATAATGTAATAGTTTGTTTTCTTGGTTACGTGTTACGATTTATTGTATACTGTACATATAATTTATGCTTAAAATGTAATTCTGTTGCAACTTTGACAAATAGAAAATAACCAGTTGTTCAGAATATGTCTGATTGTTCATCAGTATAAACCATCTTCTTCATCATGACTTGTAAACAAGCAAATGTTTATTATGGAATATCATCATAACCAGATTTAAACATTTCAGACCCTAGCACCTAGCCTGTAATGGTAAGGGAAATTTGCTGTGTGTCAACACTGTGTAAGACCATACCTCCTTGAAAGCGTAATGACTGACTTATGCGATTTTTAAAGAATTTTTACCTCGTGGTAGTGCGATGCCGTATCCTTTTGAGTCTAGCAAACCTCCAACCTGCATCAAGGAACACTGTCTCTCGATTTCATACTCGACTTTAGACGATTCGGCAAAGAAAGCATATTGTCCTTTTTTCACGCGTGCTATTCCTTGTTCAGAACCGTTGACAAAAACACTAGGCCTTGTTGAATACATAAAGTTCCACATTCTCTGATAGATTGGGAATTTTGAGTTCTGAAAATAAGAAATGATACGAGTTTCACTGAAATAAAGTTTTTTAAGTGTGATGTTTAAAGAAATACAGTCTTATTGCAAAACGAGAAAATTAACAAAATTGATTGACTGATTGTCCATCCCTCTGTCTGGTTCAGATTTTCATGCAAGTATTTCTTAAGGAGAATTGATAAAAACATACGGCAAAGAAGTTCTTCGTGCTGCCTTCATTCAGAGTTCCGTATTTGATCTTTGTCTGTTTCGCAAGATCTTCAACGTTAGTGATGTCGGATACCATTCTTTCGTTAGTGAGGAAAGCAGCCAAGTTAGCGGTATATGAGGATACCATGATCAGCGTAAAGAACCACCAAATACCTGCTACAAGTCGAGTTGAAACCGCACAGGGCGCTATTTCACAACCTAGGACAAACAGTTGATGTTGTTTCAGATTTACAAAGTCAGAATGCCAACTGAATGTTATTTAACAGTTACACTGTATGTGTATTATGAATAAAATAATCACATTGCGTCAGACAGAAAGTCTCATTTCTGATTCAGCGCATGAAAATTGAAATAAGCAAATTAAAAATTATGCATATCAGTTTACCTTGCTGCATAAGGGCGCCTATGGTGAACCACAGGCTATTGAGGATGGAGAATTGGTTTTCTACCACATCTTGATCTGGATTACAAGGATGGGGGTTATTCCACTCGTATGGGGTAAACCTGGCGATTGCAAACAGCATGAAACTCACGCAGAGGTAGCCGGCACACATGTACACCCAAACGTCAATAGAAAGTGGGTCTAGGAAAGAGAACAACTTGGGCGGTTCCGGTTCCGGTTTTTTATAGAGAATAGTGATACCCAGATTCAGAAACGGTTTAGTGAAGTCTATGACTTGTTCCCTGTCCCATGTGATGGTCATTCCCGCTACAGCCAGGTCAGCATTCTAGAAAATCACATTTATACAATGACCTGGTGAAAGGGAAAGGGCACATTTTAGTAATAACAAAAAGTATGTATTATTTGCACATTTCAGTAATAATGAAAAGTCTGCATTATTTGCACCAAGTCCTAATTTATCTATTCGAAATTGATTATTACAACACAACCAGAAAATGAAATTAAGTAAAAAAACTATTAAGTAACTAAAATCTCGATGATGACATATCTTCAAAGATTTTATAAAAGGCACACAAACCATTTGTACCTTTCACTATACAAATAAAAAATCTGACTACATCTTAACAAATAAACAGTTTCCGATAAAGTAAAGATAGAACATCACGTGATCGTCGTATACAGTATTAATAAAGTAACAATTCTAATTCAAAATCATTTAATAACTATTGTCTTTGATGTTTATGGGTTCAGATTTCGTGGTAAGATTGTCAATGATGATTTACCCGTTCCACTAATTCTTTGACCATGCCTGTACAATTCTGGAATCCCGGCTTGCAGTTGCCGTATTGTTGTGTCGGCTTGATGGTGTAGCTAAAATTCAACCTCTCTGCTATTTTGTCGAGTAGATCGATACAGAACCCCTCGTATTTCTTCTCAGGACTAGGTCTGTTCTCCAGCGGTATCTCAAGTATGTACGGTGTGTCCTTGATTAAAATTGATATAATTTGAAAATTCCATCTGTTTTCGTAAGATCTTATTACGAGAATGAAAATCAAAGGAAATGGACATGAAATACGTAATGTATGTTGTTTTTTGCCGGGTTGTGTTCATTACGATATGATTTTTTGGTGAAAAAGTAATGAGCCAAGTGATATGAAATAAAACTTTAAATGGAACTGTGTAAACTAGATAAAATGTCAAATATTTACCACTAATGAGACCAACAATTTTATTCCAATATTTAATCTACAATCTTAACCTATGGCCATACAACTACTCGTTTATTTCCAATAATCTTATATTAATTTTATCATAACAAATTATTTACTAGTAAATTAATAGGAAAGATGACCTCTGCATGGACATATAACCTTGACCTTCGATCATTTTATCCTGATCAAATTTGCGTCACAGGGTCATAACGAAATTACGGTGAAAGATCAAATTTTGGCTTGAACTCTTGATGAAGTTTGACGTGTTTTATGCTCGTTTGTTTCCATTGTTTTATACATGTCCTCATTAGAGATCGTGACATTACTTACTTGAATTTTACAAAGATTTACATGGCATGTGTCGTCGATGAAGAAGAAGAGTCTTGCTCTTTCGGAACACTTGGTCCTATTCTCTCTGTACTTTTTTCTCCGTGTAAATCCTACTTTTTGTTCATTTTTTTTATTTAATCAGAGTTTGGATTATGATTCTGTTCATATTTTGGTATTTTGTTGTTTGGCCGTGTGATATTGTTTTAGTTGTATTTTTTTGTTTTTGTTTTTTTCGTTTTGCTTTTTGTTTTTGTTTTGTTTTGGTTTTTTTTGTCAGCTATGCCTTATAATAGCGCAATTTCAGCGCAGTGCACACCGCCTGTGGGTGAACAAGGTAACTTTAAAATTTCATTGAAATTTCACTATTCAAAAGTTCATTAGTGCACTGAAATGTTTACACTGATCTGATGTTTGATATTGAAATGAAGTTTATCTTATGCACTGTACATTTGTATACTGCCTGTGTTTGATGTAGTTAAAATTTTCATAAGATAGTCTTAAATGGTTAAAAGGTTAAAAAACAGCATTACATATAGATTGAGATCAACAACGACGAGAAGAACCAGGGCTAATACATTATGTTTTCCTACAATCGAAAGAGTACACATAAACTTAGAAAATCGCAATGATACATATTGCCAGCATATATCGATAAAACAAAAGGACTCGAGCTTTGGCAGTCAATAAGTGGTATTATCGTGATTTCCGTCAAAACACATTAAGCTTTTTCTGCATAAATACGAACTTACATTTATTTTTAACATATAAGAGACTGCGTCCGGAAATTATCTGTTTATTAATCATATTCTTTGCAAAAGAATAATCAATGAAATATTTAGCAATTATAACTATATATGTAAATGTCTAAAAATAGAAAAGGATAAAATAATTTCAATAAGTGTGGAGACGTGTTTAGAATTACTTACAAGGACAGTAACAACACGCAGGGTCTTGTTTGCTAGTTCCTGTAGGACCTCTTCTTGTCTCTCCTTAAACGACTTGGTAATGTTCACTCCGCTTCGTGGATTCCATTCTCCTACCTACATATTACCATACAACAAATTTCATTTCACCAAAAAAGAATACGATAGATCCACGATATCGCCAGGTACACTTTAATTCATTGATTGCGTTGAGAAAATATTTTTTGGTAACCGATATTTCTATAATCTTTATCTTTTCATTTGACGTTCTAGAGAGATATTTATCGGAAAATTATGTACTTGATACGTATGTATCTGGTAAGTTCCTACCTGAATATGCTAAATTGACAGCAAATAAAACAAGGGCCGAATATCTATGTATACGTATATTACAGTAGTGTATTTCAAACGCAAGTGAAAAATAAATTAACACGATTGGAATTCAAGCTTTAATCAATTTTTTTTCTTAATTTCAGAATATCTTGTTTCTACCTTTTGTATGCCATGTGTAGTCAGCTCCACGATATCCAATTGAAAATCAGTTCGTTTCCTGCCGTTCGTGTAGTGCACGCGACCTGTAAGACCTTCAAAGTCCATCTAGAAGAAAAACATTGTATTATTAATGATAAGTACCAGAAATCTATCATCATTAATTGTATATCTATCTCAGATCAGTATACAGAAGTTAAGGTTGGCTTGTACTTGCGGTCCCCACGTCTGTGCGTCCGTCGATGCGATTTACAACAGAATACCACATTTACACTATTATGGATACCTTATCTTAGTCTTTGTAACTGTATCTTCGCTTTTGTTTTGTTGCCTTTCTTGCTGATATAGATGACAAGCAGTATATACTGAGTATGTAGATACTATGTAGACTCTAAGGAGATTGTACAAAATATACACACGTGGGTAGCACTTTAAATACAAGTTTAGAATCAGATACAGTAGATACAGCCAAATAATGACGTATACTGCATCATATTGCTGTTTTGTTCGTCTACGACTTAAACTTACCTGAGAGGAAAATCAACCTTGAAAACAACGTCAGAGTGTAGGAGGGGTGCACTTACCCCTTCATAATTAAAAGTAAGATTACGCTCTAACAAAAAGTCACGTGTATGTATATCTGATATCATTATGTACCTAATTAATTTTCCTTGATATTGTTGCTACCCTGGATTCATGAATTCGTATGTAAACCATAGGATAAATAGTGACATGTTGACTTGATTGTTAAGTAGTAGTGGATGACGAAATCAAGTCAAACATAACGAGATTAGAGCTTCAGGAAAATTCAGTCATACAATATAAAAAAAGGAAGTACCGCTCTCATGTAGTTGAGGAGACTGATGCCATCGTTCCAAGGCTGTGGTTTACTGCAAGACAGGGACACGGTCTTCACACTGTGAGATTTGAGGAGCTCGTGCAGAGCACGGGCGAATAGGTATGCTGCATCATACATAAGGGCTGTTTCAGTCTATTAAAAGAAATTATTCGATTATTTTAAATGAAAAATTAATACAGTTAAATCTGTCTTTACCGAACTTAACATGAACCAATATCATCGTAAAAAATTAGAAAGGTTTAAGAGTAAGCCATGTTTAAAATGTTAAAAGTATCCAATATATTGAGTTTTCCCATGATTCCATTTTGATAATGAACATGTATATATTAAAAAAGCATTCCTGATTTTACATGTACTTTAAACTCAACAGAATTTACATCGATTTCAGTGAAAAAGATACCACACAGGGAAAATAATTTGGTAACAATTTGCGTCTGCAACAGCAAATTAGACGAAGATACTGTAATCACTCACACCAAAACTACAAAGAAGTTTTGTAAATATTTCAGCATTGTAAATTTTCACGCTTTAAGAAAAAGAAATTAAATAATTAACAATAAACTATATATATTAGAATAAATTGGATGACAACGATTTCATTACAAAGGAGACAACCTAGACGTCCTAGGATCTTACATGGGTTTCCATTTCATATAAATTCATGAGTCTTAGAATTTTTCTTCTCACCAAGCATCTGGCGAGCTTAAAAGAAAATGCTACAAGGTTCACTTATTACATTATGAAATGGAAACCCGTAACATTTTTCACATATACTGTAGAAAACGTTCCTTTCCACGTCTAGCGTAAAGTCATCCAAGTTTTATATCAGCTTATTTTCTCCATGGTAACGTCACTACTAGCTGTCTACTAATGTATATCGTCATTTAGCTACTGTCAAAGTACTGATTTTGGCGATAATTCTATCTTAGCGCTAAACTATATTGACGCGCAATCTTCTTTTTTTTTTAATTTTTGCTCTAAACTGATTTCAAAGTAGGATATATATAGTGTTATTCACTCTCGAAATAATATGGCAATCGTGTAATAAATATATACCAGTAAACAGCAATATATATCAACGTCTTACAAGATCAGCTGTATTTGTTTCGGGAGAAAAAGACAATAGTGGACTTCTGTTTTCTTTTCTTCCTGTTACATTTATTAATCGAAACTTCAATTGTATCAAACCTTTGTTTACCTAACTACGCTTATTTAGGCCAAATGACGTTTGGTTCAAAATCCAATGTATACAATGCTGTTTTGTGACTTTACTTAAATAAAACTGATCATGACAACACGCAAAATTGCTTAACCTAACAATCTAATTAGTTGCAGGATGAATAGCAGTAGCAGATCAGTGCTGATATCAAATCACCAATATTGATTATCACAAAAACATTATTTAAGTCATGATATTTGGACTACAAATCAGGAAACAGAATAAAGGGGAAACAAGATGAAGAAAGAAGTTTTGTGTTTTAAAAAAAAATGGTTACGTACACAATGAAAGATAAGGATAGTTTCTGTATTCAAACCATTCGATGGGATGATAATCTTCATTGACAGTAAGTATTACATCCTCTAGCTTAACAGTCAATCAATACTCCGAGCTTCTAACGTAAGGAGTTCCATCCAATATCAGTTTATGATCAACAGCTATTTACCTTTATGACTGCCTTACTGATTTACTAAACACTAAAATACATTTTGAATTCTCACAAATACAAAACTAAAGACGATGGTAGCAGTGGTAAACATAGATGTTCCTATCTTGATATACGAAGCACAAAACAGGTAGACAGCACTAACAAGTTACACCATACAAGTTACACCATACAACACAATAGTATGCAGTGAGAGAAGGATTTAATTATATACGAGATTGAGGTCGCCTTCCGTGGGTTGTGTGGTACAACCAACCTACCATAATTACATTAGCACGATGCAAGACTTCAGATACTCCTCTGCATTCCAATGGTAAGCATAAACAGAAATTAAGACAACATGACTACATGACGTGTGTTTGTCAATTAAAACATACCATAAAGTCATCCATGCCGCTTTCTTGTAAGTTATAATAATCAAAGATACACCTTGAAAAGTCACTGATTAAACCACGTTATCAACGCCACTCTGTCTATCATTCAAAGCAATGTATATATACACGTAGATTCGTTTATCATTAAGCACGTTGTGATTAGGTTTGTGATAAGCTATGATCATTATTTGTTAAAGAAACCTTCCTTTTTTATATGATACACGTTCAAATGAAACTTCTAACGGGGCACTTACAGCAAGATTTCTATTTCAGCACAACATCATGGATAATAACTGTACCACAGAATGTTTTTGGACTTTGTAATACAGGTGTATTACATGTCGAGTTATATCAAATACTAAAGAAATGCTAATATATAATAAAAATATCTGTAAATATAGAAATGAAAGAATCAAATTAAATTAAATGAGGAGAGAAATGTTGCTAGCTTTGTTTTAATGAGCACGGGTGTCTTTGAAATCTATCTGAATCTTAAAGGTTTTTCAAAATGATGACCACAATAATGGTTCTTATATACAACTAATTGCTTTTACACGCTGTTGATATAGACCTTAACGGGACGGTACTATAATACAGAAAATACTTATCATAATATTGACTCTTAAGAAAATTATGAATTGCTAGAATATGTTAACAGGTTCCATGCTTTTGTGACAGTAGTTAACAACTGCCAACGAAATTCCAACTAAATCCATAACGGTATAAATTAAACATGTCTACGTATGTATGTGTTCAACGTTTTTAATCAGCATTCTCAATATAGATGCATACTGTTAAATCTATATAAAGCATATCTATGATATATGGAAAGCATGCATTCTGTGCTTTTTTTTTTTGATATTCTTAATTGATCAAAAACAATTACACGTGTGTAACATACCGGTATCTGTCTTTGACCTTGGAGAGGGGAAGGTCGTGAGTTTATTTCTTCAAATATCCAGTCCTCAGTTACAGACATCACCTTTGGTCGGGAAGCATCCACTATTCGCATCGCTGTTATGTTGGCACCACTATATCTGTATTCTTTCAGGTCAACGAGACCTACATCCTACATTATATGTAAAATAGCTCATTCAATTCTAACAAGCTTTAAAACAGAAATAGATCAAAATGTGTTTACTGTTTTAATCACTCGATGTAAAAATTCAAAGATAAAGACAACAAGAAAATACTAACATGTGAACATAATCATAATCCAAACTCAACATCAATATAAGTAGGGCAAAAATGTATAAAACAAAGATTAACACTCCTGAAAAAGTACAGGGAATACAAGACCAAATGTTCCAGAAGACTAAGCGTTGTCTGCTTCATCGGCAACAAATGCCATTTAAATCTTTCTTAATTGAAGTAAGCAATGTCGCGTTCTCAAATGAGAACAAGGTATAAAATAACGGAACCAACAGGTAAACTCACGAGTATCGCATTACGTTCATTTTCGTATCGCACAAAGAAATAGAATATATCTTAACGAGATCATTATGTCGACCGCAAAACTTTTTTATCAACGTGCATCTATTGAAACCATGGTTCATAAGTTTGTATATCAGTTAACGTCATCTTATACGAAAATCTTGATACTAGAAACAAGCAATTGGCATCTAAATAAAATATGGAATAGAAACAAGAGAGAAGCAACGCTTGGCATGGTGGAAAGCTAAATAAAATATGAAATTCTGCTGAACGTGGTCAATAAATGTCATATTATTTAAAGATGAGACGTCATGAGTATACATGAAAGTGAAATGGAAGAACTTTACAAAGTCGTTTTGACCTATCCGATAAATTCGAACATGGCTACCGGTTTTATTTTAGTCTTCCTATCAGCTTAATGTTGAACATAATACCAGACAATGCGCTTACACCTAGAACAACGTCATTTGAATCCACTTACCAAACTTGTGAAGAGATAGTGAAATGTTTCAGAGACCATGTTGACCCTTTTGGCCTGAAACGATAAAAGATGAAAGCTATAGTTGCTATGAAAAGAAACCGAAACATAAAAGGTTCTATGTTACAACCGAAAGTCTTTTAGTTTTGAAATTTCATATCTGACATTACCGACAACTTTTGAAAATATTATTACATGTTCTTACACTTTTTTCTCTCATATATATATTTTCTGAAGAAAATGTGTACCTGTTCTAGAATTTTGTCAACCTTAGATACATCACAGTCAACAATGATCCTATTGTCACCTTCCATTGGATTCTCGACAAGTTCTTTGAACATAGAGGCATAGTTTTCCACCACAGTGTCGAGTTTACGGACAGTGATCCTCATTTCCTTGTTGGCCTTTAAAACTTCCTGCAATCTGACTAAACCTGAAATCAGAGAGTGATATAGCATAGAATGTTTCATTATGGTGACAGCAATAGGTCAATTTCGATATGATAGTGTATGCTGTACAGTTGGAATTATTCGAGGACATCAAATTTTGCTATATTCGCTGTTATCTAAAATGAAATGAAAACACAGCAAAGTATTTCCAAAGTTAAAGAAAATGTATATGTTGCGTTCTTTATTGCTAAAGGTCTCGCTAGACGAAATGTGATTCACATGAAGAACCCGAAAAATCACCCAATATTCGCCCCACGAAATTTAAAACAATACAGTATAAGCTCTTCCATAGCAAGAAGGTATCCTCAATATGACTTCAGTATTAAGTAATAAAACAAAATCAAATCAAAAACATTCATTTTGTTTGATTTCTCAATGATATAAAATGCGAGAACAGTGTATGCATATTGTTGCAACTTGTCATTTACACATGTGACATATCAAATGACTTATTCAAATTAAATCCAGAAATAAGCTATCATAAATTCGAGAAGGAAAACAATTGTTTTCTTTGATTAATGAAAAAACATATAAAGAAACTGTTCCTCTCTACCATTAATGTAAATACATAAATACGATTTTACCCTCGTTATCCTCATACAGCACTGTGAATGCCGTCCATCCCCAATATTCCACAAGAGCCTTGTACGCCTTACTAAGTGTCATGTAGTCGGGGTACAGGCTAATGGAAAAGTACTCTCGAGTTTCACGGGAGTTCCAATGAGCCTGGATATGGGGAATGGACAAAGAATTACAGATTGACTGAACGTGTCCAGACGCTATCGGAGACACGGGTCCGAACATAGCTGCTATTCCCGTCTTAACCTCCCGACATACTGAAAATAACAAAGGTATTTAAAAAAAAAATGAGTACGGCAGCTTTTATCAGTAGTGATAACATGACAACTTCTTACTTAGCAAAATACTCAAAGGAAATGAGTCATTTTCTATATCTAAAATCAATTAATCATTGAATATTGTTGGATTAGGTATGGTATAATCCGACAGCAGGTAAAACATTATGATGTTTTTAATGTCATCACAGTCTATGTTTACAGTATGGTGTTGTTTCATTCATTGTTTGACTCCACTCTTAATTTTAATTTAGTTTTTAATTTTGTATAATATTCAAGTATTCTGTATTTCATGTTGTTATTTTAGAGTATATATATATTTTAAATCAAATTTCCGTTTCAGTGTATAACTTCGAATTCCTTATAAAGTCAATGCCTGTCAGTTCACGTGTTGCTTATAACGTTATGTTAGTGGCCATGTTGTCTATGATTTACAGAGTCTGTGATCGTAATGTTTATATTGTTGTTATAGTGTATGTGGCCTTGTTGTTTATAATGTTATTTTGTGTATATGGCCTTGTTGTTTTTATTGTTGCTATAGTGTATGTGGCCGTGTTGTTTATAATGTTATTTTGTGTATATGGCCTTGTTGTTTTTATTGTTGCTATAGTGTATGTGGCCGTGTTGTTTATAATGTTATTTTGTGTATATGGCCTTGTTGTTTCTATTGTTGCTATAGTGTCTGTGAACGTGCTGTCTATAATGTTTTACTGTGTCTGGGGCCGTACTGTTTCTATTGTTGTTAAAGTGTCTGTGGCCGTGTTGTTTATAACGGTTGTATCGTGCCTGTGGCCGTGTTGCTTATAACGGTTGTATCGTGTCTGTGGCCGTGTTGTTTATAACGGTTGTATCGTGCCTGTGACCGTGTTGTTTCTAACGGTTGTATCGTGTCTGTGGTCGTGTTGTTTATAACGGTTGTATCGTGTCTGTGGCCGTGTTGTTTATAACGGTTGTAGCGTGCCTGTGGCCGTGTTGTTTATAACGGTTGTATCGTGCCTGTGGCCGTGTTGTTTATAACGGTTGTATCGTGTCTGTGGCCGTGTTGTTTATAACGGTTGTATCGTGTCTGTGGCCGTGCTGTTTATAACGGTTGTATCGTGTCTGTGGCCGTGCTGTTTATAACGGTTGTATTGTGCCTGTGGCCGTGTTGTTTATAACGGTTGTATTGGGTCTGTGGCCGTGTTGTTTATAACGGTTGTATTGAGTCTGTGGCCGTGTGGCACGGATTTTTTTCCCTGTTGATTTCTCCTGATGGTGAATTCTTCCGCTTCCATTATCATCATTTGGGACGGAGACAAGATTGAAACTCCCTATTTACTTCTGTGGTACTACTTCTTGACAATTGTGCATATCAGTTATCTTGGTAAGTAATCTCACATAGGTAGATTACAACACCAGTGACTGTTAAATAAAACCGTTACCAAGAAAAACACACACTAACCAAATTCGTATTCGAAGGTTTACAGGACACAACAACCGCGTGATCCAGTGAATGTATTCATTTTGATAAACTGTATCTTAAAAAACTCATTTTTTACAGAAAGGTGCAATTCATTTATGAGTTTTTTGTACAGTTATTAAGACGTAGAAAACCCATTATTCGCCAGAATACCTGGATAAGATCCTGTAGCACTTGGCACCATCATCTAGTTCTTAAGACACAGATGGGTGTCATTACCAAAGACTGGCATGGATGTAGGGACCCTGGTGTGTGTTGTTTATGGAGCTGCGTGTGTAGTGGTTCTGTGATGTGCCTGCGGTATATCCTGTGTTTTGTAACGTCGTGGATTGTTGAACATGTAATCTGGCCGTCATTATACTGTCTGTATAAACTATATCAAAGGGTTATGGTATATTATGTATTCAGACAGATGTTCAAACTTTTTTCACGCAACCGTAGTCATTTGATACGGTAAAGCTTAACTTCCCCAATAGTGATATTTTATTGAAGAAATAGGGATTGATAAACATAGCTTGATCCCTTTGACTTTTACAGAAAAGTGACATCTCTCAAAATAACCTTCATATATAACAATGTTGTGTATTATATTGTAATATTTCACATTAGGAAACATTTTCTTACGATTTTTTTCACATGAGATCACCTTTTTGTGTGAAATCGAGTGTAATATCGCTAAGGCGGCCATCTTGGTTCTGACAGAAAATTTCACTTGTCTCCTTTGGTGTGTTGTTGCGCTCTTGTGATTTTGGGGCCGATCAATGAAATAGCTGACATGAAACATCTTGGATTTTGCCTATGAATAAGGTGTTCTCTCTATTTCATATAAAGTGCTGGATAAATCTTTTCTAGATTTCAAATATAAGTTCCCCTGATCCCTAGTTGTGTCCCTTTTTTTATTCTGATCAGAAAATCAAAATGGCTGACAGGCGACCAAATCAGATTTGACAAATAAAGATTATTAAGATTAAGAACATGAACAGAGAAAATAATCGAAAAACGGAAAAGATCAAACTTTTAATGAGACGGATCAAGACCAAACATGGTGGTAACTAAGATCACTATGGGATTTCGTGTTATAAAATGGTACAATATTTGTGTTGTTAATTTTAGTTTTTTTCTTATTTTTTCACACGTTCTGTTTATATTACCTTTTTTGTTGGCCTCGAAGCTATCTTGAGGTTTCACATCTTGCATCTCATACACAAGTAAGGTGTGAGATAAAATGTCATTCTTCAGGTTAATCTCGTCAATGGCGTGCATCAACGCTAGTTTAGGTCCGGTGTGCGCAGTTTCGAACAAACCACCTAAACGAGAAATTAAATGTAATATAAATAACAGCGTTATTGTAACAGGAACAAACATGTTCTTTGAAAACAGTCTTCTCATCTTTGACATAGATTATTGATTGGCTCTTCGCCATGGGTTTACGGTGGCCGGGTGGTTAAGGCGTCTGACCATCTTCAGTCTGTGGTTTTCTCAAGGAACTCTGACTTCCCTCTACCACTCAAACGTGACACGTCCTTAAATGACCGTGGGTATCAATGGGACGTAAACTATGTACTAAACTTAAGGCAATATATTTATGTACGGTACTTATACTTGTACACGTGAAAACGCACATGGTTGGGCAGGTTACCCAATACCTTTTCACGTCCGTACCGGGAATCGAACCCCGAACGCTATGGTGAAAGGCGAGTTTGTTACCACCCGACCCTGGCACAGACGTGAAAAGGTATTTGGAAACCTACCCATGCACGTGGGTTTTCCCCGTGTACTCCGGTTTTCTCGCACAATAAGACTTCTCGCGCGCTTCCATCAGAGCCAATAAGAGTAATTAATATAAGCTTAAAACTTGTTTCGAAATTGTTGTATGATTATTAAAGTTTATATTTTTCTTTTACACGTCCGTTCCGAAAATCGCCTTGGGACGGCTAGGTGAAGGGCGAATGCTTAACCACTGCGCCATCCTACCGATCTTATCTCACGTTATACCAGTGAGAAAAATGCTCTGTGATGCAATTATGCAACAGTTGCTGTAATATCTCAATATAGCCACAGAGTAGTTATTACAGGATGCGTTCTACGCAGTAGTTTTGTTATCTCCGGGATAGTTTTAGGCGGAGTATCCTTATAATCACTGGAAAATATAACAGAGGCCTATCGCATCCAGAGAAAAAAGGGTAAAGTCCCTTACTGTAGGTAATACCTACATCAGCTTAGACCAATCCATGTCTCAGTTGTCTGGGAAACACAAACCGCCACGGACAGGGAATCGAACCACGCACCGCGAGATATCTTAACCGACTGAGATACTAAGTATCGCAGTCCCCATCGCATTTGTTAGTACAATGTATACAGGAAATGTAAACGTATTCGGTGTCTATTTGAATGTAAATATATATAATTTATAGATACCAACGACTTTTAAATAAGTGGTATCACCATAAACACCTTATCGGTGGCTACTAGGCTGCACTGTACAGAATTCCAAATCCTACACTGCCTGTTTTAATTCTAAGGACAGTTTGAATACAATGTATGTATATTGACTCTTACACCAACAGTGCTTGTGTGAATAACATTAATCTTTATTTGCAATATGTTAGTCGACTCTATTATCTCCCTTGAAAGCATTGGATGGTTCAAAGCCATAGTCGATGATATTAACCCTGTAACTGGTTATTTAAATTGATCTGTGTAACATATATACTATTCGGTACTAGTATATATATAAGACGTTCTCGTATGTCACGAGGAAATGTTGGTGTTAACGATGTCTGTGATGATGTTTGATAGAGGATGCGGGCTGATCGTTGTGATTATTGACTCCCCACAAATTCCCTCGGTGTACGTGTCATGAGTATCCTTAGAAAGACAATATGTATGTTAACAGAACTGACGAGATACAACTATGTTGCTTTAGGCGTTAGCATTATCTTAGATACACCGCCATCGTGGCATGCGATTGTTCAGAGGAATGACAGCCAACAACGCACGTGCGAGATTGATATCACACAAGAAATTGTTCGGCACCTGCGTGATGCACCTAATTAGTTTCATCACGTGTTGATATCAAAGTCCATGATCTCTTCACATCTTTACAATAACACTAACATATCAGAGACGATCAAAACACATAATAATCTCAAACGTCCTGCTGTTTTTCCACTTATGGTTTATAAAGACAGAAACGTTTTTTTTTTTAAGTTAGTGGGGTTCCTTCTTGAAGTAATATCATAAGGTACAGCAACATACAAAGGCAAGTTACTGATATAACTAGTAATCACTAACATAACTACATGTGAAATACGAACACTGCAGTCGGAAGAACTACTCTTTGGCACGTGGTCACATTCTACATACTCCGCTGTCGGAAGTGCTACTCTGTGGCATGTGATCACATTCTACATACTCCGCTGTCGGAAGTGCTACTCTGTGGCACGTGGTCACATTCTACATACTCCGCTGTCGGAAGTGCTACTCTGTGGCATATGATCACATTCTACATACTCCGCTGTCGGAAGTGCTACTCTGTGGCACGTGGTCACATTCTACGTACTCCGCTCTCGGAAGTGCTACTCTGTGGCATATGATCACATTCTACATACTCCGCTGTCGGAAGTGCTACTCTGTGGCATATGATCACATTCTACATACTCCGCTGTCGGAAGTGCTACTCTGTGGCACGTGGTCACATTCTACGTACTCCGCTCTCGGAAGTGCTACTCTGTGGCGCGTGTGCACATTCTACATTCTCCGCTCTCGGAAGTGCTACTCTGTGGCACGTGGTCACATTCTACGTACTCCGCTCTCGGAAGTGCTACTCTGTGGCGCGTGTTTACATTCTACAAACTCCGCTGTCGGAAGTGCTACTCTGTGGCACGTGGTCACATTCTACGTACTCCGCTGTTGGAAGTGCTAATCTGTGGCACGTGGTCACATTCTACATACTCCGCTCTCGGAAGTGCTACTCTGTGGCACGTGGTCACATTCTACATACTCCGCTCTCGGAAGTGCTACTCTGTGGCGCGTGTTCACATTCTACAAACTCCGCTGTCGGAAGTGCTTCTCTGTGGCGCGTGTTCACATTCTACGTACTCCGCTCTCGGAAGTACTATTCTGTGGCATGTGATCACATTCTACATACTCCGCTGTTGGAAGTGCTAGTCTGTGGCACGTGGTCACATTCTACATACTCCGCTCTCGTAAGTACTATTCTGTGGCATGTGATCACATTCTACATACTGCGCTTTCGGAAGTGCTACTCTGTGACGCGTGTTCACATTCTACATACTCCGCTGGCGGAAGAACTACAATGTGGCACGTGGTCACATTCTACATACTCCGATATCAGGAGGGTAGTACTTTAGGATACGAGTTCACATTCCATGTGAAATACCCTGTTGATTGTAGTCACATTCTACATATTCCACTGTCTGAAGTACTCTAAATTACGCGGTCACTTCCTATGTAATCCGCTGTCGGAAGTACTACCTTGTTGTAAGTGGTCACAGTATTGTCAGAACAACCACCTTGTCGTTAGTGGTCACATTACTGTCAGAACAACCACCTTGTCGTAAGTGGTCACATTACTGTCGAAAGTACTACCTTGTCGTAAGTGGTCACATTATTGTCGGAAGTACCACTTTGTAGTAAGTGGTCACATTACTGTCGAAAGTACTACCTTGTCGTAAGTGGTCACATTATTGTCGGAAGTACCACTTTGAAGTAAGTGGTCACATTACTGTCAGAAGTACCATCTTGTCGTAAGTGGTCACATTACTGTCAGAAGAACCACCTTGTCGTAAGTGGTCACATTATTGTCGGAAGTACCACCTTGTAGTAAGTGGTCACATTATTGTCAGAAGTACCACCTTGTCGTAAGTGGTCACATTACTGTCAGAAGTACCACCTTGTCGTAAGTGGTCACATCACTGTCAGAAGAACCACCTTGTCGTAAGTGGTCACGTTATTGTCGGAAGTACCACCTTGTCGTAAGTGGTCACATTACTGTCAGAAGTACCACCTTGTCGTAAGTGGTCACATTACTGTCAGAGGTACCACCTTGTCGTAAGTGGTCACATTACTGTCGGAAGAACCACCTTGTCGTAAGTGGTCACATTACTGTCGGAAGTACCACCTTGTCGTAAGTGGTCACATTACTGTCGGAAGTACCACCTTGTCGTAAGTGGTCACATTACTGTCAGAAGTACTACCTTGTCGTAAGTGGTCACACTATTGTCAGAAGTACCACCTTGTCGTTAATTATCGGAAGTATTACCCTTTTTTATTACTCAGTCACAAATCCCGCTTAGAGTACGCACTGGCTATATACACTAAAATATAATCGGATTCAGCATTTCGGGATAGTCCGTGGAACAGTCGGATTTACATATTCTTTTTTCAGTCTGTGTAATAATACCACTTCATTTAAAATCCATTCAAATAGATAATCTTATGAATTATTCCAGTTGTTTAATGGTTCCATATATCAGTGCCGCAGAGTTTTAACACCTATTTATAGTTTAACTTATGCGTTTTTAATCTTCGCAGATAATCAGTTTATCTGAAATGGTTCGTGTCTCTTTGATATATCGCCTTTCCTGGTAATTAGTTTGTGAAAAGTAAATATGAAATACTCTCTTATTTTGAGATTCGGATTAATATTTCATACAAAATAATTATTAAGAATGATTTTGAAAATCAAACCGTAGTGATAACCACAACAAGGCTGAAGACATGGGGAAGGGAATCAGTTGCAACGAAGGGGAGGGGGTAATTTTATGTAGTAAAAGATGAGGTAATCCGAAGGGGCTGAAGTTGAAGATTTGAGTAACGAATCCATCTATAACTTCAGCCCTCCTGATAATCCTAGCGATGTCACAAAAAGCGTGAAAGTCATCAGCCAACCTGGTGTTCCTTTATACGAGAGGGACCCATACGTTGTACAAGAAGGGGGTATCCCCTGGAATGTGACGTCACCGGAAGTATCGGAGACTTTTGATAACAACGGTGGAGGATTCGCCCATAGAGGGTGACATCACCACAATAATAGGGGTATTCCCTGGAGAGTGATGTCACCAGAGTGCTGACATTTGTTTGTCCGACAACGTTTGTAGCGATAAGAAGAGTCAAGGAGACAGGGAATCTGTAACTAACAAGTTCTCCTGAATGGCATTGTTGTACGTACCTATGCGGATGGTGTCCTGTAGACTGCTGGATGTTGTCACATAAAGGAGCAGCAATGTCCCCAGCCAGAGGATTTTGGAGACCATTGCATGTGTGTGATTTGAGAACGGGGCCTCCGAGCCCGTCCTCAGCAAACAGTTCCCAGATGTCGGGAATCCTCCCTCGATGAATACAACGAATACTTTCCTTTCTTTTTATCACCAACTCTCCGGTGTACACCACCCACAATTATATACTACACTTATGTCGAGTCAGACCACTAATCTCACTAATGTTAATCCCAACTCAAAGAAAGCCAGCTTTTCCTCGCCCTCCGTCGGGGTATGGTTCTACTTCTTCCTTTGTAGCTGTTAAAACGAAATGAAAGAAGACGCTAAAATAAGTTATATGAATTTGGACACGTTCAAGGCGAGATCACAAGGCAATAAAACACAAAGATACAGCTGTATCAGAATCAAACTGGTCACTTTTACATACTTAAAGTTTCTAATCATATGAGAAAATATAACTGTATCTCTGAAATGACGTCGCTTATACATCTTCCGATGTTGCGGAGAGAACGCGATCGACATCAGTTACAGAAAAATCTGGAGGATAGAACTGTCAGATTAGCGGTGATATGGTAATGGGACAACCAGATCAATGGTGATAGGGTAGTGGGGAAACCAGATTAGTGGTGATAGGATAGTGGGACAACCAGAATAGTGGTGACTGGGTAGTGGGACAACCAGATAAGTGGTGACTGGGTAGTGGGGAAACCAGATTAGTAGTGATAGGATAGTGGGACAACCTGAATAGTGGTGACTGGGTAGTGGGACAACCAGATCAATGGTGACTGGGTAGTGGTACAACCAGATTAGTGGTGACTGGGTAGTGGGACAACCAGATTAGTGGTGATTGGGTAGTGGGACAACCAGATCAATGGTGATAGGGTAATGGGGAAACCAGATTAGTGGTGATAGGATAGTGGGACAACCAGATTTGTGGTGACTGGGTAGTGGGACAACCAGATTAATGGTCATAGGATAGTGGGACAACCAGATTAGTGGGGATTGGATAGTGGGACAACCAGATTAGTGGTGACTAGATAGTGGGACAACCAGATTAGTGGTGACTGGATGGTGGGACAACCAGGTTAGTGATGACTAGATAGTGGGACAACCAGATTAGTGGTGAGTGGATGGTGGGACAACCAGATTAGTGGTGACTGGATAGTGGGACAACCAGATTAGTGGTGACTGGATAGTGGGACAACCAGATTAGTGGTGACTGGATGGTGGGACAACCAGATTAGTGGTGACTAAATAGTGGGACAACCAGATTAATTGTGACTGGATAATGGGACAACCAGATCAATGGTGGCTGGATAGAAGGACAACCAGATTAATTGTGATAGGGTAGTGGGACAACCAGATTAATTGTGATAGGGTAGTGGGACAACCAGATCAATGGTGACTGGGTAGTGGGACAACCAAATTAGTGGTGACTAGATGGTTGGACAACCAAATTAGTGGTGACTAGATAGTTGGACAACCAAATTAGTGGTGACTAGATAGTAGGACAACCGATTAGTGGTGACTAGATAGTTGGACAACCAGATTAATGGTCATAGGATAGTGGGACAACCAGATTAGTGGTGATTGGATAGTGGGACAACCAGATTAGTGGTGACTGGATAGTGGGACAACCAGATTAGTGGTGACTGGATAGTGGGACAACCAGATTAGTGGTGACTGGATGGTGGGACAACCAGATTAGTGGTGACTAAATAGTGGGACAACCAGATTAATTGTGACTGGATAATGGGACAACCAGATCAATGGTGGCTGGATAGAAGGACAACCAGATTAATTGTGATAGGGTAGTGGGACAACCAGATTAATTGTGATAGGGTAGTGGGACAACCAGATCAATGGTGACTGGGTAGTGGGACAACCAAATTAGTGGTGACTAGATGGTTGGACAACCAAATTAGTGGTGACTAGATAGTTGGACAACCAAATTAGTGGTGACTAGATAGTAGGACAACCGATTAGTGGTGACTAGATAGTTGGACAACCAGATTAATGGTCATAGGATAGTGGGACAACCAGATTAGTGGTGATTGGATAGTGGGACAACCAGATTAGTGGTGACTGGATAGTGGGACAACCAGATTAGTGGTGACTGGATAGTGGGACAACCAGATTAGTGGTGACTGGATGGTGGGACAACCAGATTAGTGGTGACTAAATAGTGGGACAACCAGATTAATTGTGACTGGATAATGGGACAACCAGATCAATGGTGGCTGGATAGAAGGACAACCAGATTAATTGTGATAGGGTAGTGGGACAACCAGATTAATTGTGATAGGGTAGTGGGACAACCAGATCAATGGTGACTGGGTAGTGGGACAACCAAATTAGTGGTGACTAGATGGTTGGACAACCAAATTAGTGGTGACTAGATAGTTGGACAACCAAATTAGTGGTGACTAGATAGTAGGACAACCGATTAGTGGTGACTAGATAGTTGGACAACCAGATTAATGGTCATAGGATAGTGGGACAACCAGATTAGTGGTGATTGGGTAGTGGGACAACCAGATTAGTGGTGACTGGATAGTGGGACAACCAGATTAGTGGTGACTGGATAGTGGGACAACCAGATTAGTGGTGACTGGATGGTGGGACAACCAGATTAGTGGTGACTAAATAGTGGGACAACCAGATTAATTGTGATAGGGTAGTGGGACAACCAGATTAGTGGTGACTAAATAGTGGGACAACCAGATTAATTGTGACTGGATAATGGGACAACCAGATCAATGGTGGCTGGATAGAAGGATCACCAGATTAACGGTGACTAGATAATAGAATCACCAGTTTAACGGTGACTAGATAATAGAATCATCAGATTAACGGTGACTAGATAATAGAATCACCAGATTAACGGTGACTAGATAATAGAATCACCAGATTAACGGTGACTAGATAATAGGATCACCAGATTAACGGTGACTAGATAATAGAATCACCAGTTTAACGGTGACTAGATAATAGAATCACCAGATTAACGGTGACTAGATAATAGAATCACCAGATTAACGGTGACTAGATAATAGAATCACCAGATTAACGGTGACTAGATAATAGGATCACCAGATTAACGGTGACTAGATAATAGGATCACCAGATTAACGGTGACTAGATAATAGAATCACCAGATTAACGGTGACTAGATAATAGGATCACCAGATTAACGGTGACTAGATAATAGGATCACCAGATTAACGGTGACTAGATAATAGGATCACCAGTTTAATAGTGACTGGACAGTGAGAACCCAGATTATTGGAAACACTCATGAAACAAGAGTGTACATCTGTTTTTTAACAGTGTATGTAGTGGTGTCTGTTTTTGTATTTATGTAGGACCCTGTTATAGTACTTACATGTACGTGTATGTTTACCTGGTATGTACTTGCGTACTCAGTGTTGTGCATGCACGGACGTGTAATATATACGTGGGTATGGTGCCACGAGGAATGTAAACAAAAGCATTGTTAGCTTTATTCTAATTAGTATCTTAATTAGTTTAGACATATTTACTTCATTGTGTTGTAATTGGAAATGTTGCTTGTGTGATATCAAGTTTATGATATTAAGAGCGATATAGATATCCAAACATCTATAGGTCCTACTTTTCTAGTGGTTGAAGAACAACTTTTCCCGTCTACATCAGCACGAGTGGATGGGGAAATATGTAACTCACAATGACTTTACATGTGGAGCTCTGTCGAGACTATACTGTGACAGAAGTGCTAGCTGAAAGCTACCGGGACTTCAGATTTAGTGGATATATAACTATATATATGTATGGCTAGAGAGACAGATAGTCGAAAGCTACCGGGACTTCAGGTCTAGTGGATATATAGCTATTTATATGTATGGCTAGAGAGGGATATATAACTATTTATATGTATGGCTAGAGAGGGATATATAACTATTTATATGTATGGCTAGAGAGAAAGAGAGGACTATTCAGGATGCGGTTTGCCATGTTATATAAGGTGTATTATCATGTATTGTTAAAAAAAGACACAACACTACAGATTTGACTTCATGGTGTGACTGGATAATGGGGCATTAACTTCAATGTTTGGTGAATAACTGGACAATAAGATCAATAGCGACTGGATAAAGGGACATTTAAATCAATGGTGGTTGAGTATGTGGACAATAAGATAAATAGTGACTGGATAATGGGACATTAAAGTTAATTTAGGTGGAATAGCTGGACAATAAGATAAATAATGACTGGATAATAGGACATTAAAGTTAATGGTGTGTAAATAACTGGACAATAAATAAGTGACTGGATAATAGGACATTAAAGTTAATGACGGGTGAATAGCTGGACAATTAGATAAATAGTGACTGGATGATAAGAAATTATAGTTAATGGTGGTGGAATAGCTGGACAATAAGGTAAATAGCAACTGCATAATGGGACATTAAAGTTAATGGTTTGTGAACAGCTGGGCACGAGACATCTTAGTAGAGACTAGCACGTGATATAACAACATCAGTGGAGATCAGATAATGGCAAACGTGTAATATATATATAACTTCTAAACATATTCATATTCATATTCGCCAAAACTAATTCTCTGGTCCTGAGAAACCATTGCGACCTTACCCGTCTTACCTTTTTTGTAGAGGTGGTGTTCCGAACATCCAAATAGATTACGGTCGTTCGACACAATTGTTTATGACGTGAGAGGTAACCTCCGACACCGCCATCACTGTGATATATACTATGTACTCCCTCTGAATGTAACGACCAAGGAAGAGATGCTCATCGCCTGGCCTCTATTATTGTGTGTAAGACTGCGGTACGTGCTTAGTACCCATGGATAGCCAGTCCATGCGTCGTGTTGCGTGGATTCCTCCCGTGCTACAATCGGTGACAGGCTCGAGCACGTCACAGTTCTGTCGGTGTTTTAAATTAGAAATGCTATTTACTGTTGCGGCAGATATGTGTCATTTCGTGATGCCATGGCCAAAGTGTTGTTAATTCGCTCGTCAAACGTTGTCGATTCGACAGAACGAAATAACGAATATATGTAAACAAAATAACCAAAAAACTTAAGTCGTTGTTTAGCGATTCGATGCAAAATGACGACAATTGTCGTTCTGTCGCTGGTAATAACGACAGAACGAAAAAACTAAAATTATCGTCTTTGCGCTCGGTGTTGCGTCATAACGTAAATTATCAACTTTTCTTCTCGTGGAACAAAATTATGAATATTATCGCCTTTCTCGTTCTGTGGGGAGCAAAAGCAAAAGGGTAAATGATTGATAGTTCGTCTCGTGGAACGACAAAATGGATATTTCATATCGCTCGTGCGCGAGAAGCAATAACGATTACAGCGAGAAGGAATACTCTTCTCTGTTCGTCACTTCACGTTACGTTCTTTTATTATTTCGTTCTGTCGATGTGAAAAGACGATTCTTAGCGACAAACGAAATGGTACGTACACATACATAGTCGACAAAAATGTTTGAGTCAGAACTTTTAGTTCGCATAGCCGTCATGATCTAAATACGTGTATTGATTGTGTATATAATGATGTGTATACGTATTTCTAATGAACAACAACATGATACCATGATTAACATCTGATGAATTATGTATGATTTGTTTACTTGGTTTATTGTTGTTTAACGTCCTTATAACAGCCGTAGTTACTTAAGGACGTCTCAGATTTGCGTAATGGAGGAAACTAGAAATATTTTTAAAGTCCTGTGTATTTTTATCTGTATTGCACATCTCATCTTCACTAATTAAAAAGGTATTTACTATCATTTCATAATTCTCAATTGAACAGAGACTTTTGAAGTGAAATTAAATAAATAAATAAATAAACCACACAATATTGTCAAAAGGACATGACCTACCACGGTATTATTTTCTGTCTGTTTATACAATCCTTGCTGGTTTTTTGTTGCGTTAAAAGTATTCATACTTACCCGTACCACTAAATGTCTGTATCATCTGCCATACATCGTTTGATGGCTCTTATTTATGTGTAACTTGGCGGTTTGGCGCGCGCTTGGAAGCTGATGAAAGACACGTGTTAAAAAAACGAATACACACAAAGAGCGCTGTATGACATCAAAAAAGTATCAGACAACAAAGAATTAGTCGATGCTCCGTCAACATCTCCTGTATTATATTTACCAGGCAGATGATATGTTGTATGTGTGTATACGTAAATACATGAGCTTGCCTGTGGTAGATAAGGAGGTAACTTATACATGGTGAAGAATGTCGTAAAACAGAATACTTTACACTTACACAGAAAAGAAATGTATATCTCACATTGTCGTTACCGGAGATATACACTTACACTTCTGAAATATTCCCCGTCGTCGATTACATAAAAATTCAAGTATTTACAAACCATGTCTTGTGGCTGAAATTGGTAAACACTTGGACAACACAGTCATGATCTGTGACTTAGTGTTATATCATTTATAATATTTACACATATATCATCAGCAAACATCGTGAAAATACAATCTTTCATTTTGGTAATCATTTCAATTATAAACTAAGAGAGTAGACAAAAATCATTTAAATGTTATTATTGTATTAAATTGAATAAATAACGTGCATCGTAAAGAAATTAATTGAACAAATAGAAATAACACCATAAAGAGAGAAACGTTTTACGTGTGAGCGATGGCATATTCAAGGGAGATAAGTCAGTTTTGAATACAAATCCAGTCTTGGCAATATTTATTCTAACTTATCACTACTATGAGGTAACACCAACAATACTGTAGAAAGTGCGTATAAAGTACAAACAAAGTGTAGTAAATTCAGTGTAACAAAATATTGTAATAAAGACACACAAATAAAAAGCACCTTTCATCCTCGAATCAAATAATAGATTATACAGCTTCATACTGCTGTTTCATCCTTCTTAGGGGTCATCAGTGAAGTTGAGTTCCCAAAATAGGGAAATCAAAATTGGCCGAAATCAATGTCTAAATATAGCTGGAGAGTTACACTAACTCTATAGTTCAGAAACTTTCATAATCATCGAGGGTAGATTGTTTTTAAATAATGTCAAGTGCGTGTGTGATATTCTTGTTTACAGTAATGGCGAAAATGTTTACTTCACTCCTGGATTTGTAGACTTTCTGATTTTCAAATTTTGCCGTCTCTTTGATTGTATATGGGTCCCAGATATGCTACATATATAATCTAATCAAAACTTTAGAGTAGCAGAAATGTAGTTTTAAACTTGATGCGAATAACTTCGTTACAATTTATTGATCAATTAATAGATCTGTTACGTAAATTCACAAAAATAGATTGAATCGATGATATTGGTTTTATTTTAAAAGATGAAGAACTACAAATCATGTTGACCTGTCAGTTAGGCGATCAAGAGTTTTGCTTCTGTTGATAATTTTATTTGTTTGTTTATTTAATTAACAAAGAAGTTAGATTTTACAAAAAAAAAAAAAACCGTATGAATAAATTAATAAATAAGTTTAACTCCAACACCTATTTATTAAAGCATACAGATTCCTATCGAAAGGACGAAAGTGTAAGATACATTCCTTTAGAATTTAGTATAAATTGAAACTCCGTGATAGATGTCCTTACTTCAGATCAAACTTTTTACTTCGTATTTAGTAAAGATATGTTCGTGATTTAAGTAAGAACTCGCTGGCGAAGAGAATATGTCGTCAGAGACCTATCTTCCGTTCGAAATCGGTCGTTCTGGAAATAACATTTGGGGCGAGATGATTTTAAATTTTGGTCGAAACGTCTGTGATTCATGGTTTCAAGCGTCTGTGCGATTATGTTATTGGCTCGAACTTCAAAATAAAACTGTCCGCTGACGTCTGCTGCAGGTGCGTATATTTGAAAATTAGAATGAGATTAGGCAAAGAATTTTTGTGATTTAATTAAATAAAAAATTAAGATTTTGTACGGTAATTTGCGATGTATTCACATTTAATAAAAATACCTCAGTGTCTTGTAACTTCTTTCGGTGTTCGCGGTTGTTGTGTTTCTGATAAACAATGAAGTTGGCCATTTTCAAAACGCAGGCACTCGCTTCTGGTCTTAGAAGAATATTAGATCATTTTGTTTACGATGCCTAACTCGAATTATATAGTACACAATAATCTTACAAATTCTTTGTTCAATAAGCGAATGCATGTGGTTTATTATTAACTGAAATGTTGTAGCTCGGACAATAACGATTTTGTTACATGTTGAACACCAGACAGCATAAGACAAAAGTAGTCGATGGACTACGTGCTGTTTAGAACCTTATTTGATGGCTTGGAAAGAATGATTCTGGGTAATAATATTAGTACAAGTCTTTGTATTTTATGTAGGCATACAGCTGTGTATTACACTAGAACATGACCGTTTCAAGATTTAAAAAAAATTAGCTTTAAATGACTCCAGTTATAACACTTGGTGTAACATTTCATTCACACATATAAACACATATACAAACCATCTCAGAAACGATAAGAAACACTTAAAATGTGCAGTTCACACATTCTAAAAACTTACAAAACAGAAGGTACAGTAACTTCAGTTTAAGTAAATGTCAAATGAGCAGTTCTTTTGATAATATTAGGTCATAAAATTTACTAACATTGAAATATAGTAGTCACTGTTTTGTCTTGCCAAGACTTGGGAACACCAAAACGGTTGACTCCAACAATCCTGAACACTGAAAAGTTTGACTCTAAAATCCCAGCCACCATCCCACTCTCTACTTTCATTTTCCCTGTCTACTAACATGTTTCTTTATTAATCTACTGAATGGCCAATATATTGTTTTACTAACTTGTTTGTCAGTTTGTTTGATATCCAGAGCAATTGGAATAATGTTTCTTGCCAAAGGTACACACAGCTGCAACTCTGCCATACAATCTGTTTTCTCAGCTTCCCAAGAAACACAAACTGAAATGTGTAGGAGATTAGATCTCAAACTACACATCTCAAATCCTCTCAAAAGGCAGAAATAGCAGGACCAAAGTCTGTTACATCAATAAAGTATAGATGTCATTTGAATTTAAGTTAAGCCATTATCATAAATTATGTTGATGATTTCAGTTAAAAAGCATACTGTACATGTTACAATAACTAATTTTAGTTGAATTATTATTAAAGGTGTTTTTTATGCAAAAACTCTGGGGGAGCACAAGATCGCCCCCTTGTCCATTTGTCTTTTTGTTCTTTCCTTGAAGGAACATAACTCTGCCCATAGTTAAGCAAAGATTATAAAACATGGTATATACAATAGTTATACAAAAGGGATGTGCAGTGTACTACATTCAGGGCCCTCAACCCCTCAATTTACTGCCCTTTGTTAAAATTTCGTGTAAGGAGCATAACTTTGCTTTCATTTAAACTAGGATAATGAAATTAGTGGATACATTTATCATACTAAGATGATGTGCAGTGTACCAAATTCAGGGCATGAAACTCCTTAATTACAGAGTTATTGTCCTTGAATTTTGTGTAAGGAGCAGAACTTTAAATTGCTTGCATTTTAACCAGGACATTGAAACTTGATGGAAACATTGATCATACTAAGACAATGTGCAGTATACTAAATCAACATCTTAATTACAGAATTATTGGCCTTTGTTAAAATTTGTTTCCAATAAAGTCATTTTCGGGGAGCATTCATCAGTTTCACTGATAATCTTTTTTTTCAGGTTTGCTTAGTAGCAAGTGAACATTGGCTGTCAGTATGGTGATGGGTGATAAGCTTGCCTACTTCCTTAACACCTGTGATGCAGACACAGTCAGAAAGTATATCAGCTATGTGAAGACAAAGCTATTGGCTGACAGTGATGACATAAACACAGGTTATATTCTAATTTGTTTTCTGAAAATAATACTGATGCAGGCATATCTAGATCTAGTTAAACATTTAAGAAAATCACTACTCACTACTACTCATATTACTGTAATTTGACACATACCTATAATTTTTATATAAAGTTTGGTAATTTTTCTATTGATATACCAATAACCCTCTTTTTAGGTCACCTATTTTGATCACCTTTTGTCCAGTTATTTACATCATGCATCCATAAACTTTTAACATTTTCAACATTTAAAAATCCCAGAACTGACTTCAATGAAATTTATAGAAACCTTTCCCTGCTAAAGATGAACCAAATTAGTGAATTATATGGTCCGCAGCCCCCAGGGGCCTGATGATCGGGATCAACTTGACTAAGATTCAAAAATCATCTGATGAACACCCACACATGGTAGAATCAAATGCTTTTAATGGATGGAAAGATCTCAATGTGCCTTACAAAAAATTGTGAATTTCATCATGACCTCAAGGTCTTAAATTTCTTGCTGGGGTAAGGGTAATTTTTTTCCATAATTTATATAAGAAAATTGGATTTATGAGCATAATTTGTTTTATTTCCATTAGAAATGTTTAAAACTTTGTTAAAATTATTATCAAAGGATGACAACTTGATGGTATGCATATATTGATCTTGACTGACTTCCAGGTGCAGGGACAAAAGGGGTCAATTTGACCCTAATTTCAAAAAATCTTCTCAACATTCAGATATGATAGAATCAAATGCTTTACATAGATGGAAGGGTCATCAGGTGCTTTACCAAAATTGTGAATCTCATGACCCTACAGTCTCGCATTTCTTTCTGGGGAGAGGGTGAAATTTCCTATAGTATTTATTGGAAAATTAGATTTTTGAGAATAAAAGTGTTTAATTTTTATTTGAAATAACTTGATTTATATCTGTTTTTGATATATTCTTTTTCAGATACAAGATCATGTGTGGTGGTAGATTGTGGAGGTGGAAGTGGCCATGAAGGGGTTGTTAATTTAGCACAGTTCTACATGTCTCTCTGTCGCAAATACAAACTTCTCCCAAATGAACGGACAACTCTGCTTTCTAGTATAGACCAAGTCATCGCATTACAGCTTTGTTTGGCAGAGAAAAATAAACAGGTAAGATATAATGACCATTAATCAGAGATAAGAGGCCAAGAGGATGTCAAGTGTTGAGATGTGAATGCCTTCATGTGCAAGTCATTGGTTCTCAGTTTTCTGGTCTGAAACATTGCCTAGAAAACAAATACCCCTCAAAGTTATCTTTTTGGTAATACATGTATAGAACTGTAAAGCGGTAGTCCGTAATATAAACTTTCATGCAATTTGTCTGAATTTTGTTTTATTTATATAGGATCATAAATAAGTTTCCATTTCATTTGAGATTTTATGATAAAGTCTTAGATGTTTTTATTTTTGGCACTTTAGTGAGTAAGCAAGTGTCATAAAATCTCATATGAAATGCAAACATGATTGAGATACTTTTATCACAAAACTCAGAAAAGTTACACTTTGACAACTTTTGAAGAAAACATACAGAGGATAAGATAAAACAGAGTCAGCCGTTTTTGTGTGCCATTTTAAATTGATGTCATAACTATATTGTCCATTTAATGACATCACTATTAATTTCCAACTGAGAAAGCCAATGAAAAGCGCCCCAGACTATGTTTCACTAGTGACATATTCACAAAATATCAAGTTCACTAGATAACAGGTTGATTATATGATGAATGTATTGATCCTGACACTGGCATGTTCAAATGAGGGTTCATATTTGTTGAAATGGAAACTTAACAATAGATAGAATAATGCAAGTTGACTGACATATATCATAATCTAGTTTTCTACTCCTGAAAGTAATTTTCTCAGTTTTATGTTTACATTGGACTTGGTGTAATATTTTTCACATAGTTTTTTATTTGTTTTGAGAATTTAGTATTCCAAATGTTTGCAGATTTCTTTCTTTGCATTTTACTAATTTTTTTCTCTATTTTTCCTGACATTTTAGGAGAGAGGAGAGTTTGAAGTTGAGACCAGCACTGTGATTCAAGCAAACAAAGACATCGTTAAGTACAAACTTTCTCAAGTCAAGACAGCTCGAGAGAATGTAGAACAGAGTTGTCTCCCCTCAGTTGAGTCTATGGAGGTGTACCCAGTGGGAGACATAATAAAACAAGAGTATCAAGCATTCCTTAAACACTGTAATTACATTGACATGGTTGAGGTTCTGTTGGCTGTGTGTAAGGCCCGTCACAGCAACCAAAGTCTCAAAGCTGAACTAGATGTGGCAGATATCATCATCATAGGACTTCCAAGAAATGAAACTGAGGTTTGTTGTTTGAATATAAGTGGTTAAATTCACAGTGAACTGTTAAATTAAAAGCAAACCAGCATAACAATTAATCTGATACATGTTCTTATTTATTGAATTAATGTTTATTCAAATATAGAAGTAAATATTTGCATTAGTCTTACATGATGTGCACGATGGTGACATCCAAGACTAGCTTTTACTTCTACAGTTATCAAAACTAGTACTAAGCTTTATTTTTTATTAAGGTAACAGATTTTATCTGCAGATAAATAATCTAGACATGAAATCCTAAAGGTCATGCTAAGTGTATTTCACAGCCAGTGATAAATCTTTTTGCTCTTATATTGGCTTTCAAATAGATTCAATTATCTTTTGACAATGTTCCAATTTTTGACAATGTTCATATATTGTACTTACCAACATATATGTATTGTTTTTTCTTTAATGATTTTTAAGGTTTTACATCCTCACAGCAGCTTTTTTATATACATTATATAGACTTTAAGAAATTTATAGAAAGAAAATATAACAGTTATTAAACACTGTATGTGTTACTATTATTTTTCAAATTTATCAAATCATCAGAGACATTGTCATAAGGCTTAAAGCAAATTTAAATATTCTATGACTATAGAAATGATCTCTCTTGTCAACTTTGAGTGAATATTATGTCTGTGTCCTGTGTATGTTTCAGAGAGCAATGGTGGAGTACCTTTGTGAAGGACGTTTGATAATGAACATGACATTAGAGGTTCCCCTGGAGTTGGATGAGGAAACAGTTGTTAAAGAAGATGTTAATGTTTTATACAATGAAGTCACTCTCAATGAGGCTCTTGGGGAAAGTGGTGGAGACAAAAGTTTCTTTCAACCTACACCTATGTCAGGCCAGCCCAAGTCCCTCACAGAGGTAAATGTTCTGACAGTGGTATTTAAAGGCACATTTCATGTCTGAAAATGTCATGTTTCTGTCAGAAGGATATTACCAAGGGTTAATTTTTTGTCTTCAGTGTGACATTTCTTTAAGCTTTTACTACAGATCACTAGTAACAAAGAATGCTTCCTCCAAAAGCGTTGTGACTAATGCATCTACATACCTGTTTTCAGTCTCAAATCAATATGTCACAGGTTAACATAATGTTGCAAACTTAATTAATTTTTACAACAATGGCAAAAGAAGTTATTAGCTTATATAAGTCACTCTTGTTGGCCTGGCTGAATGCCCAAGAGAGGTCTTACTACAGGAGGAAACCAGAGAGCCTGGAGAATACCCATGTGGTCAGGCAAGTGACCCCCATAATTTTTCACATGTGCTCATGGAATCAAAACCTAGATTACTAGGTGAAAGGTGATTTTCTTACCACTGCAGCAGCTGACTAAGCATTATGACCTTTTTAATTTGAATACTTTTAATACACATCTGAATTGGTCTTATCTTATCAATATCTTCAGTTGTATTTATTATTATATTATATGATTTTCAGTGTCTGAATGTTCTCTTTTTCAGAGTTATATCCAGCTAGTGTATGGGTCATACTTAGAACTGCTGGTGAACTCCCGGGCAGAACTGGCTCTAGCTCGCTCCATCAATGTTCCAGAAAGGGAGCTTACTCACCAGGCTTTCACTGACATCAAACGTGAATCTAAGACAAAGAGTATGACAATGTATCAGGTAAGTGTTGCTTGCAACATTACACCTTATGTCTCAGAAAAATGGCAGAAGGAGCTCTGAAGTCACGATAACAGCAAGAAACATCTGAGAAATTTTGTTTCTCTTCCATTTTATGGCTTAAAATCTTTCAGTGTAGCTTTTTTCAGTCTTTATGTGGTTTCAATGTAGCTTTTTCTGTTAGAAATCTGCACAATGAAACTTTGGTTAGACTACACATAATGCATTTATCTTCATTTCAAAAAACTGAATGGGGCATATCTGTGTAAAGCCTAAAGAGTATAGTCTAGCTTCTATATAGACAGACTACCATAGGTCATGTTTATGTAGACTACCAGTGCTGTATTGCTTTGTGTATCTTTCTAGACTGCAGTATCCTATGTAATGAAGATTCGTCTTGGAGGTAAGGGATATGCTCCAGACCCTAACAATCTCCTGGCTCAACATATAAAAGGTCTTGGCGAGTTTGTCTCCCTTGTTCATAAACTACAGACAGTCATAGAAGAAGAGACTGATAAAAGGTATGTCACAAATTTATATCAATGTAGGAAGAATACATTCCCTGTAGAATTTAGTTTATTTTTGGTCTGTATGTATTGAGACAAAAGCTTAAGATTTTTGATAAATGATTACTGGTACAAGGTTTTGATGGTTTGTTCTTTTTAATTCAGCTTTAGTTGTAAGGCCTATTGCAAGAAGAACTGTGAAATATCACATGAGTTTTGCTGTCCATCCTTGGGATGAGTGATAGTTTTTTTGGGAGGGAGAAATGGTGTATTTGAGTGAATTTTGAGAATTAAATAATTTACAAAAAATTCATTTTATGTTTTGCATTGCATCAATATACATGGTAACAGCATATCTATGGTGTTCACACATTACATGTATTAAATTTCCATGGAAATAATTTTGTTTTTTTTTTATTTGAAAATTACCAGACTAGCAAAGTTTAACAGGTGACGTATATTATTATGCTAAATTCTGGTATTGCTTTTGAAACATTTGAGGTAAATTGATAGAATAGGAAACACAGAGTTTGAATTTTGAAAGAAGTAAATATCAACTTTGTTTTACAACAATTATTTAAGCTTATGTAAAGGTGAGTGTGTTATGTCCATTCTGGGAATCAAACTAGATGCCTAGGTGAAAGGCGAGTGTGTTACCACTGCACCACCTTACCACATTAAGAAATAATGTTCTTCCTTTAAGTTACAAACAGTGCTAAATTAGAAAGAATGCTTGCTATGAAACACATAGTATACCCTTTAAGGAATCCTACTATAAAACAAATTCTGTAATTTTGATTTTAGGGTATCCTGTCGTAAAGTGTTGAACATTATAAAGAAGGAGATCATCAAATGTCGTGAGAATCGTCTGCGTATCACCAATGTTGAATCTGTGTGTGAAAAGCTCCAGAAAGAGGTGGCCCGAGTCATCAGCATGTTTGAATCATCTGTCTCCACTTCTCCAGATAAAGTGAGTCCATCTTCATTTTGAAGTAGTAAGATAATTTTTTGATCAGTAAGGTTTAAACTTCTGAAGTTCATGTACATGTGTTTGTAGCTGATCATTTCCTGATTATAATTATGAAATTGGTCAGCTATATGAGATTGGTCTGGAATGCATATCCATAATATTGCTTATAATTACATGTATGTTTAATCTTGAGTTAACTGTTAATTTCCATGATGCTAGCTTTGTTTAAATGATGTTCTATAGATCACTTTCATGTTTCTATGGTTTCCTACAGCTGATGTGATTTGAAATAGGTAACTGTTTCAAATTAAGTTTGAGTCTGTTAATAATGCAAACAAAGATATGTTGTATCCACTGAAAAAGACCAGTCACACATATTGTGTATTCCTCAACAAATCTTATTTGACAGTCTGTATTGGCAATTTTAGATGAAGAAGTAAAATGAGTAGTTCTGGTTTCCTTACCAATGTATTCTTTTAGTAATACTGCATTTGATTTTAGTTTTTCTGTACTCAGAAATTGAGAAATTTCACTTCTCACTTTTGTTAAAGGTAAGTGTACTGTCACATCCATGGTGCATATTATAATTTTACAGACATCCTTTCATACAAAAAAAAATCTTTTTAATTGCCTTCCACTCTCTATAAATTTGAGATGAATTTTAAAAAATCACTATTTCATTGCCAATGATTCTATCACACAATGACTTGTTTGTTTTATGGCCATTGGTTATATATCACAAAACAAACTGATTTACAGGCTGTCAGAGATGGTGGGTCTGCTGTTGGGCGACATACTCTCAAAGTCCTGCGTTACGTTGTAGACAAATTGGTGTCAGGGATGGATGATTTCAAAGTACAAACACTTGACTTCCTGTCTGATGGATTCTCAAGTCAAAGAACCCCTGTACACTTCCCCTGTATCATGTCCCAGTTCAGGTATGTGTATATCTATAAACTGTAAAGTTACAGTTATTTTGATAAGAGGCATATCTCTACACTTGGCTGTGTAAATTAAACAGTAAATGTGTAAAAACCTAATATACTAGTTTATGTACATATCTACATAAGTCTAGTATGGTAAAAGCACTGTCTAGATGATAATTTCATAATTACTACATTTGATTTTAAAAAATGCAATGAATGCTTTAAATACAAAAGCATGGAGGGGGTGAATTGAATTAAGATATTTACATGAAAAGTCTCCATATGAAATGTATTGATTCTTTGGTAGAAAATTTGAGGGAGAAAATGTAACCCTCAGTTAAATCATATTATTGACTAGGTCTATGGAACACAGAGTTGACAGAGTAATGTATTGATGGATAAGGGAAGTAAACAAACATTTTACTGGCTTTGATAATGTGCACTCATCCCTGGGATGATTCACTTTTCCATAGAACTGGTGGGAAAGCACTTACAGGAAGGAGAGTGGTGCTTATTTGATTGTTATGGTGTTAAGTCTTAAATATTTTATGCAGATCTCCTGAAGAATACTCAGACAGCCCTGATGACCCATACAATCAGAGTCTGTGTGACCGTCTGCTTTCCCAGCGATCATCTGAGGTACATACTCATTTCATTATTACTTGATTGACAAAGTTTAAATTTTCTCCATTATTATTACTTATCAAAATAATCATGTTTGTAAAAAAGAGGACGATGAAGTTTTTTTTTTTTTTTTTTTTGCAGACACCAATCCATCAGAAGCGATATAAATCATGTATGGATTGGGCTGGTCCTACCCATAATGTAGACATCAAAGGGCAGGATAAGGATATCGTACTCACACAGTCAGAGGTTGTGGTCATCCCCAGGTATGTAATCATACTCACAGTCAGAGGTTGTGGTCATCCCCAGGTATGTAGTCATTCTCACACCATCAGAGGTTGTGGTCATCCCCAGGTATGTAATCATACTCACACAGTCACAGGTTGTGGTCATCCCCAGGTATGTAATCATACTCACACCGTCAGAGGTTGTGGTCATCCCCAGGTATGTAATCATACTCACACAGTCAGAGGTGGTAGTCATCCCCAGGTATGTAATCATACTCACACAATCAGAGGTTGTGGTCATCCCCAGGTATGTAATCATACTCACAGTCAGAGGTTGTGGTCATCCCCAGGTATGTATACATAGAAATAAGTAATTCTGTTGTATACATCAGTAAAAGCATTTTCCTTACATGTGTTATACCATAGATAACTGCTACCTTATAGAGATTTCTTCCCATAGTGTTTGGTTGGGTTATGCACGCTTTTTGATGATGTAATGATTTATTTTGATGTGTCAGTTCAAATTTTCATGATCCCTGGACTCCATTTCCTGTAGCTGTTACCATTCAGATCACAGTCTTATTCTTCTTGTACATTTTCAGGGGTCTCCATGTAAATCTTTTGTTCATATTTTGCTTTTGTTTTATCAAATTTGAGTTTCAGATAAGTTTTTGTTGACAAATCAGTATTTTCTTTGTTTTTTTTTCTCTTGTGTCCTTGGAGGAAAATAATCTTTCACCGTTATGTGATATAGACAGAAATATTTGAACAAAATGGAAAGAACTGGTATGTTACACACATATCAAGATTTTTCTGTCTGTATCACACAAAGATGTAAAACTAATTCAATTTTCTATTTGTGGTGGAGAACTAATTAAATCATGCTTGAAACATGGCCCTTTTATTGAGTATCAGCATTGATGTAATCCAATAATGTGACAAGGTTAATTAGCGTTAAGTGATGAAATACATTTGACAACAGTCATTTTCGTAAAGAAAGACAAATTTATATTCTCTTAAAAAATGGGAATATAAATGCATGTGTTGTGTGGGAAGGAAATGCTATGCTAGAATAGTTCCTTAATACTTCAAATTACCAAACTACCTATCTGTAAAAATTTGAGAAAATGTGCAAGTTCCTATGAGCAAATCCACCAAATAATAATTCATATGGTATGGTATATGGGTGTAAAATCTTGGATGCATTTGAAGTGTGTTGCACTCATGTCTTGTTTGGCATGATTGTTCTCTGTACTAATTATTTCATTCTTATTTCAGCAAAACAATTGTACACCCTGGAAAACAGGCAAATAAGGAAACGAAAGTTGCCAACCGTTTAGCAGAGACCATCCATGACCAGGAGAATGTACCAGTTTGTGTGGAGGTCACAGAGGAATCAGATAAAGGACAGGACAAGTCAAAGGTTAATGAACCAAAGGTCAACAAAACAACTAAGGAGTCAAAGAAAAATCCTGGAAAAGGACAGAAACGTCCCCTTGTGACAGGAGATTCTCCAGCAAAAGCCAACAAGAAAACAAAAGCAGAATCTAAAACTTGTCGTCGAAAGCTTCTTCCACAGGTCAAAGGGCAACAGCAATTAACAAAATTCTTCAGAGTATGATCAATAGCAAATAAACACTTGTCTGGAATTGTGGTATTATGTAATTGTGGTGTATTTATAGTAAACCATAGTAGAGGTTGTATGTAGTACATTGTAAATAAATGACTTAAGTTTTAAATCTCAATATAACATTTTTAACTTTTTGATCTTGAAAAAGATTTTGTACTATGAAGTTGTGTATAATATTGTTTTTTGGAGAAACATCTTTATATAAAACTTCTTGCCATGTTTTAGGGTAATTTATCATTTTTGTATATGCATAGTAAGAAGATAGAACTGTAGGTATACAATATATTATGATTTATCAAATATGTTATGTGTAGGTTGTAAACAATATATATCATAAGATATACTCAGGAAAATGGTAGATGCAATTAATATTGATAATGTGATCTATAGAATAATTATGGAATCTATTGGGTTTGAATACACTCTGTGCAATTTAATTTAAAGATCAAATAATAATTTTAATGGTGTTTGCTTTAATTTATTCAAATCAAGCTTGGAAGATATATTTCAATTTATGCTGTTGATAATTCCTGGAAAAGATAAGATTCTGGGTAACCAATATTGTAAGCTTCAGAGGAATCAATATTCATAAATTATATATCAGTAGTAAGAAAATATATTTGTTTTAAATTTGACTTTGGTATTTATTTTCATATTTATTTTAAATGCATATATTAATAAACTCATTTTAAAATATGTTTTAATGATCTGTTATTTTTCAACAATTTACCTGTAGATAATCTTCATTCCATTACACACATTTTTCTTTTCAAATTTTAGAATTATTTCATATTTATAAACCTGAAAACTCATCAGATTCAACTTAAAATTTTGATGAAAAGAATGTCTCTATTTATTCTCTGGTTTAATATGTACAGAAAAACTTTTGCTCAGGGATCACCATCTCTTTCAGTCAAAATTCAGACTCAGAATTAATTGAGATGAAGATCCACAAAGCAATAAGGTTTCTTTGAACAAATTCTTTTATTTAGTTTATTAAGTTTTTAAAAATAGAAAAACAGCATGCTTGAGTTATCTCTAGACACCTGAATGTCTATATCAAAAAACAAATTAATTAATCGTATAATATATTTTGTTCAAAGATTTTCATTTTGGAATTGAACTGATCTTTTTGAAACTGAAAAGAAAATACTTCAAAGCTATGGCTACACTTGTTCTGGCTGGCACTTTGAATTAAACAATTCTTTATTTTCATACACATCAAAAATTTCAATGGATTGTCTGTTATAAACTTTTATTTGTCCTGACATCTTCCAGGGGTATGTGAACTCACACCTACGTTTAGGAGGGAAGATGGAGGTTAGCTGTATTCACAAGTCTTAGACCAATTTCATCTTTTAACTTGAGATTACATAGGAGAGAGAAAGTTTGTTTAATTTATCGAAGAGCAAGATTTTTTTTTTTTTTTTTATTTCATCTTTGGATACTCACCACTTGTTTTTTCAGAAATTTCCTGATAGCTGATGGCTCATCTTTTCATCTATTACATAGAAGCCAATTGAAATTCCTTATTTGAACTGAAATAGCCGCTAGACTATTTTTAACCATACCATGGTCTTTTTTTTTACCATACATGTGTGCACAACATCTGTACTGTATCAAAATCCCACTCTCATCCGAGCATCCCTGATGCGATGGATGCACGAGTTGGACTCTATGAAGTGAAGCCCATAGGCTGGAGGGTTAACTTTTACTTGTAACTCTACAAGCGTGACTCACCTGATCATCATAAACAAAAGAATGACCTCTATGCCATACTCAAACCTTGTGACTTTGACAGTGGATCAAGGTCAATAATGTGAACAAACTATGTAGGCCTTCACATCACAATGCTACAGAGGCCCAAATTAAATACCCTTGGCCATTTGATTATTAAGAAGTTGTTTAAAGATTTTAATACAATTGTCCCTGTGACCTTGATGAATTATCCCAGTATGTAACAAGCCAAACATCAGCACACTGTGGTTTTTTGGTTATTGAGAAATTGTTTTAAAATTTCATTGAAATCACTTCAGGGGTTTTCCAGAAGAAGTCAGAGATGTTGAAAAGTTTATGATGCACTTAAGCAGAATGCCTGACAAAAGGGGATCACATTAGGTCACCATAAGACTTTATCTCAGGTGACCTGAAAATCATGGACAACATACAAATTTCAACCAATCAGAAGCTGCTATGTATGGCCATCTTGTTCAATCAGAAAATGAAAGTCACCATTGTTTTTTTTTATATAAAACCATACCTCCTACATACCAATTCTCATACAAATTGGATGATATCTAAATTTCAACCAATTAAAAGCCGCTATACAGCGGCCATCTTGTCAAATCAATAAATAAATGTTACCGTAGCATTGCACATGTAAAACTTCACCTACATACCAATATTTATTGAAATCAGACAATTTGGCCAAATTTTGACCAATCAGGCCACAGTTGACTGGTCAGATGACTTCGTTTAAGGAACATAAGTATCGTTGAAAGGAGATAACTAAAACTTTGATAAGAGAAAAATGTTTTTATTTAATTTTTTTTAAATTGACCCTTGTAGACTTTCATAGAGATCTCCTCTATCAACAGAAGTGGTAACTTTAAATACAGTACAAACTGAAAGGAAATATCAACAATTTTTGTCAAATAACAACAGTTACAATGTACAAAATATATTCTTGTTAGAACTGGCAATCTTGAGTACTTGTAGCCATTTGTTGTTAGGTTCTAATTAATTAAATCCCGTAATTCAAAATGAAATATTCTGAATTTTTTATATCAAAATCCTTTGAAAACTAAAAACGGCCTTGACCTTTAAACTCACACAATCATCTTTATCAAGATTTTTTATATTGGCTTAATGCAACACAGATTTGACAATTTTCAATTCTATTGTTACAAAAATGTTAAAAAATATCACTTGTTCCTTAAGTATAAACAGACTTCCAAATTTTTGGAAATCCTGTGACATACAATACTCCAAACCAGTTTATCCTAATAGCTATAAATAAACATCTGCATCTTAGACATAAAAAAATGCCAAAATATGTACTAGCACTGTGGAAAAAACACCTTTCAATAATTCTTATTACAAAATATTTTAATATAAAGACTAGTTTATTTTCAACAATTGGATTTCAACAGGTTTAGAGACTCGCTGGGTCAGCAGAATTGATATGTGTCAATACATTTAATGCGTAAAAATAGGTCTGTTTAAATATGGCTGAGATTCTGTGACATAAAATAATATATTTACAATGATATTTAAAATCAATAACTCTTGAAGTGTTAATTTGCTGACATTTAAGACATGTGTATGGATTTCGTAAACAATATCACTGACGAACACATGAAAATTTTTACTGTTTTTACATAATTCAAAAATACTATCATATTGTAATGATTTTCATAAATGAATGTCTTAATGTTTACAGATTGCAATAGAGACACTGTACAGTTAAACCTGTCTATAGAAAAATTTGCGGGAATGGAGAAAAATGACCTTATTAAAAGATAAGTGGTCTTTATTCAGATGTTTAATCACTTTAAATTTTATACCATTGGGACCTGAGACCACTGGCCTTTATACACAGGATTGATTGTATTGCAAATTTGGCATTACTCACTATGAAAATGAGTACTAATTCTCAATCAATATGAAAAACTGTATGGTTGTTGAATTACACTGGACTTCGTGGTCATGCCAGTTCGTCTGTTTCTCCCTAGTGTAATTTTCACATGTCCATACATTGGTATCCATCTATACTGGTATATAACAGATTTCCTTAGATTTTAATTGATGTTAAATGTTTTATTGGTGTCTAATTTTGCATGATCTTTAATGACCATGCAACAGCGAAATGAAATCCCCACTAAATAGTACCAGTTACACAGTTCTGTAACTTTATAATAAACTCATAAAACAAGAAGTATCAAGTTCAACAATCAAGAGTATATTTGATAGTATTTCGATGATTAGGATTAAGTTATTGTTCAAATTATCAAAAAATTCTCACATAAATCCATGTTTAGTCATACTGACCAACAACTGAGTACAATATGTAATCATGATCAGGCCTCGAATTTACGGCTTTTTACTGGCTATTTGCAAGTAGAAATCCAAGAATTGCAAGTAGAAAAATAATGACTTGCTTTTTTCAGCAAGTGGATTCATCAGATGCAAACTGTGAGTGCCTGTCTATTCCTAACATTTCACAGAATTTCATTGTTTCGAGTTTTGATTTTCAAAGTGTAAATATTGGGACAAAGCAGTTCTTCAAGGTAATACATTATAAATCACAAAACAATACACATTATTTGAACATGGAGATTTGCGATAATAGCAAGTAAAAAGTCATTTTAGCAAGCAAAATTTAAGGCACTTGCTGTTTTCAGCAAGTGACAAAAAATGTTAAATTTGAGGCCTGAATAATGCCTTTATGAAATTGTTTTTGTGAAGCACACTACATATGACATAAAGTGATCTGATTGTATTTCTCTACTTACAAACATAATCACACAACATTGTGACTTTCATTTACCCTGAAGTAAATAAAATACCCTTACGATTCATTTTACCTGTAGAATAAGTTGGCACAATCTTCGTATCAGTACACCTGGAGCTAAAACGATTTTCACAAAAAGGAGCTAGAAAATGTCTGTAAGACATGAATACCCCTGCCCTTGTGGTGTAAATATGAAATCTATTTAAAAGTTGTCGAGAAATGAATAGGATTAAGAAAGGTATGTCTGGTACAGTACAAAATGGGCAGTCAAGGGTAAGTACACTGTATAGGCCTTATAATGAAATGGAAAGGGCATACAAAATATAGCAATAAAAATTACATATATTATTCAAATTAATTAAAACTTATCAGCAACATTTTCAGATTTCATGAAAAAGTAAAATGCATGTAACTATTTATAGCACAAGCAGGTCTAATTGAGCTATATCTATCTACTAAATCAATTGTCCATGAAAAAGTTATGTTTTATGAAACCACAAAATTTGAGCTTCAAAAAAATACAGGATTTTACAGTAAGTTTTCAAGCTTTATGGCCTTCTTCAGGATATAGTTTTCACTGTCATGGTTTCAGCATCATGAGATAGAAATGGAGGATATAAAGGGAGACAATGATGTTAGCAAATATATGTTTATCAGACAAATAATTCATCAAAATATTTGTACAAGTTTCAGATAATCTAAATAAGAGAATAATATTTAACAATAATACACTCAACACTGGTGTTTTACCATGGTATCACAGAGAATATTAGGGATTTCGTCAAACAAATAATTACATCAATTGTACAACCACTTTATAAAAATTATATTTGTGAATTATCTAGTTTCCTCTGGTATGAATACAGCTTTTTAATAACACAAAAAATAAAAATGATTTTCTACAAAATCTTTACACCCATGTATAAATATTGTAACAACAGCTGTGAGAGGTAATGGATTTTAAAAGAGCAGACTTAATAATTTTCAACGTATCACATTTAGAGTCAAACTTGGATGATGTAAAACAAATCCTGATAATAGAACAAGAAATTAATTATAAATAATGAATACACAAGTGCATATAGATCAGCTTTAAAAAAAAGAAAAGAAAAACAAACCGCCAAACTACTGGTAATTGGCTTGGTCATCTCCATATTCTGGATTAAACAACACAGCACATAAAAACAGAGATTCATTTATCAGATCTAGAATGTATTTCTTTAACATCTATATATCTCAGATCATTATCACAACCAACTTTATATAAACAACACTGGGAAGGTCATTCTTCAACCTATCGTACATGTACTGTCCAAATCACTTGAGAAATCACAATAAGACATTGGAAATATCTGAGGAAATGATGAATTTGTAGAACGAATGAGAAGAATACCTAATTCTACACAAATCTTCAAGGACCAACCACAATGTAATACAGAATCACAATGGAAAAAGATCTGGAAGTACTACTTAAACGTTAATAAGCCCACCCATGTTTATTGCAGTTTTTGAAGTGGTAATACAAACATTTTTCAGCTGTGGATTTGTTGCTTTCTAAGCCAAACAATTGGTAGTACAGGTTTGTAACTCTACTGAACTTGGCCAGATAAATTTTGCAGCGAAGGAGGACATTAAAAGTAGTGATTACTTGTAGCAGTAAAAACAGACAAAGCGGAAAATGCTATGACATAAATACAGATTTTCTTGCTCTTTTTTCTAGAGTCATAGTATAAAGTATATTGATAAGTTACCTGTATAAGATGTGGAGATACAGCTTTACCATAGATCATTCAGAAACATTTCTACTTTGTAATTCTGCAACCAACATAAAAAAGATTCTAGCAATTTTAATGAAATTTGAAAACTAATCTTCCAAAATTCAAGCACTTTTCAAAAACCTTTTGAAAAATATAAAGATCCCAGCACTTTTTAAGATCTGTATGAATAACCAACATTTCAATCAAAATGAATAGTGAGCAATAATAGAGAAAGCATCATGTAGATAACATATAATATAGCTATACAGTAGAAACTAGAACAACATACTGTGAGCTGTGGGATACAAATTAAGTGATTGTATGAGTGAGATGGTATTATAAAAATAATCCTGTCCAGTATACCATCTACAAGAAACTATAAAACACATTTTCAAAATACTTTATATACACAAGAAAAGGATGTTAACATCTTGATTATATGTGTATGAAGATTTTGTTCAGTTAGTGTCACTGACGTCCTTTTCTCAAAATATCATTACACAAACACACTGGTTTATGTAGCAGTTGAACACTTGGGATTGCAGGACAAAGGGGTAGAACTGTTCAGAACAAAGAGAAAACAGACAGATTGCACTGAACACTAAGTGATTTGGAAGTTAGTTTCTGTATTGCTAAAGGTTCTCATCATTTATGATTATAATCAATGGACAATTGTATTAGCATTTATAAAGCGAGAACACTGGGTTAAAATTGCACCCTGACTTTTTATGATTTTTTTTACTCTACAATTCATAAAAGAGAATTGAGAATAAGAAATTTTTTAATGAAAGGAAAATAATGCCGAAAAATCAACTTCATTTTTACCAGTTGTATAAAAATTTCTTTCACCGGAGAGGTACGAAAATATTTCTCTATTGTTTTACGTATTGCACATTTTACTTAATTGATTCAATATCAATGTTTGGCTACATTTATATACTGGCATAGAAAGGATTTTTTAAAATACAAAATTAACATTGCTATTCCGATCTCATATCAAAATTTAATTGATTACAAATATCTCATTTATGATATTCTTAATCAAAATTTGATAAACGTTGGACATAGAAAGGTTTCAAGTCAAATTCTAAAATCACAAATCATTATCTTGAAACCAGTATGGTAATAATAGTTCCTGGTAAGGGACAATATCATCACAGAGCTTGATTTTTACATCATCTGTTAGAATATCTTTTTTTTTACATGTATTTATTTATATACCAAATAAGCATTCGTATGATCAAGATCATTTAAGTTGATTAGATGATTTCAACAGAAGGTTATGGATCTTAGTAAGAGATCTTGATAACTTGGTGGTCACCTTCAAGATCTTAGTAAGAGATTATGAACACTTGGGGTGATTTTAAGAGATTCTTAATTACTAAGGAGCATTTGGATGGATTGGAGTAAGAGATTCTATCAAGAATAAGTTAATGACTAAACACTCTGATATGTTCATACAAATGTATATTGTCCTCTACATAAGCCTAAAATATCCAAAATAACAACCTGTCATGGAAAAAACTTTTTTTCAACCTTGTCATGAAATACAGAAATAGACACATTGATACATGAACTATTCAACCACTTTTACAAACTGTACCACAATGACACGAAAAACAGCAATCATTCTTCTGAATTACCTGGTAATATAGAATAAAAAACTAGAGTACAATCTGAGTTGGTACTTATACAAGAGATTCAAATACATTGGTTATTAGGATACAAAGATCAATAGGATCTGAACCAGCAACATTACAAACATAATTCATTTCACTACACTAACATTTTATAGGTTGTCAGCGCCAGAGAAAATGTCCATAATCTGATAACATTTGACAAAGTTAAAATCTAAGTTTGTATTTATCCATTAGTAAATACCTTATTCCACTGACTTCTGAAAAACACCTAATTATACATAACTAATGCAGAAAATCTTTATCAGATTCAGCTTGTCTTACAAACTATATATAGAAAATAGGTAAATTTGGAAGTTATATTTAGCTTTTAAATCCCATAATGCTTTGCAAAATTTATGATAAAATTGAATGAAACTCAATGTGACTATGGTAACAAATTTTGGCAAATAATATAAAAAAGAGTTGGCTTATCTGAAATGAATGCTATTTAATAACAGTATAATACTGTAATGAAAAGGATGTCTTAAATCAACAATTTTAATTCTGCCAGTTTTATCTAAAACTGAAGTAATGGTTTAGTTTGGTTCATTTTTGCTTGACGTGCGTCATGGTTATTTATAGATGTGATAGGTTTGGGTGGTGGAGTAAATCCATAGAAGAAAGGCTAGTGATAAAGATGGTAAAGGATTTAACCACTCGGCCACCTCAGCCCCCGCTTGGAACAAAATTGATATCATTTTCACAAAGGTCAGGAACACACCCTGGTTTTCTCTGTTATTTTCAAGGTACAAATATATCTGTTAATATTTTTGTGACATCTCCAATAATTGTGTGAAACACAACATTTACAGTACATATGATTTAATATAAAAAAGAAACAGTCATTTGTTCAAATTTTATCATCACAATATTTAGTGTGTGAATGGTAATTACATTACAGGGTATGTACTATCAAAGCGCCATGTTGAAACATTATCACAGGAAAAACTTGGTGTCGTATATTTGTAATTTATACAATAGGAAGAGTAATTAACAAAAAATAAACATCACCTGGGACAAAACCAAACAGCCTTTACCATTTCTCTAACAACAATCCTTAACCTAAATCCCTTATCTAACTAGACTAATTTCTAATATGTTACAGACTTGGTCTGATTCTACATTTAAGAAACCTTTATTCCTTTTTTTTCCAGACCTGATACCTCTAAGATAAAATCAGGGACAAATTGTCAAATTGTGGGTCTGGTACTCCAGTACTAAGAACCAATAACCACCTACCCGTAATTTCTAACTATGACCTATTGACCCCAACACTTACCATATTTATCTATCAGGCCCCACTTATATAAAACATCTCAACTTGAGATTTCCTCAAGCCCAGATTTTCCTCAGCTGATATCTCCTCAAAAACGGCTTGTATAAAATTTTCTCAATTTTAGAATTAGAATTTTCATACAAGATATTTTCAAGGAGATATTAGCTGAGGAAAATCTGGGCTTGAGGAGATCTCAAGTTGAGATGTTTTATACAAGTGGGGCCAGGTACTACAGTATCAGTATGTCAGGGTCTTACTAAGTATAGTTTATTTAATCTAACTTGATATGATAAACAAAACTGCGTTGAAAAATTAAATGTTGCACCAATCCTTAATCTTTTTCTGAGAATAATTTTGTTTTACCATGCCTTTGATTAAGTCTGACTAGAATTAATTGACAGTTGATTTTGTCCAAGAAGACCTGTTTCAAACAATTCTTGACCGTAATCAAATTTTGACTCTTGTTCCTCCTCAATGACCTCAGCTCACAGCTAGTGAGGACATGCGTACCTCTGGGACAGGTTTGTATCCAGACGACAGTTTGATTTCTGTTTTCAGTGACTTACAACACCAAAGAGTTCCCAGACGTACTCTGACCGTTGATAACAGTGATCTGAAATGGTAAAACGAAAGGTACATTACAAAATTGCATTCTTAAAGGATAAAACAGAATTCTATGAAATATGTTGTGAAATAGAATTTTGAAATAATAAAGCCAAATTCTGTGGTAAACATTTCAGGATGTACTGAATTCAGTGGTACACATTTCAGGATATACTGAATTCTGTGGTAAACATTTCAGGATATACTGGTTTCTGTGGTACACATTTCAGGATATACTGAATTCTGTGGTAAACATTTCAGGATGTACTGAATTCTGTGGTAAACATTTCAGGATATACTGGTTTTTGTGGTACACATTTCAGGATGTACTGAATTCTGTGGTAAACATTTCAGGATGTACTTAATTCAGTGGTACACATTTCAGGATATAATGAATTCTGTGGTAAAACATTTTAGGATATACTGGTTTCTGTGGTAAACATTTCAGGATATACTGAACTCAGTGGTACACATTTCAGGATGTACTGAATTCTGTGGTAAACATTTCAGGATGTACTGAATTCAGTGGTACACATTTCAGGATATACTGAATTCTGTGGTAAAACATTTTAGGATATACTGGTTTCTGTGGTAAACATTTCAGGATATACTGAACTCAGTGGTACACATTTCAGGATGTACTGAATTCTGTGGTAAACATTTCAGGATGTACTGAATTCAGTGGTACACATTTCAGGATATACTGAATTCTGTGGTAAAACATTTTAGGATATTCTGGTTTCTGTGGTAAACATTTCAGGATATACTGGTTTCTGTGGTACACATTTCAGGATATACTGGTTTTTGTGGTACACATTTCAGGATGTACTGGTTTCTGTGGTACACATTTCAGGATATACTGGTTTCTGTGGTAAACATTTCAGGATATACTGGTTTCTGTTGTAAACATTTCAGGATATACTGGTTTCTGTGGTAAACATTTCAGGATGTAGTGAATTATGTGGTAAACATTTCAGGATATACTGGTTTCTGTGGTACACATTTCAGGATATACTGGTTTCTGTGGTAAACATTTCAGGATATACTGGTTTCTGTTGTAAACATTTCAGGATATACTGGTTTCTGTGGTAAACATTTCAGGATGTAGTGAATTATGTGGTAAACATTTTAGGATATACTGGTTTCTGTGGTACACATTTCAGGATATACTGGTTTCTGTGGTAAATATTTCAGGATATACTGGTTTCTGTGGTAAATATTTCAGGATGTACTGAATTCTGTGGTAATTTCAGGATGTAGTGAATTATGTGGTAAATATTTCTGGATATACTGAATTCTGGGGTAAATATTTCTGGATATAATTAATTATGTGGTAAATATTTCAGGATATACTGAATTCTGTGGTAAATATTTCAGGATGTACTGAATTCTGTGGTAATTTCAGGATGTAGTGAATTATGTGGTAAATATTTCAGGATATACTGAATTCTGTGGTAATTTCAGGATATACTGAATTTTGTGGTAAATATTTCTGGATATACTGAATTCTGTGGTAAATATTTCAGGATATACTGAATTTTGTGGTAAATATTTCTGGATATACTAAATGCTTTCTCCTGTATGTGTTTTAAATGATACATTCAATAAGTGTTACAGAATTTAGTAATAAGTAACAATAAAAAATATTGCTTTCAAAGTAACTAACTGTTTACAGTGATAACTATTATTGATTTTAGCATGAATCATTCAACACAGTAGCATCAAACATAATCTAAAAACCTTAACAAATATCATGAACTGTAAATATATATAAACCTCAGTTAATAAAGATTTCATTGAAGAAAATGAAGGGCATATTAGAAGTTCAACCCTAACCACCACCATACACATGCTTTTAATAAAGCATCATGCACTTTTTAACATTATCAAAGAATACATACATTCCCAGTTTAAGTGGACACCATAAGTAAATGAGTGACATAACATATTAGGTGTAGTTATAAATAATGAAGTTGTGTGACCAGCAACTGCTGTTGGAATGATAGTGTAAAAGAAATATCACTTCAATTTTGGAAAAGAAATGAGTCTGAAAAGAGATGACAAAAAATCTATTTATAGTAACAGTAATGGTGGCCTTGTATTTCAACCCTGTATCCTGAAATTTCTAGTTCATACAGGAGGTTATGTTCTTGAGGTATTGGAGTTCAGCAATAATGAGGAAACAAAAAAATTGGTAGGGCAGTAATACCAAACAAAATACATCAACAAGAGTTCCTCAGAACTGTATGTGTCACCTGCATAATGTGTCATGGTCACCCAGATATTGAACTGGATGTGCAACATTCAACCATAAAGTTATTGTTACCCCGTTATGTTGTACTATCCTTATGTTATACAAAAGACCAGCAACAACCGTTCTCAAGTACAAATGTTGAGTATTAACACAAGTTACAACAATGATAACATGTATGGCCTGAGTATCGAGCTTAACAAGTTACTCCTTCCACGGCCACACCAGGACTGACTCTATTTGCTGTGATCTTACAGTTTATCCTAAAGCAATTATAATCTAATTCTGATAGGGAAAGTGTCTTCTACTGATCTACAATTAAACCGTGACCAGTTAATGTCTCCATGGTGGAGAGCATGCCCAGCCAATGTTTCACGGCATGATTCTGACACTAAGGTGACCGCAATTAAACTATCTGTCTGATAAGCCAGCCGGTCACATTAAGATTTAACACAAATTATGTTCTACACTTGAGTGACAAATTTCACTATTAACATCCCCCTGCCTAAGAAAACTTTTACGGTCTAAAAGTTCAGAGATAGCAAACTGCTCATGATACTCAGGCTGAGATAATATTTAGTATGTACACAAACACTGGTAAGTTTACTTGAACAACAGTTAATTCTAAATTCTACAATATACTGTTAACTTCCTTGGATAAGGTACTTCTGTTAGACTGTCACTGTTTGTTCTTAAGGTATACACATCACAACCTTATCACATGTTCACAATTGATGATACATCCAGAGTCAGTGTTCGTCTCCTTTTTTTTCAAAATATATACACTATTTATTCAATTCTGGATAGTCCATCCGCATTGGCATTTTCCTGGCCCCGTCGATATCTGATTGTATAATGAAACTGTTGTAATGCCAGTGCCCATCTTAACAGTCTCTGATTCTTTTGCTTGGTCCTATCAAGCCATTTAAGTGGATTGTGGTCAGTCAAAATGGTAAAGTGAACACCACTAATATAATAGGAGAATGACTCAACACTCCAAACGATAGCTAAACATTCCTTCTCCACTGTAGAGTAATTTTGTTCCCGCGGCAGTAACTTTCTGCTGATGTACGCAATAGGGTGTTCCTTATTGTTGATATTCTGACTTAAGACCGCTCCAATAGCCACGTTGCTGGCATCAGTCTGAATGACGAAGGGCTCTTTAAAATCTGGATTTGCTAGTACCGGTGCCTTGGTCATCTCGTCCTTTAGTTGGTTGAATGCATTTACAGTGTCATCCATCCATTTGGGTTGCCTTGGTTTGTCTTTCCTTAGCATGTTGGTCAATGGAGCCGATATCTTGGCATAATCCTGAATGAAACGCCGATAATAACCAGTCATACCTAGAAATGACCTAATCCCTTTTTTGGTTTGTGGGAGGGGGAAGTCAACCATGGCTTGAACCTTCCGACTATCTGGTTTAAGCTTTCCTTTCCCGACAATGTGTCCCAGACAGTAAAGTTCCTCTTCACCAAATTGACATTTTGATGGCTTTACTGTTAATCCACTTTCCCGAAGTTTGTCCAATACAGTCTTGATATGTTCAAGGTGTTCCTTCCATGTGTCGCTGTATACCACTATATCATCAAAGTAAGCGACCACATGTTCTACTCCTGCTAACAGTCTGTCCATCATTCTTGCAAATGTAGCAGGCGCTGTTTTCATACCAAAAGGCATTACCTTGAATTGGAAGTGTCCAAATTCAGTTACGAAAGCTGACTTTTCCTGTGAATCTGGAGACAGAGGTATCTGCCAGTATCCCTTTGCTAGGTCCATAGTGCTGAGGTATTGAGCTTTGCCTAGCTTTTCAAATATCTCGTCCACCCTGGGTATTGGGTACCCGTCACATACAGTTACGTCGTTGAGTTTCCTGTAATCCACACATAGCCGAGTTGTAGTATCCTTCTTTTCCACCAAAACTATTGGAGATGAGTATGGACTTGAGGAAGGTGTTATATAACCACGCTCTATCATTTCATCCAACATTTTCTTCACCTCTTGTTTTTTGGCTTGAGGAATTCTGTATGGCTGTTGTCGGATTGGTTTCTCACACGTTGTCCTCAGGCTGTGCGTAACTAACAATGTTTTTCCTGGATTAGGATTTATGACATCACTGTATTCTTGACAAAGCTGACGGATTTCTTGGCGCTGTGACTTATCTAACATTTTGCCAAGTGTAACATCCAGTGTTACCTCCAATGTTGAATTAGAACCGTCAAAATCAGAATCGGCGATGTCAACCTTTTCGACAAACATGACGTTTTGGACAGCTCTATTGTACTTCCGTAGTAGGTTGATATGATAAACAACTCGTTTACGACGTCCTCCAACATTGACCTCATAGTTGACGTCGTTGACTTTCCTTATGACCCTATATGGTCCTTTCCATTGGGCGACCATTTTTGATGTGTCTGATGGTAGTAATAGTAGAACCTCGTCCCCAGGTCGAAGTTCCCGTTTTGTGGCGCTCCTGTCGTACCACTCTTTGATCTTTTGCCGTTTGTGTGTCAGGTTTTCCTGTACTGTTTCTCTAACCATTGCGAGCTTTTCTCTCATATGAACAACATGGTCAATGACAGATTTTCTAAGCTCTCCTTCACCTGTCATGGCTTGCTCTAAAATCTGTAATGGTCCTCTGACCGGCCATCCATATAGCATCTCAAATGGTGAGAATCCCGTTTCCTCATGGGGTACTTCCCTATATGCAAACAATGCATATGGCAACAGCTCGTCCCAGGCTTCCTGATTTGACGTGCAGAGTTTCTTTAACACAGCTTTGAGAGTTGCGTTAAATCTTTCTACCTTCCCATTAGCCTGTGGGTGATATGGCGATGTTGTTATGCCCTTGATTCCCATCACACGGTAGAGTTCTTGTATCATTTTTGAGGTGAAATTTGTGCCCTGGTCTGTCAGAATAACACGAGGCACTCCTACCCTACTGAACAGTTCCACCAATGTGTTAGCTATGGTTTCTGCGTCCACATTCTTTAATGCAAAAGCCTCTGGGTACCTTGTTGCGTCATCCATAACGGTAAGAATAAACCTGTTCCCCTTCTTTGTTCGAGACAGTGGCCCAACAACATCCATAGATATTTTGTAAAATGGCTCACTAATGATCGGTGGTTGTCCTAATGGAGCTTTCTCGTCACCACGTCTTCTGGCGGTCTTTTGACATACGTTACAAGTACTACAGTATTCCTGTATGTCCTTAAAAATTCCTGGCCAATAGAATGAATTAACGACACGCTCTTTGGTCTTTTCTATCCCTAAATGTCCCGCAAGTGGTCTATCATGTCCCAATTTAATGATATTGAGACGTAGTGCCTCTGGTAGTACTACCTGGACTCCATGTTGGGCTCCATCACTAGACTCCCATTTCCTACGGAGAATCCCATTTTCCCAGTACAGGGCATTCCTATCTTCCTGCACAGATTCCTCTGAACTTGCAGCTTTTCTCCGAATGTTGGCTAAAGTTGGATCTTCCTGCTGAAGCTTACTAAGCACTTCAGCATTTACAGCAGAAAGTTCAAGCGGTTCCTCTGTTGTGATGTTAACTGTATCATCCCCATTGCTGTGGGATACAGTCTCACTGATGTTGTCAATGTCCTCACCAACGCCATCGCCATGGTCCAGGTCCACATCGTTCGCCTGTCCAACATCACTTCCCTTACTGGCATCCACTTGGTCCATGTCGGGGTCCATTCCAACTTTTACATGGCATTCCTTTGCCTTGTCCTCAGCTAGCCTTTCTTCAGCAATGTTATTACGATGTTGTGCACGCGTAACAACATTCACAGCCTTTGATTGTCTCTCTATGATGTCTACCCCCAACAGGGCTTCAGCGACAAGGTCAGGCACTAATCCGACCTGAGCATGTCCCTTATAATATGGCGTGTCCATATCAACGATAGCCAGTTTGGCTGAAAACGGCTGTCCAGTCGCTGTACACAGCGTCTCCCGCTGACCCTCCAATACACAACTTGGGTCCACCAGGTCTTCCCTAATCAAGGTCATCGCTGACCCAGTGTCTTTCACGAAACTAATATCACGGCCATTGACCTCTCCTGGGACATGGATAAGTCCTCCCGTGTATTGTCGCACTAAAAAACCTGCAAGATTTTTACCTTCTCTGTTTTTTGGACATTTCCTCGCGAAGTGCCCGTACTTGTTACAATTGTAACACTGCACACTTTTCATTTGCTCTGTCGATTGCTCCTTTCTCTGGTCCCGATCAGAGGTAAAAGTTTTTCCATTTATACTTTTACCTTGCGTTGATTTGTTTATATTCCGTTCAGGTAGAATATAATCCTCTGCGGCTTCAACCACACTGCTCGACCCTTTGTTACGGCGTATCCATTGTGCTTGTGACACTGGCAATGCACTAAGAAAATATTCCTCTTTGAATTTTTCCATGACATCCTCTACTGAGTCCACAAATCTAGTAAGATATTGTTCAATTCTTGCCATAAGTCCTCTGTATGTTTCCTTTGGTTCCCTTTGGGCTGTCTGTAATAGCTTGAAATATTGGTAGGGCCTTTTCCCGTACCTGTCCATTAGGGCTTTACAAAGTTCTTCAAATGACCCATGTGCTTGAATAGCTACCTCTCTGGCCTCACCTGTTAACAAGGTTCTCAGCTGTAGCATTTTTACTTCTTCTGTCCATCCAGCCTGTGTTGATAAAGCAGTAAACTCTGATAAGAATGTCACTATATCCTCACTTTCAGTATGATTATAAGGTTGAAGTTTCAGTCTAAACGGCACAGGGTTAGAATTTGTCTCACACCGTTCCTTTTGAAGTTTTGCTTTTTCAATCTCTAGTTCCAATTCTTTCACTTTCCTTTGATGTTCTCTTTCCTTTTCTTCGGCGTCCATTCTCATCTTTTCTCTTTCAACTTCCATCGTCATCCTTTCTCTTTCAAAATTCATTTGGCGTTCTTTTTCCTCTTTCTCTGCTTGAAGTTTTTCTTTTTCTAAGTTCATTTGGCGTTCTTTTTCCTCTTTCTCTGCTTGAATTTCGAGTCTTCTTATTTCCAACTTTGTTTGTGCTGCCGTCATCTTCGCAGTTTCCGTTTCTTCAGTCGTCGACATATTGAACAGTTCTAATGAGCGTTATATCTTTGATAACGGAGTCCTTCTCCTTAGAATGATCCTTTACCGCTGCCACCAGAATATGTTACCCCGTTATGTTGTACTATCCTTATGTTATACAAAAGACCAGCAACAACCGTTCTCAAGTACAAATGTTGAGTATTAACACAAGTTACAACAATGATAACATGTATGGCCTGAGTATCGAGCTTAACAAGTTACTCCTTCCACGGCCACACCAGGACTGACTCTATTTGCTGTGATCTTACAGTTTATCCTAAAGCAATTATAACCTAATTCTGATAGGGAAAGTGTCTTCTACTGATCTACAATTAAACCGTGACCAGTTAATGTCTCCATGGTGGAGAGCATGCCCAGCCAATGTTTCACGGCATGATTCTGACACTAAGGTGACCGCAATTAAACTATCTGTCTGATAAGCCAGCCGGTCACATTAAGATTTAACACAAATTATGTTCTACACTTGAGTGACAAATTTCACTATTAACAGTTATAATACCAAATTTTATTTCTATAACTCGAAGCATAAAGGGAAAACTGCGTAAAGCAATATTCCTGAGAAATTTTCCAAGTTCAAAGGGACATATCACTGCCAAGAAGGGTTACAGAGTGCCAAGAAGCAAACTTGGTGAGTAACTTTTGATCAAGAACTCATGTATAAAATTGCATTTTGATAACTCCAAGCATAACCAAGAAAAATCCAGAACACAATATTCTCAAAGAATTTGAGTTCAACAGGGCATAACTCTGCCAAGAAAGCCGTGAATCAAACCTTATCTGTAATGTTCGACCATGAAGCCATTTCTCATATTTCATTTCAATAACTCTAAGCATAATCAAGAAAAGTATAAAAAAAACATATTCTTGAAGAATTTTCGAAGAGGCATAACTCTGCAAAGAAGGGTCACAGAGAGCCAAGAATCAAATGTAATCTGTACCCTTCCAACAAGAAGCCATATACCAGATTTTATTTCTATAACTCAAAGCATAACCAAAGAAAGTCCAGAAAACAATATTCCCAGATAATTTTCTAAGTTCAAAGGTACTAAATTTCATTTCTATAACTCAAAGCATAACCGAAAAAAAGTCAGGAAAACTTCCGTACAGATGCCGCTGACGCATGACGACGGACAAATAGATCCCTAAGTGTCCGTCAGCTCTGCAGGCAACACAACAATGACCTTATTAACAATGATGTTTTTTGTTAAAGAAAATAAGTGTCTTAAGAGGAAACACAAAGATTCTATTTATAGTAACAGTGACCTTGTTTTAATTAAAAGAAGGGAGATAAGATAATACATATTAAAATCTAATGAGCAATGTCATCAAAATAGTATTGTAAAAGTTGCCTTTGATTTCAGGTGGTCGAAATATCGAAATGTGTTGACTATAGGACTTGTCAATATTTTGAAAATCACAAAAGGAATTGAAGTTGGAGACCAATGATGCCAGATTTGTGTTTATAGAAACAGTGACATTGTTGTCGACCCTAGAGAGTTGAAATTTGAACTAGAAGGAAATGTTTCAAAAGACATATACAGAGGCAATTTATGATAATCTACCAAGAAATGAAATATAATTATGTTCATATAATATCTAACATAACTAATGTTTGCTGCAGGATTCAAGACAAAACTTCACACAAGTTTTGAGTTGAGTGCTGGACAGCTGATTGTCAGTAAACTGTTAGTAAAACCAAATACAAATATAATACTATCAAAGTCCAGAAATACCAACACCTTATTAAAATGAGAGCAGTGAAATCTTACCAAGAACATGGACATTTCTGAACTATACAACTGTTGGTAGATAAGTTTACAATGTTAGTAAGTATATAAATAACTCATGTTTTCACCCAATACAAGAGGATCTTTATAATATACCAGATCTTTGTATACAACAATGATGTCTACTACAACACTACCTGCATATTTTAAATATAAGTCATTAAACATAAATGTTAAACCACATACACTTTTTCAAATATGTTTGATAATAAATCTGTTACATTATGAATAAAAACATCATATTTAATCTAAAACTTTATCAAACAAATATATTTCTGTACATGTACCAACACTGCATAATTAGTCACTTTCACTCAAAATTAATTGATTATAAAAATTATTTTTAAAATATGACATTGAATTTGGTATTGTTTTATTTTACTTACCCCTTTGTAAGATCAGAAGATATCTGTTCCAGGGAACGCCCTTTGGTCTCAGGAACAAAGAGAAAGATAAATCCTGTGGATAGCGCACAGATAAAACAAAAGACGAAGAAGGTCAAGGACACTCCCAACTTATCTGAAGGTCAAAGAAAATAAAACATATTTGTCTTACTTACATTTCAGGTATATTAAAATCTTCAGGTTGATAAAAGATGGCATATTATGTTTAACATATATTTCTTTATAATTAGTTTAAATAACATACTCTGGGGTAGTTTGCGTTTCTCTAAAGAAAATGAGTTCACACACAATGCTGTGGTGTCATTGTTGTGTCCTTGAGTAAGACCTTATCCTTATTGCTTTGGATAGTATGGAGCAGATGTCATACATGAGCTTCTAGGAAAACCATCTTAAAAGTCACCCTGACTGTTCATTGGATAATAAACTTAGCTAACAACACTTTATACCCATGAATGGAACCCATCATTAACAATGAAAAGAAAGGATGTTTCTTATTAATATTTCTTTTTCAGTTTACTAGGTACATTTTCTCCCTAGTTTGATCAGTGGTATCTTTTGAGTGCTTACCAATGACATTGAGAAAGACAGAAGAAACAACCATATTGGTGCCCCAGTTGAGAACTGTTGTTATGCCAATGGCCCGTCCCTTCACCGAGGCAGGGAAAATTTCACTGAGGACCAGCCATGTTACTGTGTAAAAACCAAGCATTAGGTTAAAGGTCATCACATCTGTCCATGGTGGTAAAGGTCAAATTTCATTTTACATACCACAGCAAATGAAAATTCCATAGAGAGAGAGACTATGTAACTAATATTAAAGTAGATCTGTAATCTTCAGCAGACAAACATTTTGAGTCCTGTCTGATCATAATTCTGTTTATATTGTAACTTAGGATAAAAATAAGTTTGTAGATGATAATTTGAAAAGTCTATGTTTGTGATGTCTTAAGAATGTGAAAGAGTCTTATCCTGGACAGCTGTTAGTAATTTTTGCAAAATACAGGCTCCCTTCTCCCGATCCCAACCTTACAATGTACCACTGATTTGACTGAGATAAAGTTTAAAATAGATTATTTCACATCATTCTATTGTTTCTTCACAACACAAAATAGATGCAATAAGGTTAAGTCAAGAAAAAATCATACCTGGTCCAAATCCAATGGCATAAGCCGCTACAAAAGTCATCAGGGCTATGAATGCTACTACCCTTCCTGCTTTGTCCCCATGTACCAAAGGTGTGTGATCAGTAGAGTTAGACTGATTAGCTATGCTTGGGTTAGTCAGGTTAGCACCAGTGAAGCTATTTGATTGGTTGTATAGAAAAACTTGATGTTGATGGTTATCTGTTGATGGCACACACACTTCACTCTCTGAGCATGTCTTTTTGTTAAGTGTGTGGTTCTGAAGATGAGTTACAAGTCCTAGACATAAGATGGCAGTACCCATCAGAACAGCACCAGTCAGGAGAAACTTGCGTCTTCCCCATTTATCCACACACAGTAATGCTATGACAGTCATTACAACCTGTTAACATCAATTAGAAAATATATTTCATGTGTAAGTTGATAATAATATCATTGTACTTCATGTATGTTACTTACTATATATAACAACAGTTAAAAGTAAATACTGAACAAATACATACAAAATCTTAACACCCTACCATTGTAGGACTTTTATAAAACTGATGATACATTGATTTAATTGTTTTCTAAACATCAACTGTTAAATTTGATATATGGTAGGATATGCCAGCCATTTTGTTTATCCTAGCTCAAAATTTAAAAGGCTCAACCAATGTTCAATTACAACGTGAGAAATATTGATAACCTGAATTACAGAGGGATAACAGATGGAAAAATGACCATGGACGAAGGGTGACTCAAACAGCCTGTCCATGTGCCTGTTTGTCAATCCAAATCTCAGGAAGAATGTTTTTTTTTTTAATTTTCATTTGATCAGCATTACTTTTAAGCATTTTGTGTGTCAGTGCTTACTTTAATAACCCCTAGCCCTACTGTTGCAAGGGTAGCAGCGGAATGTGATCCGAAGCCTACAGCCTCAAAAATGGTGGGTGCATAATACAGCACATTTGGCTGGCCGGTAAACTGTTGGAAGAAGACAAGTCCTGCCCCAATCATCATCCGACCTCTCATATTGTCCACACTGCTGCAAAGGCTGCAGCAGGTCTGGTTCTGGGGAGGTAAAGAGAATAGATTAAACAGCTGTAACGAGCATATGTAGGGAAGTAATCAGAACACAGATCAAACAGAGAAATTTGAGTATATACACAGAACAGATAGAACTACTGCCGGAGACATCTGGGGAGGTAAACAGAACAGATAAAACTACTGCCTGAGATATCTGGGGAGGTAAACAGAACAGATACAACTACTGCCTGAGATATCTGGGGAGGTAAACAGAAAACAGAAAAAGGATAATTAGCACCTGTCAATATTGAGGGTGTCTTTATCAAGACATGTTTATCAACAAACCTTGTATTTCCATGATTTTCTGACCAGCCTGAGGACTCAATCTAAATATTATTCTGAGAGAATACTTGGATTGTAATACCAACAGGAAACTTTAACATAACTATTTAATTCTATACTATTAGAAGAAGTAGGGAGGAAGTTGTCAAGAAATAAAAATGGTAATGAAAGCCATCAAATATAACAGAGTAAATCTAAAATTTTACAATAAACATTCATTTAACTCAAAACATGTGGGGAATTCAAAAACCACTATCATATGAAATTATTCTGTTCCTCAATAATGTATTTCTAGAAATAACCTGCCACAACATACCATTTCCCCAGCTATGGATATTTTCATGGCATTCATCTCTTTCTCTACATCTCCCCGTCTCAGCTTCATCAACACTTCTTGTGCCTAAACAACACCACATATCATCATCACATTAATGGGTTGTATTCTGTTCCAAGTCCATAAAAAATACTTCCTTTTTGTTTTTTAAAACAAATAAAACCACAAAATTAGAACCATCGAAAAAGCAAATTAAAAAAAAAAAACACTTTATGTACTACATGCACATATACTTTTTATAGAGTTGTCTGCCCATTCCAGTATGACTTTGAACTAACCTTGGCCTCCTGTCTTTTCAACATGTAAAATCGAGGACTCTTGGGAAGGAACATCATCCCAACACCTTGGATGACTGCAGGAATGGCAGATAGTCCAAACATGTACCGCCTGATAGAAGAAAGAGATCAATTTTACATCAACTAGATTCCTTTTACTAATATAATGAGCTTTTTTGACAAGACGCCAACAAACTATTATGTGTGTACTCTCAGGTGACAGGCTTAGTGATGACATTATGTAGGCCAACACACCACCAACATGAAAACATTTTATAGTCTTGTATTCTAGAGTGTATATACATTCTTAAGAAAACAATCAAATTTAACAACCTGGTTAATGGAAGACCTCATAGCAAAATGTATGTATAATAATTCTCTGGTTTCTTCAACAAAGAGACCAAGGCCTTTTTACTGCTGATACCATGACATCTGGCTTGAGGATTGATGAAAGGTTATTACAGTTGATTTTTACTTTAAAATATACAGGTAATGTGTACTGTATAAAGCACATACCAGCCATTGTTGACCTGTATAAAGAAGTAGTTGACAAGGTATGCCAGGAGAAGTCCTAAGGTAATGCCCAACTCATTCAGTGACACCAGCACCCCACGTTTCTTCTGTAAACACAAAGACAAGAGTCTCAGCTGATATATATATAGGATTGCATGACAAATTTTAATATTTCTGTAAAAGTAACATCTATTTGTGCAGGAAGTATGATAATCTGCATTAGTTTTGTGTTAAGTCTATTAATCTATAACACCAAACTATTATAAGAAAGTTGTTCCCCTTATAATTCTTTTTCAATACATAAATGGTCCACCATCAGAGACAAAACTATTCCTGTTAAATCTGTAATTGTGTATGGAATTTCCTTAATTATTCGACAAGAAGGGATACAATGGTAAAATAATAACAACAAATGTTTAAGATCTATCACTGAGATATCAATGAATAGATTGACATACACAGTAGCGATATCAGATATGTAAATGTATTGTAATATGTTCTAACTGATAGCAGCCTAATGATCTTGGATATCTTAATGGCATTAATTAACATTTATCAATATACAACAGGAGCTATATCTGATATGTAAACAGATACCTGGTATGTATACTTACAACAGGAGCTATCTCTGATATGTAAACAGACACACTTATATACTTACAGCTGGAGCTATCTCTGATATGTAAACAGTAACACATACTTACAGCAGGAGACACACTTATATCTACAGCTGATATGTAAACAGTCACACTTATATACTTACAGCAGGAGCTATCTCTGATATGTAAACAGACACACATACTTACAGCAGGACCTATCTCTGATATGTAAACAGTCACACATACTTACAGCAGGAGCTATCTCTGATACGTAATCAGTCACACTTATATACTTACAGCAGGAGCTATCTCTGATATGTAAACAGACACACATACTTACAGCAGGAGCTATCTCTGATATGTAAACAGTCACACTTATATATCTACAGCAGGAGCTATCTCTGATATGTAAACAGACACACATACTTACAGCAGGAGCTATCTCTGATATGTAAACAGTCACACTTATATACTTACAGCAGGAGCTATCTCTGATATGTAAACAGACACACTTATATACTTACAGCAGGAGCTATCTCTGATATGTAAACAGACACACTTATATACTTACAGCAGGACCTATCTCTGATATGTAAACAGACACACTTATATACTTACAGCAGGAGCTATCTCTGATATGTAAACAGTCACACTTATATACTTACAGCAGGAGCTATCTCTGATATGTAAACAGACACACTTATATACTTACAGCTGGAGCTATCTCTGATATGTAAACAGTCACACTTATATACTTACAGCAGGAGCTATCTCTGATATGTAAACAGACACACTTATATACTTACAGCAGGAGCTATCTCTGATATGTAAACAGACACACTTATATACTTACAGCTGGAGCTATCTCTGATATGTAAACAGACACACTTATATACTTACAGCAGGAGCTATCTCTGATATGTAAACAGACACACTTATATACTTACAGCAGGAGCTATCTCTGATATGTAAACAGACACACATACTTACAGCAGGAGCTATCTCTGATATGTAAACAGTCACACTTATATACTTACAGCAGGAGCTATCTCTGATATGTAAACAGACACACTTATATACTTACAGCTGGAGCTATCTCTGATATGTAAACACACTCTCCAGTAGCAGACACACTTATATACTTACAGCAGGACGGCTACAGCTTATATACTTACAGATGCTATCTCTGATATGTAAACAGTCACACTTATATACTTACAGCAGGAGCTATCACTGGAAAGAAAAATGAATGTATCTTTTAACCTGTATCACACTGGGGCAGGGACCCAGGACCAACACAGTCACAGAAGCAGGTCTTCTCATCACAAAGCCAGGAAACAGCATTGCCTCGCATTTGTTTATTTACTGTTATTCACATGGTGGGCTTATTAATTGTCCTTATTCAAGAATTCAGTACTCTGATCTCATAAGGCATACACACAATTAATATTGTATTACCAGAAACATTAAGAGGTGATCCTGAACATATTAAAATATAAATGTCATAATTCTTTCATCCACTCTTTGTAATTTCAATCTAATACTGCTGATACATAAATATTGGCAATCACAGATATACATTTACTAGCGAGCTCTTAAAATTGACAATTATTTAAAAACCAATCCTCATCAAGATGTTTGAAGTATTTTTTTCAAGGTTTTTAATTTCGAGTTTAGAACAGAAAAGAGGAGTGGGCAAGACAATAGAATGAAGGTAAATATTACTAGGAACACTCAAGAATCTCCTAGGAGATGACTGGTAGAGAGGGCTAGAGTGAATGTCCCTATTGAGTCTACTCCAGTACTTACTAGGAGAGGATAACTGGTAGAGAGATGAGAATGAATATCCCTGTTAAGACTTCTCCAGTTCTTACTAGGAGGGGATAATTTGTCGAGAGGGTGAGAATGAATGCTACGATTGAGACTACTCCAGTACTTACTAGGAGAGGATAACTGGTAGGGAGATGAGAATGAATATCCCTGTTAAGACTTCTCCAGTTCTAACTAGGAGGGGATAATTTGTCAAGAGGGTGAGAATGAATGCTACGATTGAGACTACTCCAGTACTTACAAGGAGAGGATAACTGGAAGAGACGGCGAGGATGAAAGCTCCCACTAGGAATACTACAGCATTAAGAATGATGGTCTGCCTTCGTCCATACTTGTCTATCACAAATCCTACAAGTAAAAGACACTCTAGTATAAAATATGTAAATACATGTTCCAATTACAGAAATGTAAAACAAATATGAATTCAGTAAGCTGTACTGCCTGACTTACTCTTACAGGTTTTCACAACCATAAACATTCAGTTTTGATATCAGACGAATTATCTAAATCCTGCATTTTCTTCATGCATATACTGTATAGTGGGAAATTTTCACCCCTGGGTTTTTTGGCTCTTTTTTTCTATGAACAGGGAGGGTGAAATGAAGATAGGGGTGAAAATTTGTTATACTGTTTTATATCATCCTCAGAGGGCAAAAGCAACATGAGGCAAATTTGTGAGTAATGGTACGAGGAAGAAAATAACTTGGGGTGAAAATATCCTGGTATACAGTGTTCAATCATAAACTGTTTGTATATATCATCTCATACAATGGTTTTTCAAAAATTATTTTACTATAATGTTGCAGACCTCCCCACTGCAAAATCATGGAAGTTTTTGATATAGCAAACAACTTCCAATTAGATTTTATTTTCACTTCCATCATTTAAGAGTAACATTATCCCAAGAACCAAAACTAATTCTGACAGAACACATACACTTGATACTAACCTATAACTAAGTCAGGTTGAAAATTTCAAATTCACCTCTTAATTATTAAGTCAAAAATTATATAAATCTATTGTACCATTCTTTTCAGTCAAGTCTAAAAATCTTGTCCTACAACATGATAATTGATCTCTGTTATGAAACTAGGCTTACCTCCAAAGAGGGACCCCATCATGGCCCCTACAAGCATAATGCTGACAACAAGTTCCCTCTGGAAACAGGACAGACAGAACTGGTCCTGTAGCTGTAGGACTGCACCAGATATGATACCTGGAATTATCAAAATAAATCAACCCTGATATGTTATCTTAAAATAAACATCTTTATTACTTGACTTTTCACCATGGTGAAAATTAGACTGCAATATTGATCCTCCCATAAGCCCATGACAACAACATATATACCCTAAGTGGGGAAGTGGGCTTCGACCAATCAGAATTTGTGTTCAAACATTTCCAATAGCCTTTTGAAGCATAAAAATAAAAAAGGAACTCATTTATTTTCAGGAATGACATTCAATATCATACAGAAGAACCCCTTTCAACTCAATTTATAAAATACCCAATACAAACACCTAGCAATGATATGGAAGATGTAGACATTTCCACAGAAGCTTCAATAGATTTAGATGAGCTAATTGTTAGATGCATTCCTATTGGCCAATAAACACATATACATGTAATTTTGTAAACCTTCAAAACTGAAAAAAACAGAGCCTGCAGTAAGTATACTAATTCAGTACTCAAACACTAAAGAATGAATAAGGTTAAAGATAGTAAAGTAAAATAAAAGTCGCTACCTCAAAAATATGTCTGGTAACATACTGTATTCTTATATACTGTCTATCACTACAGAAATATGTCTGGTAACATACTGTATTCCTATATACTGTCTATCACTACAGAAATATGTCTGGTAACACACTGTATTCCTATATACTGTCTATCACTACAGAAATATGTCAGGTAACACATTGTATTCCTATATACTGTCTATCTCTACAGAAATATGTCAGGTAACATACTGTATTCCTATATACTGTCTATCACTACAGAAATATGTCTAGTAACATACTGTACTCCTATATACTGTCTATCACTACAGAAATATGTCAGGTAACACACTGTATTCCTATATACTGTCTATCACTACAGAAATATGTCAGGTAACACACTGTACTCCTATATACTGTCTATCTCTACAGAAATATGTCAGGTAACATACTGTACTCCTATATACTGTCTATCACTACAGAAATATGTCTGGTAACACACTGTATTCCTATATACTGTCTATCACTACAGAAATATGTCTGGTAACATACTGTATTCCTATATACTGTCTATCACTACAGAAATATGTCTGGTAACATACTGTATTCTTATATACTATCACTACAGAAATATGTCTGGTAACACACTGTATTCCTATATACTGTCTATCACTACAGAAATATGTCTGGTAACACACTGTATTCCTATATACTGTCTATCACTACAGAAATATGTCAGGTAACACACTGTATTCCTATATACTGTCTATCTACAGAAATATGTCAGGTAACATACTGTATTCCTATATACTGTCTATCACTACAGAAATAAGTAACACTGTACTCCTATATACTGTCTATCACTACAGAAATATGTCAGGTAACACACTGTATTCCTATATACTGTCTATCACTACAGAAATATGTCAGGTAACATACTGTACTCCTATATACTGTCTAACACTACAGAAATATGTCAGGTAACATACTGTACTCCTATATACTGTCTATCACTACAGAAATATGTCTGGTAACACACTGTATTCCTATATACTGTCTATCACTACAGAAATATGTCTGGTAACATACTGTATTCCTATATACTGTCTATCACTACAGAAATATGTCTGGTAACATACTGTACTCCTATATACTGTCTATCACTACAGAAATATGTCTGGTAACATACTGTATTCCTATATACTGTCTATCACTACACAAATATGTCTGGTAACATACTGTACTCCTATATACTGTCTATCACTACAGAAATATGTCTGGTAACATACTGTATTCCTATATACTGTCTATCACTACAGAAATATGTCTGGTAACATACTGTACTCCTATATACTGTCTATCACTACAGAAATATGTCTGGTAACATACTGTATTCCTATATACTGTCTATCACTACAGAAATATGTCTGGTAACATACTGTACTCCTATATACTGTCTATCACTACAGAAATATGTCTGGTAACATACTGTATTCCTATATACTGTCTATCACTACAGAAATATGTCTGGTAACACACTGTACTCCTATATACTGTCTATCACTACAGAAATATGTCAGGTAACACACTGTATTCCTATATACTGTCTATCACTACAGAAATATGTCAGGTAACACACTGTATTCCTATATACTGTCTATCACTACAGAAATATGTCAGGTAACACACTGTATTCCTATATACTGTCTATCACTACAGAAATATGTCAGGTAACATACTGTATTCCTATATACTGTCTATCACTACAGAAATATGTCTAGTAACATACTGTACTCCTATATACTGTCTATCACTACAGAAATATGTCAGGTAACACACTGTATTCCTATATACTGTCTATCACTACAGAAATATGTCAGGTAACACACTGTATTCCTATATACTGTCTATCACTACAGAAATATGTCTGGTAACATACTGTACTCCTATATACTGTCTATCACTACAGAAATATGTCTGGTAACATACTGTATTCCTATATACTGTCTATCACTACAGAAATATGTCTGGTAACATACTGTACTCCTATATACTGTCTATCACTACAGAAATATGTCAGGTAACACACTGTACTCCTATATACTGTCTATCACTACAGAAATATGTCTGGTAACATACTGTACTCCTATATACTGTCTATCACTACAGAAATATGTCAGGTAACATACTGTATTCCTATATACTGTCTATCACTACAGAAATATGTCAGGTAACACACTGTATTCCTATATACTGTCTATCACTACAGAAATATGTCTGGTAACATACTGTATTCCTATATACTGTCTATCACTACAGAAATATGTCTGGTAACATACTGTATTCCTATATACTGTCTATCACTACAGAAATATGTCTCAGGTAACATACTGTATTCCTATATACTGTCTATCACTACAGAAATATGTCAGGTAACACACTGTACTCCTATATACTGTCTATCACTACAGAAATATGTCTGGTAACATACTGTATTCTTATATACTGTCTATCACTACAGAAATATGTCTGGTAACATACTGTACTCCTATATACTGTCTATCACTACAGAAATATGTCAGGTAACATACTGTATTCCTATATACTGTCTATCACTACAGAAATATGTCTGGTAACATACTGTATTCTTATATACTGTCTATCACTACAGAAATATGTCTGGTAACACACTGTATTCCTATATACTGTCTATCACTACAGAAATATGTCTGGTAACACACTGTATTCCTATATACTGTCTATCACTACAGAAATATGTCTGGTAACACACTGTATTCCTATATACTGTCTATCACTACAGAAATATGTCAGGTAACACACTGTATTCCTATATACTGTCTATCACTACAGAAATATGTCTGGTAACATACTGTACTCCTATATACTGTCTATCACTACAGAAATATGTCAGGTAACACACTGTATTCCTATATACTGTCTATCACTACAGAAATATGTCAGGTAACACACTGTATTCCTATATACTGTCTATCACTACAGAAATATGTCTGGTAACATACTGTACTCCTATATACTGTCTATCACTACAGAAATATGTCAGGTAACATACTGTACTCCTATATACTGTCTATCACTACAGAAATATGTCAGGTAACACACTGTATTCCTATATACTGTCTATCACTACAGAAATATGTCTGGTAACATACTGTACTCCTATATACTGTCTATCACTACAGAAATATGTCAGGTAACATACTGTACTCCTATATACTGTCTATCACTACAGAAATATGTCAGGTAACACACTGTATTCCTATATACTGTCTATCACTACAGAAATATGTCAGGTAACACACTGTATTCCTATATACTGTCTATCACTACAGAAATATGTCTGGTAACATACTGTATTCCTATATACTGTCTATCACTACAGAAATATGTCAGGTAACACACTGTATTCCTATATACTGTCTATCACTACAGAAATATGTCAGGTAACATACTGTATTCCTATATACTGTCTATCACTACAGAAATATGTCAGGTAACATACTGTATTCCTATATACTGTCTATCACTACAGAAATATGTCTGGTAACATACTGTATTCCTATATACTGTCTATCACTACAGAAATATGTCTGGTAACATACTGTATTCCTATATACTGTCTATCACTACAGAAATATGTCAGGTAACATACTGTATTCCTATATACTGTCTATCACTACAGAAATATGTCTGGTAACATACTGTATTCCTATATACTGTCTATCACTACAGAAATATGTCAGGTAACATACTGTATTCCTATATACTGTCTATCACTACAGAAATATGTCAGGTAACACACTGTATTCCTATATACTGTCTATCACTACAGAAATATGTCTGGTAACATACTGTATTCTACTATATACTGTCTATATATCACTACAGAAATATGTCAGGTAACACACTGTACTCCTATATACTGTCTATCTCTACAGAAATATGTCAGGTAACATACTGTACTCCTATATACTGTCTATCACTACAGAAATATGTCAGGTAACACACTGTACTCCTATATACTGTCTATCACTACAGAAATATGTCTGGTAACACACTGTACTCCTATATACTGTCTATCACTACAGAAATATGTCTGGTAACATACTGTACTCCTATATACTGTCTACCACTACAGAAACATGTCAGGTAACATACTGTACTCCTATATACTGTCTATCACTACAGAAATATGTCTGGTAACATACTGTATTCCTATATACTGTCTATCACTACAGAAATATGTCAGGTAACACACTGTATTCCTATATACTGTCTATCACTACAGAAATATGTCTGGTAACATACTGTATTCCTATATAATGGTATAGCACTAAGTGTGAACTCTGTTAATAACTCTAGCTGGAATGCTTTATAATACTGTAACTGGTCTAAATATTGAGACTTAATTGAGGTCACAGAGGTCAAGGTTAAAATAGATGTTCCTTTCCAATTTGTGTCTGAGAACACAAAACATCCATAGTAAACACCTTTTTCCCAAAAAAAGTGGTAAATAAATATGAAGGGGTTAGATCAATCAAAACTCAACCCAACATAAGTTTTAATGATACTTAAAAGGAACAGAAGATGCTTGTTAGTGTGAGTATAGTCAAATAATCAAAGGAAATAAGTATTTGAATGATTACAATTTTTTTTCATAAATTACTGTACATATCTGACTTATCAACATACAGAATGAAAGCTACAAGTAAACATTTTTATTAAATCTCATTAGACCAGATTAATTGTCTCTCGACACATGTAAAAGTCAATGAGTTCCTTGCACATAACTCGTGTATGTTTACTTTCTTAAAATATAAGCAGAAAAATGTAAAGAATTTACCAATGTCATATCCGAAGAGAATACCACCAAGGGAAGCCATGACAGCTGCCAGACCAAGGTAACAGTTGGGAGAGAAACCAGAGACTTTGGAGGGTTGTGCTGAGTGGATAGGACTAACCACAGGACTGTTGTCAAGGTGACACTCCTCCAGTTCCATGTGTATGGCCTGTATAGTGTCTTGATCCAGATTTGAGTCAAGGGACCCATTGCGGGAGGCGTAATTCTTCAATAGAATCTCTGTCATAAAAATATAATGCTTAACAATATCATACACACAGAATGTCCAATACAGTAGTTTTACTACAATAAGCCCCGAAGGACCAAAACATGGTCTTAAACTCAAAATCAGGAGGTAGGCTTATCAATTACACAGCAAAACGATGAGTACTGCAAATTTTTTTTCCTTTACATATTGATAAAACTTATCAGTTGGTGAATTATACTTTTTTCGTTCAACAGGTTTTCCAAGCCATATGTTGCAAGGTTGGATATTTCATACTGCAACATCAGATTGAATTACTACCGTTTCAACCCTAACAAACCAAACATAGGTAACAGAGGTCACTTGCTTATTATACAAAGACAATATGTACTGGACAAACAGGTTTACCAATACATACTGGACAAACAGGTTTACTACACATTACATCACATCCGTTTAGTATCTCACTCACATTCTCACGTGCTATTTCTGCGTGTGTTTTTCCACAATGCGCCACATACAATATTTACGGTAGGCTGATTTCCATTACATACGAACGCATATAGTTAAAATACTATGAATATGTTAAAAGCAATATTGCCAAATGATGACACTACTACACATATTTCTAATTTGTCAGTAATATACAACTACTGGACAATACTTTGATGCATTACAGATAATTATTTTAGACAAAATAAGCATAATTCCACAAAAGGCAAAAATCAAACGTCTATTTTTCATGAGAAATTGTTTACATGATGTGTATATCATAACTTGTTGCTTTTTATAAATTATACAATCTTATCAAAAGTACCATGATACTTTTTATCTTTTTGGTATAAAAAAAGATAACTGAAGTAATTGATAAATTTAATGTAATCAACCGTACCTTTAGTAATAGGGTGACCAGTTTCATTGTCCACGTTGCCATTTTTTATTAGAGGTACGTCAGGGTTTTCACTATAAATCCCAAACTTTTGGCTCAGTAAATTCCCCATAATGATATTCAAACAAACAGATTCCTTCAGACATCAGTCCCTAATGTGAGTAAAGCTCAGACATGATATCTCTACATCAGTGCCATCTTTCTTCACTGGGCGTATACATGTGTATACTTTTACTTTCAGCTGATAGGGCAGTTCACAGTATCCATTAAATCACTCAAGTGTGACATTCTATATAATTTTCTATTCAAACCAGGTCATATTAGTAAAATATTAAAGCAAAACACCTCAGTGTATCTTGTCTTTTACTAAAAATTGACACTAGAGTAAAATGTAGGAATGATTTACAAGTGTGGAGCACAAATCAAGAGAGCTAGCACACGTGTAAATAATAAATAGTTCTGATTATACAGGTAAACTCAGACACATTGCACAGGTTATCAATTGCAAAATATCACTCAAAATAAATAGGTACCATTCAAAATGTTCAAGTACATATAATCCAGGACCACAGATATTAACAGTAGAAGTCGAATTTCTCAGGAATAATCACATATATCCAATTTTCAAAGAGATGTCATGTATTGTAAATCATGTAAATTTTCGTAATGCAAAATCTTGCATTCTCAGATGCATTGATTTTGGTTAGGACACATTTCATGATATCAAGCACCTGCCAATTCCTTACTTATGTTGTAACCTGTCGTACAAATATATATATTTTTGTAAGTTATCAATAAATAATCAACACTGCTTTACATTCCTCCTGAAATTAACAGATGAATAATTCATCATGTTATGCATATTTCATTTTTATTATATTTATAATGTAAGTTATTGATATGAAGATATTTCATCAGATAAATCACATCTGTTACTGTGTATGTGTTTACATAGTAACTGAGTGATTCTGTACATGTTTATTTAAGTTTTTTATACCTTAAACATCAACTGGTTTTTCAATATTCGTGTAACAGATGTCATCTTATTACATAGATGTTTGTGTATACAGCCCATACGTTGACAAGATCATTAATGGTATTCAAAAGACCTTTTCAAGGGAAATATTGGTAAACAGAACAATTACAAAAGATTGAAAAATATCAGCTGGTACAATAGTTATATAGCAAAAATATATCTATTTCAGAAAAATTTATATACATCCCGTATAAATGGTATCAATATTTTTTTTACGAGGGAGACTAATCATTTTAACAAGAGAGACGAATCATATCAGCCAAATCTGAACGAAATAACTTAGTTCACATTTCCTCTTTTGACAGATACTGGTTGTCATTAACAACAGCAGGATACAGAATACAAAGTGTTCATTGAGAGTATGCACTGCTATTTGATATTCTGATCACAGAGTGTTGTCAAAAACCATGAGCATTAATAAATACTGTCAGTATAGCATATTCAACCTTAAAAACATACCACTCACTTATAAAGACTGAAAGGGCTGCAACCAAACTAAAAGGTAAAAAGGCTTCATGTGAAATCTTAGTTGAAAAAATACTCGCTAATCTAATCTAAGATGCATTTCGCTGCTTTGTTCTTTAAAACAGAAACTTACATACATAGAACATGAAACAAATACAAAGCTATAAAGTAAAATTGAGAGCGATAGTGCAAATTTAGGTGTCTTGATAATCCCTACAGCTGAGGGACTACGAAGGCCCTTTACAAGGAACAAAAACCATCCAAAGTTGTTGTATGGAAGATGGTGATTAAAATATTGAAAATGTTGTATTTAAATAATTACTTTTTTTTTTGTGCTGTAGACACTGAGCATACTGTGATCGCAACGAAAACAATTGCATGTCACACTCTGGGGAAAGTAGTCTACCGGTACATCTCGGCACACTTGTTGTTATTACTCATTGATCTCATATCTATTCCAGTAATTTGTATCTAATGAACATTTGTATGTTAGGATCAAGTACCAATATTGGACCATACGGTCGATATTACTTACTAAATTCAATATATATATAGAGAGACACACACATTTTTAACCCAAAATACCTCACTTATCTGAAATTCCTATAAGAATGAATGTTCCTCACTTATCTGAAATTCCTATAAGAATGAATGTTATTGGCCATTGACATCTTTATTACATATAATATAAATTTGGTTTTTGCTAAAACACAAGAAAATGTTTAGTATTTACTGATGATCTGTTATGGAAAATTACAATCGATCAGCGCATCAGATAAGGTTAGGCGATTGGTTTTATCTATCATCACCCATCACTACTGCCCAGCAGAAACATTTATTTCATTGTCACATAACATTACAGGGTTCATTATGAAGTAAACCAATGAAATAATGTACTTGAATTAAATGATTTAAGCATAAATAAAATTTTGGTACTAATAGTAAATACAGTTTGAATTACGGCAAAAAAACATTCAGACAAAATATTTAGCTGTATGAAGGTTAGTAGAACGCTGAAATAAACACTGTTTTTGTTTGTTTCCTTGTTAGTCTTTTTCTTTTATTAGGGTGAAGGGAGGGGGAGTTTAGGTATCATGTTATAAAATTAAGCACTTCCATCGGTTCGTAAAGCTAGAGGTAGGCGAGATAATAAAGTCAAATATGGTATTATAATACTGTTATTATTGCTTGATCTACATGTGTACATGATTATCTCTCTGATTGTACATGAGCATGTATAATGACATTACATGTTATCATAATAGTCTGTGTATCACTATACATTAGGGATACATCATATGGTGCAATGTTCCCGGGATCTAATTGTGTAGTAAAAAAAATCCTGAAGAATATTTTCTTTGTTGAAAGTGATACCAACATGGAAGTTTCGACAATTCTTATCCCCCTCTTCAATAAACTTACCCAGGTAATGGACAGTTACATGTAACATAGAATAAATCAATTCTCAAAATTACCTCCCTCCTGCAGATCCTCATTCTCCATGCTGAGTGCCCTCCCTTGGATTTCTATAGATCCCTATAAGGACCTGAAAGAAATAATTATTTGTTTTACAAAAAATATCATCACAAATGTCCTGTAACTGTTGAACCAATTGTGGTTGTGCCATATGTTGCAATAGCTTGATAAAGAGTGCAAGAAAAGGTCTCTTAAGATTTCCAAGGACGGACTACAAGTCCAGCACATCCTCTCAATACATAGGATTAATATCCTCTAAATGCATGTCCAATGATAGGTCTTCATTTCTTTTTATCCTATGTAAAATGTCATTTTCTGATTTACGGGGTGAGACATTTATCTTACATGTTACATCTTCAAACATAAATTTCCAAAATTTGTTGTTTATACTTTTTACACAAAGATCTTAACCAAACCACTATTCAATATTGTCGTTGATATTCAGGAAACATTCCATAAGCAAAACGCATGTATAGGTAAGTACATTTAAATATATTAACCTAAGCTTGCATAACTTAACTATAGCTGTCCAGTGAATTACACTGTGTATGGTTAATATGATTGTAAACAAATTAGACAACAAATTATGATCTTTTGTTTACAATAAATGAAAGGATGTGATGGGAGTTTCAGTGCATCCTTGCATTGTAAATCTAAGAATATTCCCAATTTGTTGATCTCTTCCAAATTCCATGCCAGTTTTAGCGGGGTTTTTTTTTCTCATCATGGCATTCATTAAATGTTCTTGTACATGAAACATCTGTTTTTGATATTGTTGTTATATCAACTGAAATATTGTTCATGTCCTGACAATCTAACACAAGTCACCAGTAATGGCTTACTGTCAGTGTTATATCTAACTTCAACTCAAGTCACCTGTAACGACTTACTGTCGGTGTTATATCTAACTTCAACACAAGTCACCAGTAATGACTTACTGTCGGTGTTATATCTAACTTCAACACAAGTCACCAGTAATGACTTACTATCAATGTTATATCTAACTTCAACACAAGTCACCTGTAACGACTTACTGTCAGTGTTATATCTAACTTCAACACAAGTCACCAGTAATGACTTACTATCAATGTTATATCTAACTTCAACACAAGTCACCAGTAATGACTTACTGTCGGTGTTATATCTAACTTCAACACAAGTCACCAGTAATGACTTACTGTCGGTGTTATATCTAACTTCAACACAAGTCACCTGTAACGACTTACTGTCAGTGTTATATCTAACTTCAACACAAGTCACCAGTAATGACTTACTGTCAGTGTTATATCTAACTTCAACACAAGTCACCAGTAATGACTTACTGTCAGTGTTATATCTAACTTCAACACAAGTCACCAGTAATGACTTACTGTCAGTGTTATATCTAACTTCAACACAAGTCACCAGTAATGACTTACTGTCAGTGTTATATCTAACTTCAACACAAGTCACCAGTAATGACTTACTGTCAGTGTTATATCTAACTTCAACACAAGTCACCGGTAATGGCTCACTGTCAGTGTTATATCTAACTTCAACACAAGTCACAAGTAGCAACTTACTGTCAGTGTTATATCTAACTTCAACACAAGTCACCGGTAATGGCTCACTGTCAGTGTTATATCTAACTTCAACATAAGTCACAAGTAGCAACTTACTGTCAGTGTTATATCTAACTTCAACACAAGTCACCAGTAACGACTTACTGTCAGTGTTATATCTAACTTCAACACAAGTCACCAGCAACGACTTACTGTCAGTGTTATATCTAACTTCAACACAAGTCACCGGTAATGGCTCACTGTCAGTGTTATATCTAACTTCAACACAAGTCACAAGTAGCAACTTACTGTCAGTGTTATATCTAACTTCAACACAAGTCACCGGTAATGGCTCACTGTCAGTGTTATATCTAACTTCAACACAAGTCACAAGTAGCAACTTACTGTCAGTGTTATATCTAACTTCAACACAAGTCACCAGTAACGACTTACTGTCAGTGTTATATCTAACTTCAACACAAGTCACCAGTAATGACTTACTGTCGGTGTTATATCTAACTTCAACACAAGTCACCAGCAACGACTTACTGTCAGTGTTATATCTAACTTCAACACAAGTCACCAGTAATGACTTACTGTCAATGTTATATCTAACTTCAACACAAGTCACCGGTAATGGCTCACTGTCAGTGTTATATCTAACTTCAACACCAGTCACAAGTAGCATCTTACTGTCAGTGTTATATCTAACTTCAACACAAGTCACCGGTAATGGCTCACTGTCAGTGTTATATCTAACTTCAACACAAGTCACAAGTAGCAACTTACTGTCAGTGTTATATCTAACTTCAACACAAGTCACCAGTAATGACTTACTGTCAGTGTTATATCTAACTTCAACACAAGTCACCGGTAATGACTTACTGTCAGTGTTATATCTAACTTCAACACAAGTCACCGGTAATGACTTACTGTCAGTGTTATATCTAACTTCAACACAAGTCACCAGTAATGACTTACTGTCAGTGTTATATCTAACTTCAACACAAGTCACCAGTAATGACTTACTGTCAGTGTTATATCTAACTTCAACACAAGTCACCAGTAATGACTTACTGTCGGTGTTATATCTAACTTCAACACAAGTCACCAGTAATGACTTACTGTCAGTGTTATATCTAACTTCAACACAAGTCACCAGTAATGACTTACTATCAATGTTATATCTAACTTCAACACAAGTCACCAGTAATGGCTTACTGTCAGTGTTATATCTAACTTCAACACAAGTCACCAGTAATGACTTACTGTCAGTGTTATATCTAACTTCAACACAAGTCACCAGTAATGACTTACTGTCGGTGTTATATCTAACTTCAACACAAGTCACCAGTAATGACTTACTATCAATGTTATATCTAACTTCAACACAAGTCACCAGTAATGACTTACTGTCAGTGTTATATCTATCTATATCAGAGGCAGATGTCTTCAACAAATCATTACCTGATGGGAAAACTACCTCAAGGTTGTCAAGAGGCAAACATAACTAGGTACAATCAACCAAACAAGGAGCGAAGTCTGACCCAGGAAATTACACACTGCTAAGCCAGATAAGTGTCATACTAAATGTCCTATACATTGATTTTATAAAGGCATTTGGCATTTGATAAAATGCCACACCAACATTTATTGGAGAAATTGTTCAGCATATGGTGTAAGCCTTTACATTGTACATTGAATTTAAAAGACTTGCTTAGAACCAGATTCTAGTGAGAAATAGTCAAACATATGTGGTAATTATGATTTCTAAATGATAAGTGGTATTCCCCAGGGAGGCGTACTAGGCACATTTTATTTTGTGTATACAACCATGAAATTCCAGCAATACCAGTATACCCATCATCACTCTTTGCTGATGATAACAAATCATATAGAGAGATAAACAACAGCAAGGAAGTTGTAAATACTTCATAATGATTTGGACAAACTTCAAACTTGACTGAGAAATTGATTACTAAAGTTCCATCCTAACAAATGTAAAGTTCTTTTACTTATACATGTACAACACGAAGATCAACGTATTATATAGAAGGATCTGGAGGAGAAAGATTTCAACTGGAGAATGTTAGAAAGGAAAAGGACATTTACATATATAAACATACATGCTATTTTCTTCATCAGTGAGTTAAATGCCTGTATTAAGCCTACAGGTACACAAAGGTACAATCCAGTTAGCTAGATCTATGATAAGACATCTGATCATGACTACACAGTCACCTGTGTTATAACTTAAGATAGTATAGCTAAAATACTGACAGGTATGTGAATTGGTCCATGTACAGTTGATCCTTATTTTAGTTTCTTTTTATCTATTCAACATTCAAAAAAGAATTATTTTTAAAAATCTTAAAAAATTATGGTAAACTTATTTTTGATTTTGTGTCTCGTTTATCCAACAAGCATTAATCAAGGATAAAAGTATAGTTGGATTAATTTATATTAAAGTTTTAAACAACTATTTATGGCACTTGTTTGTCCATTACTAGAGTATTTGGTAAATGTACAGAATCCATACAAAGTGAAAGACATTGTAATAATTTAAAGAATTTGATAAAGGGCAACAAAGTTTATATTGTTATTGGATAAGGTATTGTCCACTGACCATCTTTAATAACTTCCCATGCCTGCATAATTAAGGTTGTGAGAGATGACGGGATTAATGTTTTCAAGATATTGTACAACTCCTACGATATTACAGTTACCACAAGAATATTCTATAAAAGCACTTCACTGTAATTAAGAAATCAGACCTTCTTTCCTGAGTTATAGCCCGTTGTTCATTTTTTGCTACTAAAGTTTACAAAGGTCATGTGCTATCATTTTTGTAGGAAAGAATAACCAATATATATATATATACACCATATAACTTTCCTCATTCCTGCTTGTTAAACTGTTTCAAGAGTATTTGTAAAGTGTTGAATACGTACAATTACAACAATAGGATCTAGTGCTTTGTAGTGTTTAAGAGTTATTGCCCTTTATTGTTTTGTCTTTTGATTAATTACATGCATCTAATATCCTTATTTAAACATGTACTGTTGTAAAAGTCAGAGGTCTTCCACATACTACAATGTACATAGAGTTATGGTCCCTTGTCACATCATCTTTTAATTCAGTAAGAACTCCAATTGTTAAGTACCATTAAACAGCAAATATTAATTGGTAAACATAAGCATACACTTTGTATTTACTAAATAGAAGAAAGCGCAGCATATCATACTTAACCTGCACATACACATTTGTTGAAGGTGTTCTGGATTCTGAGATGCTCGATTAGGAACAGAAGAAAGATGTTCATGTAATGTTGGAAGAATTTGAAGATATGTACCTGCTAATGTCGCAGGGAGAACTAATCTTGTAAAACTTGGCATCATTATGTTGACAGATAAATTAGTCAGGTTCAAGTGTCTAAACACATCCTATAATATGAAGATGATCGTACCAGATTAAGTCAGAAACATTTTGAAGTGCACTTTCTGAATCATTTAATTCTGCTCCATTTATAATTGTTAAGAAAAAGCATGGCTGCAGTGGTTTCTGCATTGGTTTACCAATTGTATAATCATGAGTTCAGACTTTAAAAACACACATTTTTACATATTGTAGAGTCTAGTATTGCTATAATTAGGTTCAATGGACATGCTAGGCAAGAATGAAGATACTTGAGTGGATTTTTGTGGTCTTTCAGTACAGTTGTTGTGTATTTCGGTAGGTTTGGGGGTAAAAACTCATGCCTACTCAAATTCCTAACAAAACTGATTGCAATATGTTTTTATGTTGTTTATGAATTTGCATTATAAACACACCATGTCAGTTTTAAACATCGCATATGTGATCTAAAAATTATTTCGTTTTTCACTGGTTTAGTATAGTCATGTATAGTTATAATAATGTGATAAATCAACATGTGCCCAAGTATGTTCCTGTGGTAACAAACAAGTGAACAAGGAATGATTCAATGATCCAAGTGGTTTTGGTGATGGTATTTGGTTAGAACCATGTCCTGAAAGTTCTGTATGTATTGATACATCATAGATGCCCAGTTGGACTATAATATGACTGACAAAAGTCAAAACGATCTAGTCGTGGTACCTCACCAAAGGCAAGTTTGAAAGATTATACCTAGGTGCTTAAGACATTACTGTCTTCCAGATGGTTCCAGTCAATGGCTCCACGCGCACAAAAAAAAGAATTTTGCATAATATCATAATAAGTCACCCTTAATGGCTTATCGTCAGTGTCATCTATCTTCAACACTAGTCACCATTACTGGTTTACCATCTGTGCTACCTAACTTAAACACAACTCACCATTAATGACTTACCGTCAGTGCTATCTAACTTCATTAGAGGTTACCATTAATTGTTAACATATGTGTACATATATATCCAACATCACCACAACGTCCTACCTTCAGTTTACCTATCACTGGGTCATCATTGCACTTTCCCTGAATTACATCTTAATTCCAGTGCGTGTCACTGCTTTTCAAAACAGGAAGTTTACAATGGCATTCTAATATTTTCACCGGAAAAAAATTAGTAGTTAGTTTTTTTTGTTTTTGATTTTAAGCTTATAAGAGAATTTACAAGTACAATTTTTCATGTCTTTTGTTTCGTATTCTTAAAATAAAATATTTACATAAGCGCATTGTGGGAACAAATGTCGATATTCAACATTTTGGCAGGAATGATTATCGGGGTAGAAATTCTCCCACGAAACCGGTTACCTACTGACCATGCACAGCGATCACGCATTCGGCTCGATCTGCTTTATAACATTTTATGTGATAAGACATTAGACTACACAATTATCTGTGTTATACACAGGACAGTATGGCTAAAATACAGACAGGTATGTTAATTGTTCCGTGTACAGTTGATCCCTTATTAAGTTTCTTTTTAAATACTGAAGTGACTTCCTTCTAAATCGTAGTCAGTGTTTCTCTGTTGTAGTACAATGTATATTTCAATCTTTTCAAAAGATATATATATATTATGCAACATTCAAAAATAAGTGTTAAAAGTTACAAATACATACACAGATTTGTTGTATAAAACTGTTATGTATGTGATATTTAGGTTTTGAGGTTTTTGTGAAGATCATTCAATTTTCTACTCATGGTTTTGCAAGTATGTTACACCACTTCACCCAGTTTCATGAGCTATATTAATGTACTTTGATGGGTACCTCTCAGGGACGTATAATACAGAATGATAACAAACTAGGCCAAGTGGTGACTTCTCTGATGTTAGCTTTTATGTTAGTTCAATGAGCTGTGAGGTCCCCTCTTCTTACTGCTGTAATATGTAATGTTATTCAACTGTGTCTCTACGATGAAGTTCTCATCAGCTGAAAGACCAAAAGGCCATAATAGTGGACATAAAACCTGTTAATTAAATATGTAGATATGATGTAATGTGGCACTGACCAGCCTAACCAGAGTCATTTTGTCGGCCAGTGAGACATTAGTCTAATTTTCATAACAAAAAATATACTAATGGATAAAAGTAATATATCACAAAAGTTCCGTTAGTCACTCAGAAAATTACTCAGCTTTTTGATGCCATCAATGTAAAGATAAGTTTCTCCACTATGATTTTTCTAACAGAAAGTGGTATACAATACAGGATGGTACAGTCTGTATTTCAGTTGTAAATAGCTTAAACATGCATTTCATTTTACAAATATGAAAATTAAACAGAAATTTATCATCACAAAAGTTAGCACTATCAGTTTCAGAATTTTTAATTTTTTTCATATGGTTTATTTTGAAGAGAATACTGTTGAAGAAAATTGTTTTATCAACACTTCAAGAAAGGTTATCTTGAATTTCTTTGCAGTAGCGTTACAGGTATAGGCAGTGTGTTACCTTTCTGTATTATAAGTCCCAGGTCTGTCTGTAGTATTTTTTTAAACAAGCACCACATATAAATCAACCTGTAATAGTCTGATCCTTTTGGATATCATCTCCTCATAGTTACAATAGTCAACACATGTATAGCTTTTACTATTTGTATATGAATTAGACACTAAGAGGCCAGATATTCACATTACAGAGCTATATCCATCTACCCACAGGCCATCCCCCCACCCCCTCCACTTCCCTCACTAATCTGGGATATCAACCTGTAATTGAAGAAGGATTTGTAATGACCTTATCCCACTCTCCGTGGTCAGTCGAATACTTGTGAAGATTTCAGTATGACAAGTACATTAAATAAATTCAAGCTATATAAACTGGTAGATGACTTTAAGATTTCAACATGAAGCTAAAACAAAGATAGATATCACAGTAAGTAAGTGTGCTGACATGTACTGGTGTATAAGATCCGAGTCGTGACTGTGTTTACAAATTGTCTAGATAAAGTCAATTAAGGAATGCATCTTCACTGTCAGAAATATACTAAAGCTCTGCTTATCAGTGGATTTTATCCTATAATTACCAATTTTGGTTTGAGCACCCCTTTAGATAGTGGAATATCAAATTATGAAAATCAGAGGTTTCTCAACTACTCCACTGTATATTTAGAGTTATGGCCCCTTCTTCACGATGCTTCCCTTTTGTTTGGGAATAGATCTCATTTACATGTACAGTAGCCAGACATTGTAGTGACTATAACTGCGGTTGGCAAAGTGTCATATACTGGAAATAAGTCATGTGTTACTCTATAAATAGAGTTTTGGCGGGTTGTTAATTTTGTCATTAATATATACCTCAGTAGAGACGGGGGATTATATATAGTCTGCTAATCATATTACTTTGTATTGTTAACGAAATATGAAATATATTGTGGCATTCATTAAAATTTCAGTCATTAAATATCTTTAGAAATCCCTGTGATTGCCTTGAATTTGAAATAAGAATTATAAATGAAAACTGGTTTTGCAAGTTCAAATTGTCCGAAATTGATAAACTGATTCAATTATGATAAACTGTTGAAATAATTAAAACCATAGAAGATATTTTAAAATATTCAGATATCAGTACTTTTGTTATAATATTAAAATTCAATGGTTAAGGTTTGGTATGATTGAAAAAAAATTCTGTTGTTAATATATATTTTTTTATGTATACATTTCAAGTTATTGGTGAAATACCATATTGAATTTCTTCCATTGATCAAATTACCAAAAGACACCAATCCTTAAACAAAATGCAGTTTTACAAGGTACAGGGTTGATCTTTCAGTGCTGGGGCTCATAGAGCCCAATGAGGCTGGGGTAACGCTGGCCCATGAGCACCTCAAGATGGAGTTTCACACGATGTACACACCACATCCTGACCCCAAAATACAAGAACAGAAGAATGATGACATCACGTTAGAAAATCTCTGGTGGATACGTCAGCACCCGTAGGTTTACAAACCAGAGTCTGTGTGTTTGGTATATGTGTCATATTTGTTACATTACCGAGGTCAAATTTAAGGTGGAATCTGACCTTAGGACTTTGTAAAACTTTACACTTTGTAAGCTACTTTCTGAATTATACGGAATCTACATTGAGTGCATAGGAAGTACAAAAGGTAACGTACTAGCCTTTCACAATGATAACTAGATCATATGTGAAGGTTTGGAACTACCAGTCAAGACTCTCAGCATACTTCCATGTGGAAAATGCTGAGAGCTAATTAAAGTTAAGAGAACTGGCCCCACTTGTATAAAACATCTCAACTTGAGATTTCCTCAAGTCGAGATTTTTCTCAGCTGATATCTCCTCAAAAACGGCTTGTATAAAATTTTCTCAAGGAACAGGAGGATGTCCTGAAATTCCTTGAGGAATTTTCATACAAAATATTTTCAAGGAGATATTAGCTTAGGAAAATCTGGGCTTGAGGAAATCTCAATTTGAGATGTTTTATACAAGTGGTGCCTGATATTATAATGTGTTATAAAACAGATCAAATTTATATCTATATTTACTTTGAGTAAAGCTATGGTGACGTTAAATAAATGCTGAGATACTGAGTGTTTCTTTCAAACTTAAGAGCACAATTAAGTTATGTCTTGATAAGGTAGATGATAATGGTAAAAAAATTGTGTACCTGTCTATTGTTTCTTTATTCTCTACAGTGTTACAGACTTTTGAATAATTGTTTTCAGATACAGCAGTGTTAAAAACCTGTATCTGAATGACGTACAGGATGCTGTAGCAGCTGAAATGGAGTATTACAAGGTAATCTACAGGAAAATATCATGTAAATGATAGTAATTGCAACAGATATCCAAGGTCACGGATTCAGGACTACAATGTTTCAAGGTAAGTGTGTCACAAGGTCAAGGTCACAGTTTCAGGACTACAGTATTACAAGGTAATATGTCACAAGGTCACAAGGTCAGAGTCACTGATTCAGGATAACAATATTACATTGTGTCATAAGGTCAAGGTCACAGTTTCAGCACTACAGTATTACAAGGTAATATATCACAAGGTCATAGTCACTGATTCAGGACAACAATATTACAAGGTCATTGTGTTATAAGGTCAGGATCACTGATTCAGGATTACAGTGTTGTAAGATAAGTGTGTCACTGTCAAGGTAACAGCTTCCGAGTTTAATTTTTCTAAGGTAATTGTTCAAGAAGCTAAAGGTCAGTATTTCAGGACAGAAGTACAACAAAATAATTGTTGAACAAGGTCAAGGTCACAGGTAAGACAGATTATTACAAAGAAGTGCAGAACTAGGGTTAGGTCACAGTCTCAGGGATCACAAATGACAACTGAAATGTTTAACAAGGTTCAGCTGATAATTTGAGGATTGGTGTAATACAAGGTAATTATGATACAAGGCTGAGGCCACAATGTTTCATATGATCAGTATGACAGAAGTTGGAATTTTACATATGGTCAAGGTCATTTATTAGCTCTCAGGCATTTTTAGAAATACTAAGTGTATGATTTCACCTCTGAGGTTTACATCAGAATGGAAGTTCAAAGATATATACCAGTATATCATATAGATACACTGTGTTTTATATTGAATGATGAAACAATTTCAGTATAGTTAAATGACAATAAAACTTATCATTGTGCATAGTAATTATATTGTTTTTGCCTCTAGTTTGATCTGATTGTTTTCACTTTGTTGTAGAGTAACGGAGGTGGCACCATTGTTGATGTGACAACTATGGGTATAGAAAGAGATGTCAACTACCTTCAGAAAATCTCCCAGGACACAGGAGTCAACGTAGTGTCCGGCAGTGGTAATATTTACTTAAGGAAGCATGTTACCTGACACATCATACCTCCCTTATCTCTCTTATAGAATTCTTGGTATTCAAAAAGTGCAGTCTATCCATTCATTCTCACTTTTTTGTGGAAATCACCTTTGTCAGTTCTGATTTGATCTCTCTGATACTTGGTATGTATTATACTCTTGATATTGAATTGTCTCCTTTTTTATATAAAATTTTGAGCCATTCAATAGTTATTGCCCTTTTATTCTTTCAGCTCTTTCTGTTAGAAATAGAAATGAGGAAAATAGAGTTAAGTACAGAGGATAGTTATAAAAAGGAAGTACACTAAATAACCTTTGATAGACCTGTCAGTCATAGTTCAAGTTTTAAATACACTTTGATGTAACTAAAATATGATTTAAATCAAAGTCTAATAAACTTACTGTTGATATGGTACTCTACAATCAGCATGCTTGATTGTTATCATTATAATCAAAATATATACAGTGCTGAATGATGTATGTGTCACATTTTGTAAAGATTTTTATCTGGGGGTGATAATAATGCTTTTTTGATACTGACATATCTTTGTTAGAATATTACCCTGGTCTTTCTGAGGTATAAAGATACTGATAAAACACACATTTATAATAGCTATCAGGTCATGGAAGATATTGATAACAGAAAGTCTCAAATCTCTTGTTTTCTAGGATTTTATGTAGAATCATCCCGACCTGAAACTGTTGCCATGACAGTTGAGGAAATGGCTGAAGTGATGACAACTGACATTGTGAGTGGTTGTGACGGGACATCTATTAAATGTGGTTGTATAGGAGAGATTGGGTGTTCCTGGCCACTGGGGGGTAAGTGATGGACAATTTCAGTATTTTCTGTCAGAATGTTTGTACAGAGATAGCCCTAAAAAGTTCTGGTTTTCTCAGTACAGCAATACACCCTTTACAATATACTTATCTTACAAATCAAAAGAAAATTTATTCAGGAATAAGAAAAAAAGCGTTAAAGGTTTCTCTGGATGAATGTGATGTCAGATTTCATTAATACTTCAATTCAGGAATGTCAAAATAAATAAATTTGTTCAAAATTATTAATTTTTTTATCTAAAAAAATGATTAGAGAACATAAAAATGTTTATGCATTTTGCTGTGAAAGTATCTGTTTCTGAAGATAATTTATTTGTTTGATGTGTTGACTACATCAGGTATTGTGGGAAATGATTCATTCTTTGTCAACAGCATCAGAGAAGCGAGCAGTCCAAGCATCCGGTGAGGTACAGCAGAGTCTCGGCTGTCCCGTTATCTTTCATCCGGGTCGCGATCCTGATGCACCATTTGAATTAGTTCGCATTTATCAAGAGGCAGGTGGGAGGGTGGACAAACTAATTATGTCCCATCTAGACAGTAAGTACCTACAAAATCTGATAAAGATACACAATAAATATATAACACTGTGTACACCCAATCCTCGATACTCCAGAGCTTACAATCACTTTTTGTTCCCTGAACCCCTGGAACATTTCAAAGAAAAATTGAAGGTAATTTGATTGTTCTAGAGCAGGTGTTAGTAGGATATCCTGATACGCTCCTTCACAAAGGAATGACACCCAACATCAAAGTCAGTACAATACACTGTTATGTGTTACTTTGATGTATATCAAACCACAAAATGGCGAACATAGAACTTTTGCCATGAATTGTTCCAGGGGTATAAAGAGCAAATATGATTGTAACCCCTGGAGTATCGAGGATGTGTACACCCAGCCACTTACTCTTCCAGTACACCAAGTCTGTCTCCTTTTCTTTGTTTCGCTAAGGTCTCAATGAATATATGTATATCCCTTCATTTACTGTGATTTTACTCTCATTTCATCGATTTTGAGTTTGAATTATAGTTTTATTATTCTGAATTATTCCGACTTTCTATCAACTCTAGGATATTGGTCTGGCACCAGTTCCTCAAATACTATCGACAGTTAAGCAGTAGTTAGTGGAAAATTCAAACTGTCGCTACTGAACCAACAAGAGTGGTATTTGAAAAATTAACACTCAGAATGTATCAATCTGACCTGTCACAGCAAACCTTTACAGCTGTGAAATGATAGAGAATGTTTCCAATTTGATTCAATTTATGTATGAAAATTATCATGAACCACTGATTGAATAACCTGGGCCTGGAGTCATTGAACCAGTTCAGAACAATGTAGAAAAGTCAGTAGTTCTATTAAGATGTGAGTCTGCTTTTATTTGGATCCTGTATATTTATTTTTCAAGAGCAATGACCAATGCATGTAGAAACTATCAAAAAATTATCACACTGGTCTCTTGTCAGATGAAGGTGACCGTGTTGCAAGAATTTCCATTCAATTGAGATCACCATCCTGAAGAAAATGTTCCGTAAGAAAACATGACCAGCCTCCTTCCTTCTTATGGTTGCTTCCAAGGCTATTCATGTCACATTGACATACCTATGTTTTTATTTTTATTTATTTTTAATTTCCATGTGAACAAAGTTACCAAATTTTGTGGATTTGTTTAGGAAAATCACTGTAATTACTAATGATAATTAAAAAAAAGAATGTTTCAGTGATTTTTTGTTTTTCTGGGGGTAAGATGGGGAGCAGACATAGGTATTCTAAATTCTTTCATTAACATTGACTTCAATGCACCTTATGAGTATGAATAATATATGACCAAGTACTACAGAAGCCATTGTTATCATGTTAAAATTTTATTGTGATATGTGAAGACAACTTGTAAGCAACTAGACAGGTATGACAATTATAGAATTGTAATCTATCCCAGACTCGGGAAACGCTTACAGATTACATGGTACCTACCTTGTATTGTACAAATATGTGACAGAGCGTGGTTCAGGAGCATTCATGCCTGATAGACAATTTCTAGATCTTGTTTTCCTTTTGTAAATTTTTGTCAGTGCCATGAGAATTTGTTTTTCAGGAACTATCAGTGATGTCGATCGCCTCATAGATTTTGCCAGACTGGGCTGTTACTGCGAGTATGACTTGTTTGGGGTAGAAAATTCACATTACCAATTCTGTGAAAGTTGTGACATGCCAAACGATGCTGACAGAATTCGAAGAATCAAATCTCTTCTGTATGCAGGATTTGAGGACCGGATTACCATTGCCCATGATATACATACTAAGATACGACTGGTAATACGCAAACAGCTACACATATTAGAAAGAATTTTCAAGGATATTTTGTTTTGAAACCACTTGAACTCTTGTAAGAGGAGCAGTACAATTGTTTATTCCAAGTTCTCTACATTTTTTATCAATATTCCAATTTTAGAAATATTGGTGGATAAATCAATACATATTTTTTTTCAAAACTAAACACAAAATATAACAAAAACAAGATGTGTTTATGAAACACTATGCCCTCATTTGCAACAAAATTCTGAAGTAGGACGGTAAAACTGCACTGTGTTAAGCATGTGCTGATGGCATGCACACTTTATGAAACACTTATGTCTTCGTTGTGGTAATGATTTGACACTTTTATTTAAATAGTTATTGCCAATGTTTAAATTTTTCAAATGAAGATCCTGGTGGCATGGTCAAAAATGTTACCACCGGAAAAGCGTTGTCATAAGGAACACACATGCCAAATATGAAAGCCCTACCTCTTATGGTGTAATAGTCATGGGCAAGGTTAAGTTGACAACAGACAAACAGACAGCACAGAAACATTATGTCTTGATCTATCTTTCTATCGGGGGGCATAAAATCAGTATTATCAGTATATTGTACAGCACAATTATCATTCATTGGGACAGTTAAAATAAAATAACCACTGAAACACATATATTTACAGTATGTTACAATACAAATCCCAAGTACATTCTCAATGTAAGACTTTTCTGTTGTAGATGAAGTATGGAGGCCATGGGTTCTCCCATATCCTGTTAAATATCCTACCGAAGATGCAGCAGCGGGGAATTTCTAAGAAAGTTGCATATAAAATGGTTACAGAGAATCCACAAAGATGGCTGGAATTTAACCCACCAAACTGAAAATCTGTGGAGATAAGCGAATCAGTGATCTGGAGCGAGGATTGATTATGATGTGAATGTATGACTATGAATTAAATTTGATTTTTAAAAAATGGAAAAAAAACTTTCTCTCTTATGAGTAAATGTTTTGAAAAAAATACATCAATAAAAAAGAATGATTTTATTAAGCAAGTTTTGGTGTCTATGGCTAAGAAGGTGAGTATTATTTAATTCTACACGATTAACTAATTATATCTGTAATGTGCTACATGGTTTGTTTACAAGTACTGTACACTAAGGTCTACTACATAGAGTACTGTTCAATGATATTAGTTTACATGTCATTGTGATTTTACACCAGAATACAACCTTTACTCACAGCAGGAGAGTTTCTACCTGTCAGTAGTGAGTGACCAAAGTTCATGTTGTCTTGGAAAGCATTATATAATTGTACAAAAGACAAACCATATTTATGATTAAAATCAAGCATAGAAATCAGTTCAATTTTTCCTAAAGAATTATTCATCTATTTAAAAATTGATTCTTATCATGGGATTTATCATTTTGAATTTCACATCAGAATATTAATTGCTGCAACACCTTCTTTCTCTGTTTCAGTCAATGCCACATATGGCAGAACAAGGCAATGAAACACATTTTGGTCGGCATACATGTGTTCATTTATTTTAGTATTCTTTTTACAAAAATTGTTTAAAACAACATAGTTTTTGTACACATATATTCCTTAAAGTGTTTATATTATAGAATTATTAAGATATGAAAACTATTAACAGGGTAAAAGAATGTTATCTAAAATCTTTACATATAAATTCTACTTCCTCTGTCAATCTACACCTTCAGGCACTTTTTGATTCAGATCGATAACTCCTGATAAACTATAAGACAAAATTCTAATTAATGCTTTGATATAGTGAATACATGTCAGTATCATATTTTAGGATGTTAAGTTTGACTGATTTATAGAGATCAAACAAGACAAGTCCATCAGGATAACTTAAACGGTAGCTAGAAAAAAGTAACTTCATTCTGAATTTCAACACAAAATTGTCAGATTTCCGACAATTAGACTGGAGCGTATATTTAACGTCCTCGATTTAGTAGAAAAAAAGAAACCACATCAGTATGAAAATCAGTGACTACAGCCAAACATTACATGGTCGTTAGTCATTAAACTGATGAACTTGGCCAATAAGTCCTGCTTCTTGTCCACCGAACAAAGTAGTAAGCAAGTATTTATTTATTTAACCGGTTTTACGTCTCTGTTACGACCTTTCAGTATAGATGGCTAGGCAACTTGTTTTGCCACGGACTTACTTATCTAGTGGTCTCGTCTAATTGTCCGTTTTCATATGCTCGCAAAGCCATATTGAATGTAATGAAATATGACAAGTATTGTTTGCTGACTGTATGGATCTGCTTGAAGTTGACGTAGCGTCACTCTTCTACACGATAACCGAACCTCTGGATGCTTGACCGTCTACACACACAGGTGTATAGGTGTAAATGTACGATCTACGTTAAGATTTTATTATACAGGCCGAGGTAGGAGGAGGCGGGGTAATTATAATGTATTAAATGTCGTACTCATCAGTCTTGTATCCAGACACAGGTGCTGCAGAATTACAAAGTCAACTCGGCACCAGTTTGGTACAATTAGTCTTGTATCTAGACACAGGTGCTGCAGAATTACTTAGTCAACTCGGCACCAGTTTTGTACATCACCTATCGCCATAATCAGTCTTGTATCTAGACACAGGTGCTGCAGAATTACTTGGTCAACTCGGCACCAGTTTTGTACATCACCTATCGCCATAATCAGTCTCGTATCTAGACACAGGTGCTGCAGAATTACTTGGTCAACTCGGCACCAGTTTTGTACATCACCTATCGCCATAATCAGTCTCGTATCTAGACACAGGTGCTGCAGAATTACTTGGTCAACTCGGCACCAGTTTTGTACATCACCTATCGCCATAATCAGTCTCGTATCTAGACACAGGTGCTGCAGAATTACTTGGTCAACTCGGCACCACTTTTGTACATCACCTATCGCCATAATTTGTTTTTGAATTACTTTTCGGCACCAGTTTTGTACATCACATTTGTTTTTGTTTTTTTTTACTCTATATCCGAAGTCAGGTGTTGCAATAAGTAGCTGTAATGCTGTAGAACTTACAAGTATACAGGTAGGAGAAAGAGTATTCATATTAGTACTAGACAAACATAATTTGGTGCATTCACTTTGTATTAGGACTACCTCAGATTGTTTATGAAATTCGGTATCTCAATATACCTCCACGGGCAATTCTATGACGTCAATAAGCTACTGAGCATGGTTATGTGTGAATTGGTTCTTGAAAATACACGTTTTTTATATGGTGAATTTTGTTGACAGGCTTCTAATATTTTGAGGTAATTAATTCATATTGCGAGTGATAGTTTTGCTAAAATGTTTTTACAAGTGTTTGCTAACTGCTTCGCTGGTAGTTCGGTCAAATCTTTGAGCCCCCGATGATACTTCCTAACAAGGTGTTTATATCTCTTATAACTTAGCATCTGCGTCTTTTTCTATCTCGGGACGTGACAGCATCCTAGATATTTCCCACTGTGTTGTCTTCAAGTCGAGTTTAATTATAATTGAAAATATACTAGCAACCTTTCCAGCATTTCAAGCACTTAGTTTTCTGCTACATTGATGATAAGATCATTGAAGTTTTGTGGATTTCGAACCGTGTATGGTTAAACATCCGATCATTATGTGTAGTACGATGTCTTCTCCGAGTATACAAGATTGACGTATTACGTGACCAGACGGACACTGACGTAAGGCGGACAGAAAACCTGTACCTTACTTACTAATTTGTCACCGGTCATTCGTTGTCAAAGATAATACATGTTCCGGCGAGTTCTTGTCGACATTACCAATTCTTTTCCACATGTGAAAGTCGCTCTGAAGTTTACATGGAAAATCTACCTAGACAACATAAAATACAATCGTCATTTGACTTTGAACATAACGCCCCCTCACACCACCTCCCTGTCCTGAATTTATATTTCACCTCAAAAGAATATCAACAGCGGACACTGGAATCTGATGCATCCTTCAAAAACGTTTCTTACATTTCTATAACGTCATTTATCTCCGAAAGAAATTATATCGATGGGAAATTTACGAGTTGCTTCCCTTGTACCATCGAACATTTGTGGTTTGTTGAATTTTTCGAACGTTGCTTCCCTTCGACTATTTCTGTCCATATATGTTTAACTACAGCACGTATACAGTCAAATATGCGATATGGGGAGGGGCGAGGTAGCAATTCGCACACACCTGTAACAAGGATACTAGCGCCTGTCTGTAACATGGCAATTCGTACCCAATTTTAGCATAACAACTCTTGCCCACCCGTAACATAGAAATTCATGCCAATCTGTAACATGGAAATTCTTGCCAACCTGTAACATGGCAACTCATGCCCACCTGTAACATAGCAACTAGCGCCTGTCTGTAACATGGCAATTCGTGCCAAATTATAACATGGCAATTCGTGCCCAATTATAACATGGCAATTCGTGCCCAATTATAACAGGGCAACTCGTGCCAACCTGTAACATGGCAACTCGTGCGCACCTGTAACATGGCAATTCGTGCCAAATTATAACATGGCAATTCGTGCCCAATTATAACAGGGAACTCGTGCCAACCTGTAACATGGCAATTCGTGCCAACCTGTAACATGGCAAATGGAGCAAAACCTTTGTTTTTACGTTCTCACTTTTGAGCTCAGCCATTCTGCTGTCTTCTGTAGAAAAAGGTACTTTAGATACCGTAGATCTGATATAATCTCTATTATTTGTAACCTGAACTGTAACGACCCACTTAATCTATTACTCAACAGCAGGATCTTTCTATCTAGACACCGGGTACTGGACGGGCCTTAATAATATAATTATATCACCCATACATATAGTATTATTAAACATGTTGTGTATGTAATTTTATATACAGTATCAAGTAACCAGTTTGACATTGCCTGTAGTCATATCTTTCAACACGTGTCAGTGATATTACAGTCGGTACGTTAATACACAAGATGATGGCCTATACTTGACAAGAAAGGAAGTTACAGTGTTATCCTACGTGAACATTGGTAAATGGTTTTATCTGTGTGTTGTGACCCTGGGCAACATATATTTTGGATAATGTGCGACGGATCTCTCATTTATAGTTCAGTGAGATACCAAATACTACGTAGTGAAATCAAGATGGCAACCTATAAGGCCGAAACAGAACATCTATGATCCATTTTCCCGAAAGGTCCTAATTTTCCTCTCGATCCATTTTTTTCGCCATTCAGGCTAAAATGTTACCTCATAGTCTCCGTGCTGAGTTTGCTCATAGTACACACATGCGATACTCACATGTTACAAATATATAGGACTAAGCTATTATGCATCAAAACAATAGCATTTATGAGCTGCCAAGATCGTGCAAAAGATAAAAATGAACTTTTTAATACCTATTTAGAATCAGATTCAATGAAGTCAATCAATGCTGGGATAACACTGCATCATGCAGCTTTCGTCCTTCTAGGAAAGCTCCTTTCCAATTTGGGATAAATCACTCTCTCGTGAGTCAATGTTCTTGTGAAGTTTATGTTTGATTTTTTTTATACAAAATGATTAAATCAGAAATCGTCTATAACACATGTTGTTTTCATCCGATATAACGACCAGAAAATTCTAAGGTCCGTGTTTTCATCATGATGTGGCAGTTTTGTTGATCCGTATAATCTCTCAAGAAGTATTTTACAAGTTTAAGCGTCTTGATTCAGCTGGAAGCGTGCAGAAGGATTTTAGTGTATGAGAACTTTTCTCACCGAAGAAGAATCAACACCCTCTTCCCCCCCCCCCCCACCCTTTTTTTTTTTATAAAAATCTTATTGCTTACAATTGCTATGATAAGGTAAATAATTATTGGTCCTCTAAAAATCAAATTCTGTAAGCAAGTGGGGCAAAACAAAACCCGATGTAGATTCTTTCACTTAAGTAACGATTCCCTCCCACGTAACTTCAAAACTGTAAGAGATCCCCCTCCCCCTCCCTCTACGTAACATTTCATTGGAAGGTCGTTATGGACTTTTCTTCCTTTTTTATCCAATTCACCGAAGAATCAACCAACCATACTCCCGGTCGCTAGTCCCACAAACAAAAAAATGTTGTTTGACATCGCTGTCAACACTGCGATCTACGCGAAGTGACAAAAACGTTTCCGGAAGTGCGTGAAAACCTATGGACTTCAGCTTGAAACTCTTGCAGATATCGATACATAGATATCTCTGATGTTCCATGGTGTACATATCTTTGTTATATCACAAGGCAAAGTCAACAAAAATATCCAAACTTTCCAACACACTCTGCACCATCCTCTAAAAGGACACGCCCCCTGTCCCGGCAAGCGATTCTCCCGCGGTACCGTGAATGAGAAGAGCTTGCATATATTACACCGTTTATGAATATATTGGCCATTGTACAATTGTTTTAATTCTTGGTCACTATTGTTTGCGAGTATTATTATAATACATACGTATCTTACGATGCAATATTATCACATCCCGACCCTTTCTTCGTGTTGTACTTCTTTTATATTGTCTACATTCTACTCAAAGGGTTATCGGTTTTTACCTCATCCGGAGTCGTCGTGTAGTGAAGATACATGTACGACTAAATCATTTTAAATTTAACTGAGTCATAAACTTTACGGGTCAAGAAGTTGAATAAGCCATTTCTCATCGTAAAATGGCATGCGTTGTGTCTAGTATTTTGCATTATGTCAGTTCTGTAGAGGTATTACAGGCTAACACTTTATCAAATATATCAGCTGTGCTCAATCATTTTCTCTCAGTTTTGAAAAATATTATGTTAAATAAAATACAAATAAAGTCCAATTTCTTACCAGGTGGTTTTATTACATAAAATAGTCGGAGTTAATTTGATATTCTTTGTACAATATTTACAAATTTAATCATCATATATAACAGCCATGCGAGTGACATTATAACAACATCGTGTATAAAATGACAGTATAATATATTTAAAGAGTTGTTAATTCAATAACTCAATGTAAAACGACATATTAACACATTGCAACAAGTTGTATATAAAATCTCATAGGCAGAGGGAAAATGTCAAAATCAGAAAAAAATTGTAGAAGAACGACCATGCTATAGAAAAACAATATATCTAGTGTTCATGATGAGAAGGTAATGGAACATTAAACGATACGAATTGTTCGAATACACATGTGTAACAACATGACTGTTATTGGTCCCAAGGGAGAATTCAGTTTCTCTAGATCGGAAAACAACATCCACGGTACGATTAAGACTTTGTAACTGATCACTTCTCACATGCAAGCTTCCTATGATGAATTGTTCTTGGATTACGTTTAAAATCTTACTCACTCTTTCTCATTTTGCCACTGTCATTCTTTTCTGAAAACAAGTGGCAAATCTTCACATTCGCTCCCTTTTCTTGCAAACACACGTCATTTCCGGTCATAACTCTTCACGCACTCCATCATTTCAAATTCATTTCATGATCAGCATGCAGTGTTCGGTCTATTTGTAATAAATCTTTGGTGAAATTCCACATGTAATGTACGATTTCCAAATCGTAAATTTGAACGAACTAATTTTACACTATTTGATGTATGTGATATCGACTAGAACCTAGTAAGATTAATAACATTTCCTGATTCCTTCTTCTTGTTCAATTCTCAGTATCTCGATATATCACAAAAAGCTCAAATAATTCACAATCCTGATGACTTATAATAGTAATTCATCAAGTTCTTGAAACACACAAACATTGATTAACACTAAGTGAGTTTATCTATAAAAATAAACTTAGATTCATAGTTTCAAAAGAAAAGAAAATGAGATTTTTTGCCAAACTGTTGTACAACCATCGAATTTTATAGCTCCAATCCACAAATTAATGAAATAGTTTGAATATGTTTAACTCATCGAGCCATTTGAATTTAGGTACAATACTGAACACAAGGGTTTATCATATATCAGTTATAAAAAAAATCATTAAATGAAATCAGACTTGTCGTTTTTGTTCATTTAAATTTCGAGAATTTCTACAATTTTATTAAAATACATGTATTTAAACGATTAATTTAAATATATTAACTTTTACATAAAACATGAAGTATATGTGTAACAGCAATACTGACGAATGCATGTACTGTTAAATTAAAACAAATGCGTTTTTATAAACATGGGTAGTTCAAAAAGTATATGAGAAATGCGTAGATATTTTCACACGAATGTCAGAAAGTCATATTAAATGCCTAGCTTATATCATGCTTCAGTTTACACTATACGACTGCGCATGCCACAACTTTTTATATGTAGAGTACAATATAGCACGACTTGACTTTTGTTTACACAGCTTTGCGTATATCTCTTGTAAATTACACAACTTTGAAATTCACAAATTGATTTGTCACGAGTCATTTACACTCCTCTACGTATCACGTGTAAATTACACAACTTTGCGTATACCACGTGTAAATTACACAACTTTGCGTATATCACATGTAAATAACATAAGTTTGCTTATATCACGTGTAAATAAGACGTGATTTCCATATCCATATACATCCTGACACAACTATTAATGAAGGTCATGCGTTTCGAACAATTATATAAGTAAATTATGACAAAAATAAAACCAGACGCAATCAATTGCTTGAGTTAATTCTATCTCACAAAATACATTTGTTTGTAAGCGTTTTCTAAGAATTCATTCAAAGGTAAGAGCAATGATCACGAAAGAAAATTTTCGCGAAAATTGTCGAATTGGTACGAGATCCCTCATTCTTCAACAAAAAGAAGATGCTGGCTGATTGATGTACTACTCCAGTGAACCAATGTTTGCTTTGAAAAACTGTAAAAGATTACCATTATCCAGGCATGACGGACATGATAAACAATCTACGTGTGGTCATGGTGGCGTTCCGGTGATTGAGAATCGCATGACCTTGACTGAGCAGCACGTGCAAGTTATGTGAGATCATAGTGCAGAGTCATGTAGATGGATCAATACTGACAGTGCCGCACACAAAAGAATTTTTAACGCCCTTGAAACATTTTAACATCAGCACACTTTAAATTCTTGTTCCAATTTCCTTTAAAATTACAATTTCAACTTTTGAAGTACATGTAAGAATTCGATACAAAATTTACCACTGAAATAGAATGAATAAAGCCAGCCTTCAATATGTCGAAGAAAAACGGTCTTTACTTGGAAATAAAATTCTGCTCAATTTCGATATTCCGAACGCTAGTTCTGTTAAAAAGGTAATGCGCAATCAATCTTCCTTATGTAGTTGTATGTAGTATTCAGTAAGAAAATACATAGGATTCACGTAGTCTTGACTATAAGTCAGTTTTTTCTTTGATGTCAAACTGTATTCTTTCAGTGAAATATCAGAGCACATAGTTGGACTTCGTTATGTCAACTATAACATTCTTTCGGAAAAGGTGGACACCATTACATACATGTTATACCCTGACCTTCAAAAAGAACTGATACAAACATGTAAAACATAAAATCTGAGAAAAAATACATAAAAATACAAAATTACACCATAACAGAATAATTCGATTGTACATGTGCTTGAATAAAACGATAATGCTGAAAAAAATTAAACGAAATGGTAAATGAAAATAATCATGAATACTTGATTGAGAGATACGAGAGACAGCTTTAAACTTGATTGTATATTTGATACTACCAACGTTTCGCAATGTTAAGTTGCACAACTAGTTCTAAATACAATCTTTGATCAGTTTTACAGACGATGGACTAGGTTTTTTTATTTTTATTTTTTTCCAGACTAGAATTTTCTATAAAGTTAAATAAATGAATAAAAATGTTATAACTCGTGTGTATAGGGGAAATAAATGTAAGTAACGACATACATTTTGAGTTCCAGTCAATAATTGATAATATCTTCAAAGACAACTGGTCTATATCCATGGCTAAGACAATTTCCATATATGGTCTTATCTATATGTTGACGGTCTATTGGGATTAGGGTAGCGCGATGATACATACACAGAGAGGTGTAGTGTTTGGCCGTTAACGTAATGGTATTGACTTTCCAATACACGTACTAAAATTCTGTTTATACTCAAATTTTTTCACGAGTATTCCCGAATTTTTTCTCTCTCGGAAGATTTCATGAAAGGTTTGAATTGAATTCTTATGACATATCGTTGAAAATTTACGAATATTTTTACATATTTATTTTTTATGGGTTATCTTGTTGAATTAAAGATATTCTATGTCTGTAGATGTAGGTTTTATCTGACACAAGAAGCTGTGCAGGTACACGATCGTGAAACATTAAAGTGAATTATTTAAACACTGCAGTTTATATAATAATCAAAGTACCATTAAGGTGCGTGTTAGTTTCCTCAAAACATACATCTATCATAATATTGAAAAGATATACACGTGTTAATTGCCAAATTCCATCCCAGGGGTTATCATGCGCTGTATATAAAACCAAAAGCGTTCCGAGTTTATTAAGTTGAAAACCATAAGATACATCTACACATCGTGAATTTTTGTCTCATCTCATGTATGCATTTAAAAGAAACTTTTTTAGGATTGTACAACGACACACCAGTGATTTACACCTTTTAATACAAATTTAGAATAAGATAAAGTAAAGTAGTAAGACAAAATACTAAATTAAATTGCACCGTATGACTGTTTCGTCCTTCTAGGACTCATCAATGATGCTAAAGGCCTCAAAATTGAAACCTAGGATCCATCTAACGGGATATTCTGTCGAATCGCCTGTCGAAACAGGAGATATAATTTGATGTTAACAACAATTTTAAAAGTAATTATTATAATTCTTAAAAGGTACAGAACAGCAAGAAATTTTGCAAATAGGGCGGTATATCCAATTTACGAAAATCAAAAGATATATTTTTAAAAAATGGATGAAGAGGTACATTAGTCCCATGTAAATTTCGTAATTAACATAATTACAAGTCCGTATCTCCAACATAAAGACATATGTGACTGAGTAAACGACTGATAAGTTAGGTTACATGTTAAAATATTGAGTAGACAAAGTAAAATTATTAAAAAAAAAGAAATGTACATTTAATAACAGTGAAAAATAACAAATAAAATAATATCAACCACACAACATTGAATTACCAAGCTTTTTGTGAAATTAGAAATTCCTTGTTATTTAGTAGTTGACCCCTCCCCGCGACAAAAAAGAATAGTTTTGAACCGATATAAATTTGCCATTAATTGAATGGATCATCAGTTTTCTATATCAATAAAATATCTTTATTTTATCACAGCAAAAAACACATCCCTTTAAAGAAAACATATTACCTCCTCTGTTCAAAATATTTCTCTGTGGTCATTATGGGAAAGTGTTAGGGAAATGATGGAGATAATTAAAATGTAAGAAATAAACCAATATATACAGAATAATAACAACAATAACAACTAATTAGAACGTCGTGGGTAAATTCTAATAGTTTCTGTGTAAGTCAGCATTTCTTCACTTACTGGCCGTTAATCACGTGAACATGAAAACAGCCTACAGATTTTACTGGTATCCAACACAATGTTTACATCTGCATTTTATCCAATTTTTTCTCAAATTTACCCCAGTGACTTGTACACATTTAAAATGCAGCTAAGGAAAGCAGTCGCTTTTTTCGCCGTTGTTGCATTAAGGGGCAGATAATCCGACAAAATACATTCACAACAAACAGCATAGTCTGCATAACAGTGAGAGACCACTAGTTGCAAACTCGTCAGACTTGGAGAGTGATCAGGGCCTCTGAATTTCAGCGGGTTTCAACACATATTTTTGTAGTCAATCATGAACTTTCTGCAACTGATGATAAAATTCGTCGTAACGACCAATGATGTTAATCAATTAGTAAACACCTCGAGTCAACAAATTAGGTAGTTGTTGATATCAGCCATAGTTTAATATCACACTACCTTTTATGTCCACTACATTTCTTCATGTAGTAATCACGCCTTTAAGTAAAAAAAAATGTGAAGAGATATTGATGTGGAAAATGATGATATATGGGTCCTCCGAAATGTATATTTTTCCATCCGAAAATTTAAATGAATAGTGACGTAATGAAGTGACGTAATGATGTGACGTAGTGATTTCAACAGTAGACAGGTAGGCATAAGTTTACACCTGTCTATGTGACACACCTGTCCAGGTGGCGAGGCACAATTGATAGCAATTATCAGCAACAATTGTCTGAGCATCGATCCTTATTTGCTCGTGCGCATGCTCGCAATCTTTTCCCCGTAACATTTGCTATTTTAAGAATGCATAGCTTAAATCAGTTCGGCGGAACTTAGGGAATGTTAACCTACCGATGGTATACTGGATGCATTAAAAAAAACTTGCTGGTCCCGTTGGCAAGACGATCTCAGTCACGCTTGAGGTGATTCCACTTTGGTGAGACAATAACTTGAAACCGAAATGATTTTTGACATGGAAGACACACAGCACTTAATATCACTCTCAGTAGGCATCTCTTCACGTGATCGTCCAACGAAACCGTACTTCGTCAAGTGACTGTCGAATGTAAAACCAGGAAGTTAGGTTGATCGTCCAAACATCCTGAAATCCATTTAACAGATGGAATCGCCTTAGAAGTTCTTCGCGTACCGGAAGTACGGGCAGATAATTACATGTAGGTTTCGTACACAACCACGCTGCTCCTTAATTACGGAGCGGTATATGAACACCGACGGACGGAATGTGCTTGCTTTCATTCTTAAACACCTTTTACATCGACAAGATTTATACTTCCACTTCATCGCCATCGTCGAAATCGTCGTCCTCGTTTTTGACCTTACAGCATAGGTAGAATGATATTATCATCCCCACAATCTAAAACAATGAAATCACATGGTGGTGTAAACAATGTCATCACGTGACATAATCAATATATTTTTGTGTAACTGGTAAATAATTGGTTGTTATCATAATTCGCGTGAAAAGTCGTAATCAAATCTCAACATTGACGAGTCACAATAATGATCAATGGAATTAGACGTAACAGTGTAATTACGCGATACCGAAATTAAGACAATACCAATATGTTATTATATACAGCACATTTTCATGTTATCACAAACAAAATTATCTGATTTTCTTTCGAAACAATAACATGTAAATAAAAACAAAGAAAGTCACGTGTTATAAAGATAACTTACCAATAAAAGTGGAACAGCACCGGCAACTATAGTTATGTACATACTGTTGTTTTCAATGTAGTCTAGAGCTCGGTCGTAACACCCCTGAAAACAACGTAGGTGATATTATGTTGAAATAATATTCCAGTATTAAAATGTTATTTAATTATATTCTTTACATGACGTTTGTGGTTTAACGTCCTCTCAACAGCCAATGAAGGTGTCAGTATTGAGGACACCGACACGAGAAACAGAACAGAAAAAAAATGCGAAGAAAGCAAAAAGTTTTACTAAAACCACACCTCTGTTGTATAAACATTCTTTATTCCATTATAAAGGAATCCATTTACTTTTAACATCTCAATAAGCAATAGCAAGCAATGAGATTTATTATTTTGTACATGAAATTCAAATTTTCCAGAATACTAGTGTTATCTACATGGGAAAATAAATGACCGCAAAAAGTATATGATTTACAGTAAGAAATAGCAACAAGAAAACGTACGCTAGCCACCAAAGAAAAGTATGAATTGTTTACACCACAAGTTCTGCGCATGCACCGAGTGATCTTTAGATTACAGACTACATGTACACCCATTGCGAACCTGTTGAGGTAAACGGTATCGGCATGGGCGATCTTCTCTCGATTAAGCAAGCTTCTAAATACCGGTTATTGACAAGGAAAATACTGTTGTATTGTGTCTATAGGAAAGGGCCGCTGTGGGGGAGTCGGTCATCTCCGCTGGGAAACATACCGTCCGTGTGCTGACCATGCTTTCTATCAAACTCTAGTCAATCGATCGATAGAGTCGAGTTCTTAACAAAAACTCCATTATGGACACAGAAAATAGCTTCGTACTAATATTTAAATGGAAAGAGATGCGATCGTGACTTATTTTTCCTTTAATTTGTAATATAAATGTCGAGACACGTTCGCTTGGTAACGTGCTGCTAACGTGCAGCACAGGACCATAGAGCAGTCCTATCGATACGCTGGCATACCAGCCACGTCGACGGGGCATCTCTCAAACGCTACATATAAATAAATGCACCAGACCGTCATGCCTTCAGCACCTAATCAATGCTTCCGTACTTTTGAAGGCAGATTTGCTTGTACATGTATTGTACTTTCTCTCCTATTTCCTCAAAGATAATTAATTATCATCACAGAAGTCATTTTAGATTAGACAAGATTCCGCAGAATGGCGGGACTGCTTGGAACAATGGTGAAGATTTGACCTCTCCTGCTGAGGGTCATCAACAAACGGCATTTATATCAGCGAAGCTGTCCCGTCGAATGACGTCATTTACGCGACCCAGAACTTACTTTCATGGTCTATCATTACTTATCACCTCTGAGAGAATAAAAGTCAATTGGCATTTGAACTTTCCTCAGATTATTACGAATATCAAGTTATCATTTCGATATTTTTGTGCTTTCATCTTTCAGCAGAACTTTACTCGGATGGGTTATATAACACTCATTTATTACATAAATGCCAAAATCCCACGTGTATCAGAGACTAGAATATCTATATACCAATAAATACTGACATTTCAGACCTATCACGTCCAGAGGTGATAGACTTTAGATAGAAAACAAACATTTTATATATCATTTTCTTTTTCATGTGGATTTTGTGACACGTGTTTGCGTTCACCTTTCAAAACATACAGTGTTTCAATTCATTCATCAAAATGTAATACCATGGCTTCGTAAGGCATTGTTCTACATAGTTTACATAGAGTTATAAAAAAATATCTCTTATCTTCTTTCCTCTCTCTGCATATCCCGCTTGAATTATTAGGGTGTAATTTTGGAATACATTTTCCCTCAAATCTATTTGTAACGGGAAATGTTTATCAATAGATACGGCTTAGACAAACAAATAACAAACGCACATTATTTATAAATAGAAAGTAGTCGCGTGCTCATTAGTAACATTGATTCTGATTGGATGAAATATTCACCTTTTTCAACAGTGCGTCATTTGCCTCCTCGACGTAGCTTTGACCTGGCCCCTTCACAGGAAACCCTCTCCTTATCTTCCCTAGTCCTTGGCAATCTAATTTTGACATGCCGGTCACGCAGCAGCTTTCCGGGACGTACGGTCTGTTTTCTGTAGGGAAACAAACATGTGTTATAAGATGGTATCATGTGTTATCAGAGGGAACTGACGGGGAAAACAGAGGTTCCTGTTATCACAGAAAATGAGCATGTTTTATTTTCAGGATAGTTGTCTATTATCGGATCGTGCTATTTCTAGGATTGGAGTCAGTTACCATATTCTGTTATTGTTAAGATGGAGTCTGGTATCAGGTCGTGTTATTGTTATGAATGGAGTCTGGTATCAGGTCGTGTTATTGTTATGAATGGAGTCTGGTATCAGTTCGTGGTATTGTTATGAATGGAGTCTGGTATCAGGTCGTGTTATTGTTATGAATGGAGTCTGGTATCAGGTCGTGTTATTGTTATGAATGGAGTCTGGTATCAGGTCGTGTTATTGTAATGAATGGAGTCTGGTCGTGTTATTGTTATGAATGGAGTCGTGTTATTGTTATGAATGGAGTCTGGTATCAGGTCGTGTTATTGTTATGAATGGAGTCTGGTATCAGGTCGTGTTATTGTTATGAATGGAGTCTGGTATCAGGTCGTGTTATTGTTATGAATGGAGTCTGGTATTAGGTCGTGTTATTGTTATGAATGGAGTCTGGTATCAGGTCGTGTTATTGTTATGAATGGAGTCTGGTATCAGGTCGTGTTATTGTTATGAATGGAGTCTGGTATCAGGTCGTGTTATTGTTATGAATGGAGTCTGGTATCAGGTCGTGATATGGTGATGAATGGAGTCTGGTATCAGGTCGTGTTATTGTTATGAATGGAGTCTGGTAACAGGTCGTGATATTGTTATGAATGGAGTCTGGTATCAGGTCGTGATATTGTGATGAATGGAGTCTGGTATTAGATGTTATCATAATAATATTAGTGTGTGATTAGAGTTTCTATATTGATCGATTTTATTCTTTCAGATGACGATGGAAAGACATATGAATGTAGTTTTTGTCAATAAATATGTACATCATTGTATGGTTTCTCTGCGGTCATTACCAGGACACTTATTCAATGACCTTTGATGGGGTATGGCAATAGCTAATGGACCGCCCATTATACTGTTCACACTTATTATCAAGATCGCGAAATATTATTCATTTTCCCTGAGAAAATACTACTTACAACTTAGTCTATAGTAGACCCATGTTTACTGGAATTCATCAACAGGCACATTTTTTATTGCAGGACCCGTTGGAAGTGAACAATTATAGTAAGATGCCGTCGGAATATATATCGATTTTATTCCCGTGACGATCCGAGGTATCCATTGCAATGAAAAAAGGTGTAAATGTCTATTTCTGTGTTCATTTCCGAGATCTAAGTGACCCGCATGTTCCTCTGTGATCAATTTCAGATTAAGAAATTGGAGCTTATCAAAAGGGGCCACAAGTCATGTTGCAGTGTCATAGGGGCCAAATCAATTAACACGTTTTAAAAAAATCTACACCAGGGCAAGTTTCCGAGCAGGTATTTCTATTCTCATCTTCCAATATTAATTATACATGGCCGTACAGAGGGCCGAGTCCCTACATGTGTGTTATTTCTACCGTCGTTAACGGTACACGGAAACATGGAATCTAGATTACCCTCAATAAGATACTATGCTATATATTATTTAAAGAATACATCGACCGGACTACATCCACAGTTTGACCTTATGCAGTGCCTTTCATCACTTTAGATATATAACATATATGCGAAAGCCTGGTTGTCTTTTTCCCATTTGCATCAATCGAGATGCTTTACCATATTATCCTTTAAGTACGTATTGATATGTAACACATAATGTAGAATAACCGACAGAAAATGTGGGTTTACGGAGAGTTCGGCTAAGACGGGTTGATTTTCTCATAAGACAACAACTCTTGTAAGATATTGAGAGATTACAACATACTGTTGGTGGTGAAGTTTATCATAATGACAAATAGAAACCATCAAAAATGTTTCTTCATTTTTCACAAAAAAGTTCGTGATTGAAACTCGAGAAAGGATATTTATGAAGAGCTATTTCAGCATATCTGAGAAAAATAAAAATATTTACGTTTGTCCCGCATCTCCACGGCGTACCAGTCGCTGTGTAGTTTGAATATAGCCCAACTGAAGAGTGAATCTTCGTTACCAACAGCTCCACAGCATTGTAACTGGAAAATGAAATCAAAGCAATGAAGATATAGTGAATTAGAATTAATCTGAGGACGATGGGGAGGGGTAAATTAAATGACGTCTTCAACTTTATTAATCCAAAATATACATTTTCTGACGTTACGAATGTAACGTTAGCAATTAATAATCTGAGTTTCTAATCAAAACGATCCTCGCTCATCTCTCTTCAGCATTACATTCGTAACGATCGACAGAAAAAAATAATGTTTTATACTGTTTTATTACAATTGTATTAAAGTTATTGTTATTAACATGTATGTACATATTGATAACAATAGCATTTTAATGAAGTGTTCATTTCTCATTCAACACTGATTTTTTTTATTTCTTTGGGGAAGTGTCGTTCGCCTGGATGAGGACGCAAATTTCAAAATTAAGAGAGGTTTCTCGATGTTGGAAACATATTTTTGCAAATGTTTATGTAATAATATAAGTCTGAAAGAAAGATTATCTAATCTTGATACTTGTGTTTTCTCCCAAAACAAAAACATATTACTAAATTGTTCGTGATTTTGGCACACGTTGCCATAGCGAGTATTTTGTGCAAATCTCCTGCTCAAATTGAAATCACCAATACCCACATGTGGGACTAAGTAATGAAATCATACAAATTCAGGATAAAGTCCGACACTAAAGGGATAAACCAGTGCTCAGAGGTAAAAAGCAACAGAACCAATCAGTTGGAGCTAAATAAAACAGAAGACCTCAGATTAAGAACAAATTGCAAATCATTAAACTTTAAATCCAATAAGTAGATTGAATTACATTGCGGCCCAGCACACACTAAAGACGATACCCTTTTTACATTAAATTTTCTGTTCTGAAATCTGAGCGATCTGGTTCCCGTCTCGTAATTAATACAATTGGTTTCCAGCAATCGGATTACATTTCGACCTTTTGATACTCAAACTAAGGTTCCTACTTGAGAAGCAGTTCGGTACAGTATCGCAGTGATCTACTACAGCAAGATACTGCTATTGATATTGTCTCTTTTTCCGCGAAACTGTGTTTTCACAAAAAAGTGACCGAAAATTGGTAAATCTATAGCATGTAGTTCCTAGGTATCTACGGAAGTCGTGAATGACAAAGGACGCTTACCACTACCTGTTCACTTCTCTAGATATTTAACCCTTTCAAGATTCTTAATGTCTTCATTCCCGAGAAAATCACATTTTCCAACACCAAAAATGATTGACAACGAGATTTCAAAGTTTACCGAGAACTGGAGACTTTTTACCAGAAAACTTAAAAACAAATTTCAATACCTGGAAATATTTCTAAAGATAGCATAAAGGAATTATAATATAGTGGATCGCTGTTTTATCAAGAATAAGTAATTCGAAAATAAAAGCGCGTAAAGATAAAGACTGAGCGATTTATGACAGCTTCTAATCTTAAGGCAAAAAGCAACCTCGAAAAACTAATTCCCTTATCGAAATAAAATTGTATATTTCATTCCAAGCTTATTTTCATAAACGCGAAAAAAATTAGAAATCGCTTTATTTGGATCATAGAAAATTGATAAGAAGAAGCTGCGTTATCTATTCAAACTTAAACAAAAAATAAGATATCTGAAGGTTACATGTACTGAGATTAAGTTTTAATTATACTGAATCAAAGCTCTTATTTCAAAGTCCGGAAATATTTTTTCCGGATTTTCCAATCCGGCTTGGACGATCGTTTCGGTAATTAATTTAATCTTACCGTTCTCTGCATGGCGTCCCACGCATCTGTTATCAACCGGTTGAAGGAATTTCGTTCCACGTCAACTCCATAGTGTTTGATTATTGACGACTTAAAATGTTCAGTAAGATCTTCTTTTAACTGGAAAAAAAGAAAGAAATTAAAAGGAAATGTACGAATTTATATATTGCGTGAAAGAGGTCTAAGATTAAAAGTTGGCTATTCGGTTCTAATTGAATTCCTCTATGAATACAGCACGCCTGTCGATCTCACAATGGTGTCATTGATGGACCAGCAAACCTCGCAGGAAGCCTGTTGCGCTCAACGGAGTACGCGGTTTGTCTTGAAATAAGTGCGCCTGCGTGCGACAGCACCCAAGGTTGATTTGACCAGAAAAAGTATGAGTTTGAAGCAGAGCCCATTATTGAAGGTTCAATGGAAACCTTATTGACAATATGTTGCCAATATTCCACAACCGCCTGGAAACTGTTATTGTATCTGAGTAGAGACACTTGTCTTGGAACTCGTGTTATATATAGGGGGACAAAATACACGGTGTTTTTCACGGGACTGTAATTTCGTGATTACGCAAATACTCATGAAATACGTATTATTGTGTATGTACTGCAAAGGACGATCCATTCTTGTATTGAACATATTTTAAGTTATCTTTAATTTCAATGCATTGTTTGTGTTAATCAAAAACTGCTTGCAATATCATTTTGTGGTTGAGCCGCGAACATCTTGAAACAATCTCGTTGCGAATGCTGTTTACTACTTGCAGATTTAATCAAATATTGTTGTATTTGCACTGTACTTCTTGTAGTTAACTAAATAGATTTCTCAGAAACATTCCGATTATATCAACAAATGAAAAAAGAATAAAGTGATCTTGGGGCCGACCCGAAGAGTTCCGAAAGGACACAGACACACTGACCAAGCAATGGTTATTAAAGTTTGACATTGTACAGATCAAAATAAGATAGAAATTTTATCATGTTATTATTTTTCCCTTAAGGTCTTTTTCTTCAACAATTGAATTACAGTTTCGACTAAGGAAAAAATGGATTCATAAGAGAGACCTATTGGGACGCATCATTCACAAGTCGCTTTCTCGAAGTTGGAATGTAAAATTTCTCACAATAGGTCTTTCTCAGAGTGTGTTGACTGGATGTCGTCGACGAAGCAGAATGCGCTTATCCTTCCAGAACACAGACGTATTCTCCTTATACTACTTTTTCATTGGTCTAAATGTAAATATTTCTTTCACCCTCGTTTCAGATTTTAAGATTAATTTCATGTTGTGTTGACGTGTGAATGTTTTCTTGTTTTTTTATTACCGTGAGTATGAAATGAAACCTCTAGCAATGTGACTTTCAAAACAGACCTTGACGCTGATATAATTATTTCAAGGACTTGTGAACATAGAAACATTTGTGGAGATAGGCTAAGAGATAGAAAAACCATTTTCCAAAAGAAATAAGTTGAAATATTAATTTTAAATGTCGACAGTCGTATGAATCATACAGACAAAGGGATAGGAAATTTTTGTCCACACTTTGCTTACAGAAATGATGAACTATCATTTATGTATTTTTGTATACAGCTAATAAAGCCCACGACAATTTCCTGTAATTTCCATGGCGACGTCTACAATTACATGCAAATCTCTCATCGATTTCAGCGCTTGTCAAGCTCCAAACCTCTCGTACACACTCAGTCTGGGCCCCAATCATAGTTATTACCCCCGAGTAATTAACATAATGTTTATTACTCAGGTTATAACAATTAGCAACCAATTACCTCTGATCTGAACGTGATTCCTAACGCAAATCCGGCAAACAGCATCAATATCACAATAGTCAGAATGGTACCATACTGAAACAAGAATAACATGCTCTTACAAGTTAAAGCATCACACATATCCATGTATTGAGTAAATGTCAACAAATGATATTTTGAAAGCATTATATTCGTTTGATCAATCTAATTCTTTGATCGAAATCGAAAAAAAAATATGTTCGGAAACTATTACGTGATTTTATCATTGACACTGCAAAACATTACATATTTTCAGCCTTCTAAAAGTTCACATTTTAGATACTAGAAGTGCATTTTAATTTTAGCAAATTATATGAAGTTATTGTAGAAAAAAGTACGAAAATATGCTTACAAATCCAAGAACAAATTTATCTTGACGCATGGTCCCGCAACAACCACAGAAGGCAAGAATGGCGACGGCACCACCCCCTGCCGTCAGTCCGTATGTTAGATATTCGAAAAGACGAGATCCCACAATTGCCGATATCTCGCGAGAATTGTAGTCTTTTACCAGCAGCCATACTCCGACAGCTAAGACACCAGATCCTAGAACCTATAAAAGATATTAACAATGTAAACATTCTGAGGAATGGGATGAAGGTGGTCTGTTCAGGATAGTGAAAGTATGATTACTGAGACCTTCCGACCAATAGCAGGTGTTGTGGGACAATATGAGAAATACAAAGATATAGTCGGAAGGAAAAGGGTAGCTCGACACTACTGTACATTAATTCTAACCATGAAATACAGTTTCTTTACCGAGGATTGAGAGATGAAATATTGCTTCTTATTATGGAGCTTTATTTACTCTTTTTTCTGCCCCTGGTGACTCGATGAACTTCCCTTAGCAAGGTATTTGTCTTTCATTTTGATGCTCTGTATTTACAATTGATACCAAAACTCCGTATATCCTTAATTGATCACAAAGATACAATAAATATTTGAATTGTAGGTATCTGTTACCGTGATCGTTTCGTTTGTTTGGGGTTTTTTTTCTTACAATTTTAACGAATTTTTTTTCCTCTCTCTTTCTTCAATTTTATTTTGTTGACTACAACTGCTATTATAAATATGTAGTCAACTTTGTACCTTTACCATTACAAAGCCAATGCTATTTCAGCACGAACTGAAAAAATCCGTATTGTCCAAATAATTAGAAGTAAAGACAACTTATCACGGACAGAAGTCTACGTTCTGACTTATTGGGTGAAAAGAAGCACAATTCTCCTTCATATCGATAAAGGCACAGCAGCTTTCGCGTGTTGAACTAAATTAGCGACATTTCCTTGTATCATTCGTGAAACACTGATGAATTAGCGAGCACCAATCTCTCCCCTCACAGATTGTAAGGCAGTTGGCCGTTAAAACATGAATTCAAATGTCGGTATAAATAAAAACACAATACAGTTTGACAAGCAGTAGAATCTAATTTTAGTTCCCCGGAGAAATTTGAAGCCGGCTATAATTTTGACAATACCCCTGCCAGAAAATGTCTCGTTGGGTTTACCATGAATAATAGATAAGTACTTGAAACCTACATTGGACAATGGGATCATGCACGCGTAGGCACCTCATGACACGTAGTCTCTGTTCATACATGCCTAGCAGCAGGACTCTATTTACAGTGAGCCGACGTGACTTTACGCAATTGCTTTCGCGAAACGTACATCCTGTTTTTAATGACGAGCGAGTCTCACTCTTGTCAAAATCAGTCTTCCTTCAAAACAGAGGGAATAAATATTTCAGAGTGTTACAACCGTTTTATACCGCATAAATTCCGTATTTTACGAGACATTGGCATCAAAATTAAAAAAAATTGTAAGTATCTTTTGCGTAAAAAATATTTGCAGTTATTTGTCACCGAACACACAATTTTCGTAAGTCGAAGTCATTGAGTAGGCATTTCGTTCCAGAATAATTGCTTCCTGTTTCTAGAATATTGCTGCAAATAACATATGTAAAGTGTCATGATCACTTTGTGCGTTTCCACGTCAAATCACAGGCGTACTTGGTTATCAAGCATTAGAACGATTTGTGATCAGTGTTTATATCGAGCAGGGAATGGGGGACGGGAGGCAATATCCGGATCCGTTACCGCGTTGTTGATTAGAGGGAACTATGGTCACGTGTTCGATCATGGCGTCGCATTCTTCTCGTTAGACTAGCAGATCCATCATCGACAAATACTCGTCTTACACTTAATGGCAGTGACAACTTGCAAGGTTCGTCCGAGGAAATCTAGTGATTAAAACAAACGAGAGATTCGTCATCCGCCGAGCAGCACCGACAGAACACCGCAATAGTTTCGCATGGATACATACAATTACTATATACAGTTTTATTTCCTGTTAACGTTCCGACTACTGTAGACAATGTAGACAACCCATTGGCCTGACCAATAGCAGCAGGCATTTATGTAACTTATTTCCGCACAGAGTGGAAGCATCGGATTTTCATTCAATATAATTGTATTTCCAATAAGTCTTAATTAGAATAAAAGACATGAGCATTTTTTAATTCGGATGTAGCGACGTCTCGGACAAGGCCAAAAACATCGATAATTAACTCCCTGGGTCCATACTTGAGAGTAGTTGCACTTTTACCTACATATATTGTAAATGAGTCACTGATACATCTCACATGTATGCTTGATTAACGACGGTGGTGTAGATGTAATTTAGTTGATAATTTGAGTGCGCGTACTTTAAAAGAGAACGAAGCGAGACTGTTATTTTGCCGTAAAAATAAGTTGTAATTTAAAGAAACAAGCTCTCATCCTGCCTGCTGTTCACACTATGCCCCATGATACATACAGGAATTATCTATAACTTTCACTCGAGATAGCTATTTTTCAAAAGTTGCAGAAAAAACACGTACTTTACGGAGTGTTTTTGTATCTTTTGAAAAAAAACCTGATGAGTGAAATACTATAAAAAGCAACCATGAGTTTGTGTGGGTGTTTCTACAACATTAATACAAAGCTACTCCGATAAAAGTTTCTGCACCCACGTGTGTTTTGTTGATATCAGTTGGGGCGAAATTATATGACCTATAATAGAATGACGCTAATCGATACGCATAACTGACAGTATCATGAATTTGCAAATACGTTATAATTCATTACAAACCATAACATGTAATTCATGTGTTTATTTTCTGCAAAGCAATACATTGTCTTTTAACTTGATAGAAATAACGTGAAAAACTTATTGTCCGTTTTAATTTCCGTAAGTGCGTGGAGAGCCCTTCCTGTCACCGTGTCAGCCAATCAAAGCCCTTCCTGTCACCGTGTCAGCCAATCAAAGCCCTTCCTGTCACCGTGTCAGCCAATCAAAACGCGCTATGTTACACTTTATACCACTTTAAGTATAAATGTTTAGTTATTTAACAGTTGTAATGATTCGCTGATGCCTTGGGAGTTGAATAATAACCACATATTGTGGTGGGAAATTCCATGCAAGTCTTTTTTCGTGCAAGTGTAGTTCTTGTGTCTTTACTACCTGATAAAAGTACTCCGGGATCCCAGGAGATGTGTGCTCATATCGCCGGTCATATCGACCAATCACCTTTTCATTTTCTTTTTATTCCCACGTAACGCCAGTGTCACTCGGCAGTGACGGTGTTTGATTTACAATATGACTGGACAAGCTTTGGCGATGTTTAAGATTAGCGGTGTTGTACAACGAGGGGTCAGACTTTATCACTGACGATTAGGCGCGCGCGGATACCCGCCATTTTGGATAAAGTAAAAAAAAAAATACTAAATCTTCGCGGACTTTGACTTTGTGGCGAAATTTTTATCAAGATGGAGTCCAGAAATGGCGATAGCTGCTACACATGCTAACCAGTAGCGGGCACAAGGGCTCGGAATATAGCTACCTGAGAATGCAGAAAACGAAAAATCGTTTAAAATCCATCATGGATGCTCAGTTACATAATGTTACACGACATACGTTCTGCTGAGCGGTATGACCGACAGGACGACATAGACCGCCGGTACCCGAGTGACGATGCTAGACGTTTGTTAGCAATTTGATAAATTTTCGAAATCTTCAGACGGAAAGGAAGATGATGACGATAATATCTAAAACTGGGCTGGACACAAAACCTGTGGCGATGATGATGAACTGTCAGAATGCATTAGGGAGTATGTTCGGGATTTCAGATACGAGGAAAGCAATTGACCAAACAAGGTGTGTGAATCACAAGCCAACCTACTTCTGGGCATGCTAACTAAAACCATGCATGAGAAAGACTTCTGATAAGGTTGGATGTCTATCGGTACTAAGTCGGAAAATACTGAAAACTTACCAGCACCTCGTGTAAACACAGATATGACATGAGATTAAGTCTGACGCAAGAAGTCGGGATATCGTGCGCAAAAGACACAAACAAGGAGCACCAAAGGGCTTACATCACTAGCTTGTCTTATTCAAATGTTGACAGACAGGAAAAACAGCTAACGCCAGATTAATTATTGATGAAATGCTAAAATTAGCGATCGACAGCTTCACACTGATGGGGCAGTGCATGCCTCACACGTAGGATATACTTGGCCACTTAGACACTAAGGCATTGAAATATTTCATCAAATGAACTTCAATTTCATCAGGTGTATTTTAAGACAATTTTGTACGTTTCCTAAACTTTTCATTTCCATACAATTTTCATAAAAGCTACATTCAGGCATTTGAACAACTTTTATTTCATCGTCAATCATTAAAACTTAAGGCAGTTTGATGTATTGCTTTCGCTCGATATGAAACAGTAAAGTGAATTTCCCTATAAATATTATATCTTATCTCCTACATTTTCACTGATGTTTCATGCGAGAAACATTGAGACAAAGATGTAGGGTGTATTTTATCAGGTATACGGGGCAGATTTTACTATACGTTAGTAAATACATCCATTATAACGCCAGAGATCGCCAAACAAATAGATCGAATGAATCTTTGTCATTTCGCGGCAATTTGACAAGGACGACATCTTTATGTAAACACAATATTGTAAAGCGTTAAACCGGCAACGAATGCTCCATATCTGCAGCTTGATCTCGACATATGACGAAATAATGCAAAACTTGGCATCAATTTTACGTAAAAGTCCTGAAGCATGAACTTCAAGTGTTGTCAAGTGTCTGTCAGATCCCCTGTACGCTTGATATAACCCCTCCTTCATTCCCTCCCCGTCCATCGTTACGTGGTGTAAATGCTTTCTAGCTTGAGATGTCGATAGACAAGCCAGACCTTGAATAGTTGTCACTTCTCAAAAACCTGAGATAAGGAGAGGAGTTTCGACTCGGCTGAACGCGCGCGAGGAACTCGCCTACCAAACTGGTCGATAGGACGTCATTCAGATTCTCACCTCTAATCATGACCTAGTAAGGGAATTGATCAAATTCATCACTTTGTAAAGGAAACTTTAACGTTCTTATTTTACATTAGAAATAGCATTAAGAGAGAAAAAAATCTTCTTTATATTGCAAATTCAATCTGAAATATAAAAAATCCATATTGATGATATGACTCAGTTCAGCCCACATTAGTACCAGTAAAGTACCGCCATTTGCAAATTGCAGAATGAGAAAAAATGAGTTTGGTCTTTTTTACTCTTTCAATTTTTTAAACAATTGTCCTATGCATAAAGTGTGCAAAACGTATTTTACTGAGAAGTCGATTAGCCTGGATAAAATGTACTTGGATGGAAATTGGCAAAAACATTCCAGGTTTGGTAACTATAAAATTGGAACCGGATTAAAAAATATCCAATTGGAATGAAAGTGATATGAAGATCAGCCTGTTTATGAAGTTATAAACAGCGTGAAGAATATTTTCTATTAAAAACTACTAAATTCATAATAGTTTTGTACTTTTTCGCATGTTGTGCTATAAAATAAATCATAAACGAGAACAGGCATGCACTTTTTTTTCAATATAACATCTCTTAAACCCTTAAAGTACGCGGTTTTAAAGTGAACACTTTCAATATGATGATAATGGCTCTTGCGAACTCAACATTGACACCCTATAACGAACCTTCCAGATTGCAAATAAGTGACCCAATACAAGAATTTCCTCAAATTATGTTTTTCTTTCAAACCTTTTGTGATTTTATGAATATGAAAAATACACATAATGAGCTCACAATTTCGTTGAATTTACCGAGAAATTGATTTTTCTGTTATAAAGTCATGTGTTCATTTTTACAGCAGTTTTTTTTTTTTTTTTTTTTTTGTTTATTTCATTTCTCTGTATTAAGCCTTTGTTTTTCGCCTTCAGATTGTTTTTTTGTCGCTTGTTTTTCTTTGGTATGTATATTTTTCTTACTTACATGCTTATTTTATTCAGTAATTATGATCTGTTTATGTCAAGTATTTCTTTATTATCTTTTTAACATAAATTCTACTTTTTGTCCTTATTTGTTTATTTTCCTGTCTGTTTGCAAAGCGTTAGACACGTATTTTAACGAGTTTCATACCGTTTTCCAATTTCTCGCAAATATTCTTAATTTCCAACTTTTATAATTTTACGTATGTATATTCTAAAAGAGCATTTTTCACAGACATTCGAGATGTCCGAAGAATTTTTTTCCGCGACATGAAATAAACATCATTTTTCCGTAATTGTCGAGATTCCTCTATCCTCACTCAAAAAGATGTATCCTGTTTTCCTATCTTGTGTAACATAAGTAAACAGATACTGATACGATATAGATAAATAGACTCGGAATATTCCCTACCGCGCGAGCTGGCTACCGATCCGATATACACAGTGGGTGTTTTACTAGATATAAAAACGTTTAAACACGGTCATAAAAATGTCTTTATGATGGAAAAATCAATCAAAATAAGAAAACCATAATTTGAGATATTTCTATATTGTTCATGTGTAATATAATATCACAATTGGCTCCTGATAATGGACGTCATCATGGCATATGCGACAAAGCATGTTAGATATCTACAACAGTTAAATAGGTGCCTTTTAACTGGTATAGGGTCTCACAAATCGATTAAAACAAGACACGCGATTTGTAACTGTAGAATGACTGGATGTCTTCTTTAACTCACAAATGACCTATTTCTGACCTTTGTCGGTACATGGTTGTTTTCATATTTATTACCAGTTACATGCATGTTGTTCATATTTTTGCCCGAGAAATAGATCTTTATCTTTTACGTTTAACTACATACACATTATGTATATCGCTGGAACAGATACCGAGGTCGATCACGGAGAGTCGGAGTATATTCATTTATTGGGAAAATTATTTATTAATTTACTTATTTTCCTCCAGTACCTGTACTCAGAACTTTGTCTCCTCATTACCGTTATATCATCTTATCGTGACGTCATCAAAACATTTCACTATTTTTAAAATGTGTACGTATTGTTCACGTGGATTTTACGACAACTGTTACGCGGATGAATTTTACGACAACCGTTAACAGCAACCTGGTGATATTACTCGTCTCATCTATATACAACATGCATGCAGTCTGTGTAATGAATAAAGATTCCACGTTGATTAAAGATACATGTACCACCTGTTTCCTAAAGATACATCTACTCATCTCTAACACCAAAGGGACCAGAAAGTTAAAATAAAAGTCACACAGCGACCAAACAACTCGAAATACGGTTGCAATATAGATTACGGAAAACTATGTACATTGCATCACGTCTCTGTGACGGTATGTTAATTACGGCCAGCTATACTAATTGTATAACGTCTATGATGACGGTGTATTAATTACGGCCAGTTATATATATTGTACAACGTCTCTGATGGCGATACACATTATATATGCATACACTGCACACCTACTTATATCATACCTCATTGTCTATCTCAACCAAAGCCTGTAATTACTATCAGAGATTTTTATAATCGATTTGATGACATATCGGTACTGGTCGGGGCCAACGACGTTGTCAACAATCCTTATCCGAGCTCAACAAGCAGATGAGAAAATAGCAGACATGTTTATCCATAATGGTCACAAATTACCCATCGGCCAATCAAATGTTGCGTATTATCACAAATGGATCCAATTCCCTTCAATTATTCTCAGATTTTGCCTCATCTGTACAAAAACGTTCGTCTTGACGGTGTAATGTTGTCACCGGTATCAGTTATTGCTGTCTGGCATTTGAACAGAATAGAATGTCCAAAAAACAAACAGACACGAATTTGAAGGTTGATATAAAGTAGAGGTCAAGACTGTGATAATTGGAATTTAAAGAAAATTTTACATACCAGTAGAAAAACGTTATAGCAGTGTAGAATTCCGGTGAGGTAGGAGACACAATTACGGGTCGGCTCCCGTTTTAGACGTATCTTCTGGTGCCGTTGTTGTTCCATGTAGCCTCTGTGACTGTGGTTATTATGGTAATGGTTTGACTGTTTTCTAGACGTACCACGACTCAAGGGCTGGAACAAACAAAAACAACATGGTTAGTCATGTTTTCAGTTTAATTACGGCAAATCCCGAAGTTTTTTGCAATGTTTTATTCAAAAGACATCCCGTCGCGAAATTTAGCAATAACCTTGTTACCCGTTGTTCCCAGCGGCGCAAAGATTTCAAATCCTTATTCGTTTCCATACAGGACTATTTTTTCCGAAGATTTAAAACTTCAAGATTCTCCGGAATAAATCGTTTAAAAATTATCCTAATAGATACACCCATGTAAATTTTAGTTCAACAAAATTTTGTTGAAAGAGTTCATAAAATATGTTCAGGCCTAACATGGATTTCCGTTGTAAAACTTTAAACTACGATTCGTGTTGTGTATATCATTTACGGGCTACCCACAAACATGGACACATGCATTTTCTTGTTATTCAATTCATGCAGTGCCATACATGAATATAATTTCGATAGGTTGAACGTGGCCTCTAAACGGGCACTTATAGCGCAGCTGAAATAGACATATCGCTTGGTAGTGTTATAATTGTCGACCCCACAATCGGATTTTTTCAAGAGAGTCCAAAACACCTCTTTCGAAATCTTGATCAGCCCCATTACTAAGAGTGAATCTTGCTGGCAAATCATAAGTTGAAGACTGTATTATCTGATTATCAAAATTCAATGGCCCGTCACTAGCAATACATACCCCTCCACGTCTGTACTAAGTAGCCATGACATTTGGAATATTTCATCAAAACTTTACAGGAGACACGTTATATAGTGTATTTAATATTACACAATACTGTGACTTCCATAGAATATTGTCTTTCATTTTCAAAAGTTTTACAAATAAGATGTACTTTTTTATGTACGTCTTATCACACGAAGGGAGATAACTCACTTGGAGTGACAACATTAAAAGTATTAGACCTAATTCGTTTGCGCCAATATACACATTTATATTATATACCGTACCTTACGTTAGGGAAGATCAACAGTAATTCCTTTCTGTTTAATTACTGGTATATGTATCATCGATATTTTTCACACCATAGTTATAACACCACACAAACAATCAAACGTTTGTTATCCCTTTAGAATAGTTTCCCAAGTTGCTATCGATTCATTGGACCAGAACACATACAGTTTCAAAACCTATGACACATAACATCATGTTTCACTTCAACATTTGTAGAAGGTAATCCAACGGCTTAAAATGTTTCATGTGATTTCATATAACTTTTAAAATGCTCCTTCTTCAAGCAGAGTTGTTCTTGACAATCAACAGCCTAATGAGGACATACTAAACGGTTGGAAAGGTGATTACAATGGTCACAACTGACCAGAGTGGTCACTCCAATGTTGATCTCATAGAAAAACACACTTGACTCATATGTGTATACTATTAGCGTGAGTGAACAATACGTGTATTCTCTCTCGTCCATTTATATCGCTTGTAAACAGTTACAAACTTTACTGTACATAACCTTGGTAAAATGTATTGAGATAAAAAATTCGACGAGTTGTCGTAAAAATAATAAACGACCACTATTCAACGTGTCAACAAAATGGCATTGAGGTATATTTATAACCAATTAAAACATTGTTTAGCTGAAAAGATTAAAGAGGCTAAAATTGCTAATGAGGAAACTTAATATACACGTTTAAAAAATCTGGGCCGATATTCAAGAGAAACATTCAAATGAATTTTGAATAGAAAATAGAATGGCGAAACAAATAGCAATTTATTGAAAATGGAATGAATCTATACTTAAATATATTACCTATTTAGCCAGATAGATTCCCTGCATATAGACCGCGCCCGTTTAGAAGTGGACCTTATACATGCACACACGGCTAGACGTCGAGACAAAATGGCCATAAAGAGATGTAATTACAAGAACAAGTTGCCATCAATTGTCTTCAAGAAAGCATGTGACATAAAACAAAACATAGCCCACACAAACGGAATTACAAATCAAACAAACCGGAAGTGCTGCTGGTATGTCACTGAAGACGTACGAGTATGTATCTTCAGTGCTGTCCATTGTTATCACAACAAAGACGAGGACGATTTAAAGGGAACAGGCGATGAAACTTATCCGAGAACACACAAAATGTACCACAATAGGCCTACACGCAACACAATGTATCACGGAAATCGTATACCGCATTGCAGAGCGTAGGACGAATTATCATTACGTTTGTGAGAAACAATTGTCGCTTAATTATGTCAAAAAGGCCAAATGTAGACAAGCAAACGCTGGAACCTAATGCTTCAGTACCGAAAGGCAATTACGTATACCAGCAATATCGATAATAATAGACGCTAATTGTCCTCGCCATGTTAATAGGACATGTTCGTATAAGAGAGAGAGAGAGGGAAAACAAAAATGCTACTACAGTGTTTGGGAAGTCGTCTTCACCATGGGCCCCATTTAACGAAATAATACAAAAAACAAACATTGACTTGTTCAAATATTTGTATTGTAGATCAGTTTGATGACAATCTGTTGGAGAAATATACCAGAGGCTAAATAGTTGTAATTGTACCAGACACGCCATATCGCGTTTAGATGTCGATACACAGTCGAATTTACATGGTCATGTAATTTCGTCGTACCCTCGTTCTCGATTCTGATGTAATTGAGGTCAAAGGATATACACTTGTATTTATGGGATTACAAACCTGATATATTTTTCTTCTTGCTAATTGCGATAGTTATTGTGTATAATGACTATATCTTTGTCACTAAATAGTTTACATACGGTTAGTTGTGTTATTCATCTTGCCGCCTTCTCGTGATCTCGTGTTGGCGAGGTCACAGAAGATTGTTCATACTTACAAGATATATATTTGACACACCTACATTCAAGCCAAATATGGAGCGAGTAGATGTGTAAAGGAAGTGCTGGATAATAGCAATGTCAGACTTTCGGTGTGACGTGCTCCATTTTGAAGGATATCCAACACTAAACACGAGCACGCGAGGTCAGTGGTGCCGATTTAATTCTTTTGTAGCTTTAAGAATGACTTAGTAGTTTGTTGTTATATAGAGAGTGTCTTCATTGAGTTGTCACTTCAAGTGAAACAGATGGAAGTAGTGAAAAGGTGTCCATTCAAGCGAGATTTTCTTAAATACTGGTGTCTAATACAATATAGAAAACAACAAAATCAGAAATGTGGTCAGGAATGAGAAATGGATGACTAACTTCTAAAGAGCCCATGCAAATAGGAGTATTAGAGTTCAGTTTAAGAGTCCACATCATTATAAAACACAAAAGAAAAAAACCCAAACACTTAAGAACATCCAACATTAATTTCAAATATGGCAACAACCAAGAAACATTTCAGAAGTGGAAATAGCCAACACAATTACAGAAGTGGTAACAACCTACAGAATTTACAGAATTGGAAATAGCCCACACAAATTACAGAAGTGGAAATAGACCACACAAATTACAGAAGTGGAAAGAGCCCACACAAATTACAGAAGTGGAAATAGCCCACACAAATTGCATAAGTTGAAACAACCCACACAAATTACAGAAGTGGAAAGGGCCCCGCAAATTACAGAGTGGAAATAGCCCACACAAATTACAGATGTGGAATTAGCCCACACAAATTACAGAAGTGGAAATAACCCACACAAATTACAGATTTGGAATTAGCCCACACAAATTACAGAAGTGGAAATAGTCCACACAAATTACAGATGTGGAATTAGCCCACACAAATTACAGAAGTGGAAATAGCCCACACAAATTACAGGAGTGAAAATAGCCCACACAAATTACAGAAGTGGAAATAGCCCACACAAATTACAGAAGTGGAAATAGCCCTCACAAATAACAGTGGAAATAGCCCACACAAATTACAGAAGTGGAAATTGCCCACACAAATTACAGAATTGGAAATATACCACACAAATTACAGAAGTGGAAATGGCCCCGCAAATTACAGAAGTGGAAATAGCCCACACAAATTACAGAAGTGGAAATTGCCCACACAAATTACAGAATTGGAAATATACCACTCAAATTACAGAAGTGGAAATGGCCCCGCAAATTACAGAAGTGGAAATAGCCCACACAAATTACAGAAGTGGAAATAGCCCACATAAATTACAGAAGTGAAAATAGCCCACACAAATTACAGAAGAGGGAATAGCCCACACAAATTACAGAAGTGGAAATAGCCCTCACAAATAACAGTGGAAATAGCCCACACAAATTACAGAAGTGGAAATTGCCCACACAAATTACAGAATTGGAAATATACCACACAAATTACAGAAGTGGAAATGGCCCCGCAAATTACAGAAGTGGAAATAGCCCACACAAATTACAGAAGTGGAAATGGCCCCGCAAATTACAGAAGTGGAAATAGCCCACACAAATTACAGAACTGTAAATAGCCCACACAAATTAGAGAAGTGGAAATAGCCCACACAAATTACAGAAGTGGAGATAGCCCGCACAAATTGCATAAGTGGTAACAGTCCACACAAATTAGAAAAGTGGAAATAGCCCACACAAATTTCAGAAGTGGAAATAGCCCACACAAATTATAGAAGTGGAAATAGCCCACACAAATTACAGAAGTGGAAATAGCCCACACAAATTACAGAAGTGGAAATAGCCCACACAAATTACAGAAGTGGAAATAGCCCACACAAATTACAGAAGTGGAAATAGCCCACACAAATTACAGAAGTGGAAATAGCCCACACAAATTACAGAAGTGGAAATAGCCCACACAAATTACAGAAGTGGAAATAGCCCACACAAATTACAGAAGTGGAAATAGCCCACACGAACTACAGAAGTGGAAATAGCCCACACAAATTACAGAAGTGGAAATAGCCCACACAAATTACAGAAGTGGAAATAGCCCACACAAATTACAGAAGTGGAAATAGCCCACACAAATTACAGAAGTGGAAAGGGCCCCGCAAATTACAGAGTGGAAATAGCCCACACAAATTACAGAAGTGGAAATAGCCCACACAAATTACAGAAG